GAGGCTGGAATTCTGGGTTGCTGCTTGAGATTCCCACGCTCGCACATGCCCGTGACCTGCTGTGCCTAACTTCTCCAACACGGAACTCCGTCAAATCTCCACCGATTGGGACGTTCTTGGTATCGTCAGAATCGTACGAATTAGGACTATTTTTAGATACCAAATTTGTACCGAGTCATCGCGTGAATGAAAGTCGTTTCCTAATCGTAGAATCGGGTATCCGAGCCGAGTCTGTGTGTGGGCGATTATCCCGCCTACAGCGGCGAAAGTGCCGAAGATGATCCGCGAAGCTCGGAGGTTGCGGAGCTTACGAGGCGGGGTTGAAAGTCCAAGGAATATTGGCAATGGTGTTTATGTAGTATGAGGTCACCAATGCAATGGACTAAGACCGAGGTGGAGTCAAAGTCCAAGGTAGGAACTATGACGGAGGCTCAGAGCAAAGGTACGAGCAGTGCCTGAGTACGAAGTACGGGTCAGCGGTGGAAGGTTGTAACTTGGCGGGAGGTCGGTGGAAGAGGACCAGAGGGAAGAGAGGGGAAGGAGGAGAGGAGAGGAGTCAGATCTGAAGGTGGGTATCGGAGCGGATGGGAGAAGAGTAGGAGGACGACGGAAGGGTGGAGGTGTTGTGAGGAGGGAGTGGAGGAGGGAGTGGAGGAGTAGGAGGAGGAGTAGGAGGAGGGTGGCAAGAGGGGTTCGGTCCGAGGTGGTTATCGGAGCGGACGGAGATAGGACAGGAGAGTGACAGAGGAGTGGAGGTGGCATGGGAGGTGAAGGGTGGTGTGGTGCCAGGACCGAAGGTGAATATCAGAACAGACAGCGGTAGGGTAGGATTCCGAAGGTGGGGAAGGAGGAGGTCCGGAAGTCGGGTCGGGATCGGGTATGCATGGATATGACAGGTACCCCTTATCCTCATCATAGAAGTTTATTAATATTTCTATCTACCCAACATTACTATGGACCTCCTAGGACCTCTGCCAACCCCACAAAGGTTTTCCCATTATCCAATAGCTGTCGCTAATTCTCCCCTGCACTTACCCACTCCACAGTGCTCGATAAGGTGATTCTCTCGTGAGCTCGCCAACCTGGCAAGTGGGTAAGTCCATCTTGGGTTTTCCCTTTCTTCTTATATTTGTCTTGTATTATGTATATAAGTCATGTACCGTAGTTATTGGCACTTCAGTGCAAAATCGATGACTAGTTCCCCCCAGAGTTCATGCCCCCTCATTCTGAAGTTAAGGACCCAACACTAGCATTATTGAACATTGGCACAGCACTCCTCTGAGTCGCTGAGGCCACAGTCCCTCCACTCATCCTCTACCTCTGGCCTTCCTTCCAGGGAAAGGTCCAGACATGCTCGCTCCCTCCTTGCCATGTTCTGACAGGAGACAAAAGAGCAGATTGGGCACTCCTAGAGCCAATAGTGTTCTCCTGGGAGGGGGTTCAGGAGCAGCTGGGAGTGGTGAGGAGTATGCAATGTGACAGGAGCAGTGGGAGGAAAATTTTGGTTTCTAAAAAGTTGAAAAAAAATATCAAAAAAATTCAGGAATGTAGTGCCTTTGAAGTGCCTTCAGGACATATAATTATTTGCGAAATTGAGGAAGAAATGATGGAGAAAAATGGAAAATACTTTTGGAGACCTGAGAAATAATGAGAACTGAATTGATGGGTGTAAGGCCAGTTGAGGTGCTGGCCTGGGGTGACTCAGTCCTCAGTAGTCGAGATCTAGGCTGTATGGAGCTTATGATTCGACTTCGGGTTGAGGGTAAAGAGTGAAGAACCCTTACCCAAGCCCGAGCCATACATATGTAAATACAGTTGTTTTACATTGTATACAAAGAATAAAGCGAAAGCATGCTTTGCGCACATCACCACTCTACCACCCATCCCTTACAATGGGAAAGTCTGAAAATTGAATAGGAAAGTGAGGGGAAGCCTTGTAGCATTGTTATTTTCTGCTGTTCTGATTTTTCCTGATTGTTCTTGGTCTCACTCCCAGCTGCTCCTGGACCCTCCCAGGAGCTTTCAGGAGCTTCCAGGAGTATTGAGGAGCAGCTGGGAATGAGACCAAGAAGAATTGGGAAAAATCAGAACAGCAGAAAATAAAGGCTTCCCCTCACTTTCCTATTCAATTTTCAGACTTTCCCATCAATTCAGTTCTCATTATTTCTTGGGTCTCTGAAAGTATTTTCCATCATTTCTTCCTGTCATATCCATACAATCCCAACCTCCGCTCTGGGCTCCCAGAACTCCGAACCTGACTTCCGGAGTCCTACTTCCCTTCCGTCACCTCCTCCTTGCCGACTCCCAAGAGGTTATCCCACCTCCAGCTCTGACACCACCTTCGGTCCGACTCCGGAACATTCCAGGTCCGACCCCAACCTCGACACCTTCCAGATGAGTACACAACACCTATGCTCCCAACCTCCGCTCTGGAATCCCGTTCACGTCTCCGTCTCCGGAACCTCCGGTCTTAGCTCCGACCTCGGACTTTGACCCCACCTCCGCTTATACCCATTGTATTGGTTAGCTCATTCCATTTAATTATGTTTGCCAATATTCCGGAGTTTAACTTCCGAGTTTGGACTTTCCGGACTTATGTCGGACCTTGCAACTATTGCATTGCTCCATTCAATTCCGCTATACTCCCTCATTCCTATTTGGGCTGCTGCTTCCTTTCTATTCAGTCAGCTGGCCATTCCCCACCCCCATCCTCCCTCCTTCCTCCTTGGGCCTTGGCCCTTCACTCCTCCTTTGGGAAACACCATTGAGTCAAACCCTTGACCCTCGGTGTTGCCCCTCCTTTCAGCTCCCTTTGTCTCCTTTCGGAGTACCCTCACTCCTTTTGATTCCGGACCCCTCCTTATATACAATGTACATAGTAACTTGTAACCTCAGTCCGAAATCAACCTGAATTCCCCCCAAGAGACTTTCCCTCTGCTAGATCCGAAATTAGGGACCCCCAGGACAACCAGCAATGGCACAGTGCTCCACCTGAGTCGCTGAGGCCAAGGTCCTTCCATGCTAAGTCTCCGATTCCACTCCAGAGTCATCCGAATCCGCAAGTTCTAACACTTCCTCAATTTTGCAAATAATTATATCCTGAAAGCACTTCAAAGACTACAATTCCTGAATTTTTTGATTTTTTCCCTAATTATTTTTTTCAACTTTTTAGAAGTCCCTATTTTTCAAATTTTCCTCATTTCCCTCTATATTCCCCCCTCATTCTCCCCCTCATTCTCCCCCTCATTTCCCCCTTCATTCTCCCCCTCATTTCCCCCCTCATTCTCCCCTCATTCTCCCCCTCATTTCCCCCTCATTTCCCCCCATTTCCCCCTCCTCCATATTCTGCAAACCTGAAAGTGATTAAGTTGCCAGATTAATCATATATCAGGCCATAAATTTTGATTCTGTATTGGTGAGTCTCAGTGTCCTTGATATAGTATAGTGTTTGATCTAAATGTTAAGCAGCATCTTGTTGTGTTAGTCTTGTGGTAAGAGGTATTCATGGGGAATCTTCCCTCTTTTTTTCCTTTTCATTTTCAAATGCTCCAGGAGCTCCCAGAAGCTTCTCACCCCTATACACTTTGAAGCATTTAAATTGTATTTACTGGATATGTTTGTGCACAAAGCAATGCTCCATGCCCTCCTGGGAGTGCCCTGGAGTACCTGGCCAACTCCAGAGGAAATGAGCTGTTCCTGGACCAGCCAATCTCCTCCTGATTCTCCCAGTGCTCTCCATACTCCAGAGCACTCAGGAGCATAACAATATTTTGCTGATGCCACCTATTTATATTCAATTGTTATGTTGCATTGGTATAATTCCCATTATAGTGATGCTGTTATTTCTTTATTTGTTTGTGCTGAGATATGTAATCTACATATATATACCTCGGAGTAGTTGTAAAGGCCCCACAGCCTTTTACCTCTACCCCATTGAATATACAGCCCACTAAAGCTTATATTGAGATGGACCAACTGAGGCCTGAGGCGAATGGGGGAATCCAGTAAGCAAACCTTTCAGGCACCTTGTAACCAGGATCCAATCCCTTCAGAACCACCATGTCAAGGAGGGAGGGTGAGGAAGCATGTAGATTTGGTGGCAAAAAATAGATGGTGGGAGGGGTGGTGATGTCTCGTACAGTTGCCCAGCAGGGCCAGGTTGAACTTTTGAATTACAGTCACAGGTCATGTGACTCGGGACTTTTTGAGCTCACTGCTATGTGTGTTTGCATACATTTTAACAGCTTCAGTACTGCTAAAAATACACTAGGCACCACATCAGACTTGTACCCAGTCATTTTCACTCCATGGATGCATGTGCAACACTGCAATGTGGTAAGTAGCTTTTGTATTCAATGTAAAGTCACATTCTGCTTTCAATACAAAGAGTCACATGCTACTCCGAAAATTTACGCAGACACGTTTTGCATGGGGACCTCATGTGTCCCAGAATGAGGATCGCATCAAATTTGGCAAATGCCTAAGTGTACTGCCATTGCCAATGTGTACCAGTTGAAGTGTCATCCGCAAATTTTCGGAGTAGCATGTGACTCTTTGTATTGAAAGCAGAACGTGACTTCACATTGAATACAAAAGCTACTTACCACATTGCAGTGCATGTGCGTCCATGGAGTGAAAATGACTGGGTACGAGTCTCATGTGGTGCCTAGTGTGTTTTTAGCAGTGCCGAGGCCGTTAAAATGTACGTAAACACGCGTAGCAGTGAGCTCTAAAGTCCCAGTCACGTGACCTGTGGCCATAATGCGAAAGTTCAACCTGGCCCTGCTGGGCAACCGTATTCTCGTTCCTTGTGAAATAATTCAAAGCTCTGCTGCGACATGCAACAAAACCATCTTTTAGTTCAGTTCAAAACTTTTGTGCGACATGACATGCGACTGAACTTTGGTCGTTTCCTTACAGTAAATAAGGTAAAAATCTTGGTCACGTTTACGAAGCCTGGTAAAGCCAAACTCCAGTCACTTGGACTGCAACAACAACAGATGAGTGAGGTTTCGTCGCTTTTCGCTGCGTCCCTCTCTGTGGAACACAGAAAAAGCGCTGAGGCCGAGCTTGAGAACCTTTCGGTCCAACAAGGCTTCTTACCCTATGTGCTACAAATCGTGCTTGACCAGAACAAGGCAGTAACGATTCGGCAAGCTGCATGTCTCTATTTCAAGAACCAAATACGAAGAAGGTGGGAAGACGTAAGTACTTCGTTGTTAGATACACTCTCTGCTCATGTTGGTATCATTTCTCCACCGATCGTATCTAAGCAGGAAGATGAGCCACCTATTTCTGAAGCCGACAAAGCCACTATACGCGAAAATCTGGTCACATCAATGGTTTCGCTCTCCTCACCAACAGACAAGTTATTGAGGATGCAGATCGGGGAGGCTGTATCTGCTGTTGCGTCGTCCGATTTCCCCAACTCATGGGGCGATTTAATGGCGCGTCTGGTCAACTCGTTCTCTTCGACGGACTACAACGTGAACTTGAGCGTACTTCAAACTGCGCATAACATCTTCCTTCCGTGGCGCGCTGCTACTGCTTCTAACGAACTGTATTCTACCATCAACCTCGCCCTCAGTCAGTTCCAAGATTCCTATTTCGCCTTGTTTCGCGCCACCGCGCCGCATCTCCTCACTGCTTCAATAACGGATGTTTCTGTCTCGTCGCTGCTCGGAGAGACAATGGAATTGCTCTTCTCCCTCTATTATGACCTTGTCGCTCAGGATCTTCCCCCAGCATTTGAAGACGTACAGGATGAATTTTTTGGCAAAGATGGTGGGGATGAAGGGTGGTTCCTCAAATTCTTGAAATGGGACCCGCCCCTTCTGCAGGGTGATGTGAGTCATGCGCCCCATTCCTCACGTTCGACTCCTAAACAACTTGCAGCCCGATGATCCCACACCGTCCAAACCCCTTTGCATTCGCACCATTATTTTGGAGATCTGCGAGCTGTACACACAAAGATACAATGAGCTTTTGTCGCCCCGTCTCGGTGCCTTCATCCAAACTGTGTGGGAGCTGATAGGTGCAAGCGGGGACACAATTCGCGAGGATGCGATGGTGACTCAGGCAATCCGCTTCCTCAGCGTCAATATCAAGAGTGGATCCCGGAAAGATCTGTTCAGCCAGGAAGGAACGCTTCAGAGTCTGTGTGAACGTATTATCATTCCGAGTATGGCTCTCCGAGGTAACCATATCAAGGTGGTCCCATCTCTCAGTACTCATTTGTGAATTCATAACAGAGCACGAGGTGGAACAATTTGAAGATGATCCGCTAGAATATATACGGCGAGACCTCTCGGCAGCGGCTGAGGCGGCTGGGTCGACTCGTCGACATGCTGCTGGTGATCTTGTCCGTGCTCTTATGTCAGTAGGGTTCGAAGGTCAAATTACCGAAATTATCATGAACGCCGTGAACCAGGCATTGGCAACATACAAGACCGACCCGAACGAGTGGAAAGCGAAAGATGCTGCCATATATCTATTTACATCAATTGCCAGCTTAGGTACCACGACTAGTCAAGGTGGCACTAGCACCAACGCTCTCGTGGATGTCATCAGCTTCTTCTCCGAAAACGTGTACTCAGATCTGATCACTCAAGATGGATCTGTGCATTCTATTTTGCAAGTAAATAGCATTCGCTTCATCTACACCTTCCGTTATCAGGTCAGCTATCCTCTGCTGCACTCGCCGAATTTTGTACTCATGACATCGGCCACTCGAAGCTAACAAAAGAGCAGCTCTTGGCAGTGCTACCTGCCCTTATTCGTCATCTTTCATCATCTAATTACGTCTCGTACACCTATGCCGCTGTTACAATCGAAAGGATACTCTTCATCAAGCGAGAAAATCATATGCTGTATGTCCAGATTCTCCTTACCTTCCCACCATTCATCTCACAGTCAAACCTAGTTTCTCGCAAGTTGATGTCGCCGAGACTGCTAGGCCAATCTTGTTGGCTCTGTTCACCAAAATTCGCGGCTCAACTACTCCAGAGAAGATAGCAGAGAATGACTACTTGATGAAATGTGCGGGTCGCTTCTCGGTTGTGTTATGGTCTCTCCTTAATATCTTCGTTGCCTAGGCGTAATGAGAGTTGTCGTTACGGGCCGTCAAGCCCTTTTCCCAATTTTTCAAGAAATCCTTTCGCCCTTGGTTGCTATCCTTACTGAGATCAGCAGGAACCCCAGTAATCCAAACTTCAACCAATACTGCTTCGAAAGCATCGCCGCTCTCTTAAGGTGAGAAACACGGACGCGTTTGGCATGATTTATTTGTGACTCGCTGCAGGTTTGTCGTCGCGGCTAGTCCTACATCCCTAGAAACATTCGAGAACACGTTGTTTGCTCCTTTTCAGTCAATTTTGAAAAATGACGTTGATCGTGAGCGTGAACTGCCTAGTCTATGGGGATGATGTCTAACACCGCCAAAAGAGTTTGTCCCTTACGTGCTTCAGATTATCTCCCAGATGCTTGAGCTCCATACGGGGACAATACCGCCTAACTACGGGGCATTTCTTCCCCTCTTACTTACTCCAGTCCCATGGCAGCAAAAAGGATCTATTCCAGCGCTGGTGCGACTCCTCAGGGCGTACTTGGTGAAGGACGCTGCCAGCATCGTTAGGAACGGGCAGCTAATGGCCATCTTGGCTGTCATCCAGCAGCGTCTCATTCCTTCTAAAATGAATGATTCTTATGGGTTCGAGCTCTTACAAACGGTCATAGTCAATATCTCAGTTGGGGAATTGTCGAAGCATTTCAACGTCATCCTTTTGACACTGTTGAACCGTCTTCAATCGACAAAAACGGATAAGTATGCTTTAGGGTTTGTGCAGTTTCTATGTTTCACCATGGCTGTCCAAGTGGAAGGTTTGAACCCAGGTTTCGTGGTGAATGCCATTAATACTATTCAGGGGGGGTACGTCGAGTCTCCCGCCGTCGTGTCATGATACAGGCACCAACTCCTAACTTGACAGCTTATGGACTTCGATACTGGGGAATATTGTGTTGCCGCAACTGCCGAAGTTTCTTCCTAAGGACAGGAAGTTGGTGACTGTTGGTTTGGCAAGATTGTTGACCCAGTGTGACGAGATGCTCCAACCACCGAATTCTACATTATGGTATGAACATGCTTGGATTAAAGAGGATAATCCTCTAACATCATATCATGTGGACAAGGCCATCGACTCTCGTTGCTTTATTGGAGCTGTTGAACATGCCAGGCCTCACCAAGGATTTGGGTACAGATGCCGATACTGAAGATCTCTCATCTATCGACCATGAAGAACAGAATGCAGGGTATCAGGCTGCCTTTACACGCTTGGCTGCTTCCACACCGCCAAAATTTGACCCTGTTGCGTATGTAGGTGATGCAAAGGGTTATTTAAAGTTGGAGTTGTCAAGATTCGCCAGAAACGATTCGAGGGCAGACCCTCTGTTGGTAACAGCTACTCAGGGTTCGCCGCTTCTCCAGGTGATGTTTGCGTCATAGACCACTTCGGGTTCAGCTCCTTAGCGCAGCGATACACTAATGGGATTCGCACCAAGTACACAAATTCATGTCGATGATTTTTCTCACTGTGTGTGTGTGTAGTTCTGGATATTTATCCTGCAGACTACAGGCTGCTCGTGAGAAGGGCAAAATAAATACACCAAAATAAAGTAGATATAAGGGATGCATTCGATCTGGGGAGTCTCGTCCTATGACTGAGTAGTTCCCTAACCATTTCCTATGGGGAGCCCCCACTTACATGTGATCGGATGTTATGCTGCCGGTTATCGTAAAGGTAGGGGGATTCCGCTTTTCGGGGCAGATCTCTTGGGCTTGGGGGTCTATTCGGTTGAGGTTTTCTTTTCGTATGCTCCGCTCGCGTTGAGGAAGCTCGCTACTCTTATGCTACCCTCTTCCATTCCGAGAAGGTCGGCTAGATTTAGGTCTCCATCTTTGTCGCGAAGGAGGTCTCGGTGCACGGCGTATAGCGAGCATTCCATCAGGATACGGTCGCGTGTTTCTGTGGGTTTACCGCATCTGCAGCTCGGGTTCTCGATTGGGAGGAAACGATTGTAATATTGGCCGATGAAGGTGTGGCCCGTGCGCAGTTGAACGAGGCAGCTAAAGTTTTTACGCCCGAGGGAGTTGAAGCGTTTGGTGGTACTTAGGTTTAGCTCTGTAGTGTTACACTCCGATGGTGAGCAGGGTCTCTGTTCCAATGTTCGATCCACTCGGTTCTGTACCGGCGTCTGTTTGTGTTGCGCATGAATGCTGCTGAAGCGTCAAATTTTTCTCAATGTCCTCACATTTTAACAATATCAGCAAAATGCCACCTCAGTCCACTGAGGGAGAAGCAAAAGCGTGGGGCAAAAATCCCGTGTGGTGCGTAAACACAATTAGAAAAGTTAACAAGCCAAAAACGCCAATGTGATGGGAGACGCTACCTTGGCATGTTAGCACTGCAGAATAAGCTCCCTGCCAAGAATCATGATGGCAGTGTCTAAACGCTCTTTGTTCTTACCCACGCATGGAACCTGTGACAGCGTCCACCAGACAGTCCGAATTGCATGGGGATTTGCGGTGGGGGGGTCCACATATTGTCCAGCTGGAGTTGTGGGGACATTTCAGAGCAATTTTATCCGGCATCCACCGGATAATCTTCTCACGCTCTGCTTTTCTCTCACAAAATGCTTACAGGTGCAGCACGCTCCGCCGCTTCTCGCGTAGTTCTGCGCCCAACTCTCCAGGTGGCATAACGTCCATGGCACCTTAAGCCGTTCTTAAATCTTACAGAGTCTTTCACAGACGCGGAACATGGCAACACTCCGTGAGATCGAACTTCGTTTAAAGGTGGCGTCTCCAACTGCAAGCGGGTACAGAACTCGCGCTTATTATTCATTAGTCCGTTAGAAATATCGAGAAGATCACCAAGGCATTCATTCTGCCGCTATTTCCATGTTGTTGCCTCTCACCGTTTATTTTAGTCTATGAAAATGATTGCCTCAACAAAGCTTGCAAAAGCACAACGCGCAATGGCTAATGCCAAGAATTATGGGTTGGCTAGCAACGGTCAGTATATGCATCAGAGCCTCATTCCATTCAATGGCTCAGGCGACTTCGACTTACAGAAGTGTTCAAGAATGTGGATGCTCCTGGAGGAGACAGAAAGCTTTTTGTTGTCATTTCATCAGACCGTGGCCTTTGTGGTGGAATCCATTCATCTGTTACCAAAGCCACCCGAAGGCTCCTTGATGAGGGCAATGAGGATGCTAGGATAGTTGTCCTAGGAGACAAGAGCAAAAGCCAACTCACACGGCTCTTGCCAAACAACCTGCTTCTCACGTTCAACCAAGTTGGGAAAGATGTTCCTACATTTGCGGACGCCTGTGTCGTCGCGAACTTCATCACCAAGAGTAACGCGGAATTTGATTCTGTTTGTGACCTTCCAGACCTCCTTTCTCTCTTGAAATAACAATCTGTTTGCAGGTGCACATTGTATACAATGAATTTGTCTCCGCTATCAGCTATCAGGCGGCTGCCATGAAAGTAGTGAACCAGACTGCTCTACAGGAGGCTCGTGCGTTTTTGGGTAGTCGCCGACTCGTCCTTGCCTGACATTATTATTTAGCCAATTTCAAACAATATGAGATGGAAGATGATGTAACCGAAGACCTTACTGAATTCTCGATCGCAAATGCAGTGTACGCGGCACTCGTTGAAGGGCATGCGGCCGAGATCAGCTCAAGGTGTGTATCGCCGCGACACCCCATTTGACCTACTAATCGTATTACTAGACGCAATGCGATGGATAATGCATCTAAGGTAGCCCCAATTTACTTGAATGAATGTCTTGTGCTCAAGAATCCGTGTTAGAATGCTGGGGAGATGATCACTTCGCTGCAAATGAAGTATAATCGTGGACGTCAGGCAGCCATTACGAACGAATTGGTTGATATCATCACTGGTACGTTTGTTTCGGGAAGCATACAATGTCTTCGCTCTAATTGCGAATCCTCATGTCAGGTGCTAGCGCTCTTTAATGCAAGGGTTCCCAAAACTTTAGATGATTGGTATTAATCTTGACTACAATCCTACATAAAAATGTAGAAGGATGGTCATGCTTGTGATCCTGCGAAACTTTGAGTGCAGCTTGACAGACTTCGGGCATTGATTGCACATCCCCTTGCCCTGACGAGTTAGTCACCACATCCCGTAGATGGGAGGTAACATCACCACAACTGCACGAAACCTCCAAACTATGTGTGACATTAAGATTGTTGGGACGACGTAAATTGGAAGGGACAAAATAGACCCTTTATGAAAATTTTCCATCAGGTATTGGTCTCACGACCCTACGAATCTCCCTAGCAAATGATGAGGTCAGACAAAACACAACGACGCAGTCTAACTCCGTCGATTCACCAATTTTCTGCGCTTTGACATTGGCGATGGCGCGAAGTTATGAGGGTCATCCTCACGCTGCTTGCGCATTAATGGCTGACTAAACAGAGATGGAGTCTCTTGGCTAGGTCCGCGTTCCTCGTTGGAAGGCATATCGGGCGCATCGTGATGACCTCGATTCTCCAGTTCATCTGGGTGTCGTTTGTGCTAGCATTGCCTAGTTAGCGCATGACGCTCCATATAGAAATCACCCCACTTTACGCCGTCTCCCGCCCGCTTCAAAATCAGAAGATTGGGAAGTTCTGAAGAGTAGTCCCTCAGGCAGTTTGAAATGTTCAATGGTCCTCGCATCTAGTTGCATGATATCAGTGTGCTGCCTTGGCCCAATCATCATCATGTCCGCAATGGGTGAACTTTTCTTCGTAGAAGTTCGCCCTGAAAATTTTCGTTTAAAACAAGTTATGGATTAGCAGAAGACACGTACCCGGCAGGTCGGCGAGAAATGTCTTCAGCCCGTGTGGTATCCGATTACCATCTTCCTGTTCATCTTGAAAACGGGGGTCCTTTGTCAACTGACTTGGTCTCACGTAGGGACGAACAAATGTGGTATACGCATCCACCAACTGCAGCCGTGAAAAGAGGTCCTGCGTGCCATGAAGATGGCGCCGCACTCTGGGCGAAGCATCTTGCAGACGAGTAGAGGTGTTCAACGGAGGAACATGGTAAGGCAGCGATGCTAATCACCAGTGTGGTTCGGCCAAAACAGATCTTTAGCATCTGAGTTGCTGAGATTATTTTTATTTTCGAATGTCATTCAAATAGGCGCCAGAACTCCGATCCAGAGAAGAAATGATACAATCATTCACGTGCCAATGGTTCACAACCTGTCGGAAAATTGCGTATACCGCTGGGATCACGTGAGAAGGTGGTGTGACCCATTTTTTGTCCGTCCACGAGCTCCTCCGGGTCTGAGCTGTTGAGCAAGTCCAATTCACGATAATCCTGCCGGGGTTGGCCGGTATCCCGCCTGGATGGAAGACGAACAACCCTTTGGGTTGCGGGCATTGTGTCAGGCATTCTCGGTGATAATCGTGTCAGAGATAGGAGATAAAACTTTTTTAATCGTATGTGATTGTCAAATGAGCAGTCGCTTCTCACGAGTTCTCATACTCGGCCAGGCGGCAATCCTCGCTATGCGACACGACAGAGCCACAGTTTTCGCGGGTGCCTTTGGATCTCTTCTTCTCATGTCTATCCTTTCTGCAGTGATAGGCCTGCTCCTTCCTTCTCTCATCCCTAGAAAACTCGCACAACTTGCTGCGGCCCTGTTGTTCATGGTGTTCGGGATTAGGATGTTGCTTGAGGGACAACGAATGACCGATGGCAACGAGAAAATGCAAGAAGAGATCCGCGAGGCTGAAGAAGAGATTGAGGAAGCAGATGCTGTAGCAGATGGCACAGGCCTGCAGTCAAATGGTGAAGTTGTGCCTCTGGAGGTGTTAGAAGGGGGAGGTTGCGGACGCGCAGACCACCGTCGAAACTTCAGTGTGAAACCCCATGGCCAGCTGGGACGACCAAAAATTCGATCTCCCCCGCCCCGCTTGACCCAAGATTCTCTCATTCTCGAAACTAGATGCACTCAACTAAAGAAACTCGCCAGGAGAACTAGTCATGCGCTCCTTGGTCCTGTCTTCGTGAAAACGTTCACCCTCACTTTCCTCGGCGAATGGGGTGACAGGAGTCAAGTAGCGACCATTGCGCTGGCTGCCGCGCATGTACGTTACCGGATAGCAATCTCTCAATTTCAGAGGAGCCAAAACTGATGGCATGTCTGTCAGAACGTTTATCTGGTTGCTTTCGGTACACTCATCGGTCATGCATGTTGCACGGGGTTGGCTGTTTTAGGGGGTCGGTGGATTTCGACTAAAATTTCCATTAAAAAAGGTGAGTCTCCATTCATGAAGGAAGTTGGTCATGTCAATGAAATTGGACGTAGTCACATTGGGAGGCGCGTGTTTATTCCTGCTCTTTTCTGTTTTATATCTTGCCGAAGCTTTGTTCATGCCCTCGTTCAACCCAGCAGTAGACCTGTCCAAGCTTGATGATCAATGACAGTTATTTTCTCGCGATCAGCTGACTTAATCAATTTTTGAAATCGCCTGTTCCCAGCGCGGAGCGACGACGGCTGGGTACGAGTCTGCGCCGTGATAGGTTCACCTCCCACGTGCAAAATGGCTCTCATGGCCTCAGTTGAACACGACAATGATGATATTCGAAAAAGGAGCCCTCCTACTTCCGATTCTGTATCAGGATCGCGTGCTTCAGGGTCCATAATCCCGCCTCTACGTTCCTATGGAGCGGGATCCACAAAAGTGCTGACCGATCGTGAGGCTGTCACTCGCACCGTCCGGGTCCGAACTTGATAACCCTCATCACCTTTTCAAATACAGTGGCTCCAGTTTTAATGTCATCGAAAATGGCTGCGGCCGTCTCTACTAGATCTTCCCGCAACAACAACACTTCAACTCCTTCTCTCTCCTTGGCAGCCTTGGGGAGAGCTCCTGGACGCTTGTCTTTGGGGGGGCGTCGAATTACCTCCAGAGACCTTCAGATACACGAGGCTACCAACGAACTTCTAAATATCGAAATACCTGAAGAAGATAATAACAGTTCTACGGACGTGAGTCTACTTCGCGGATTCAAAGCTACGAACCCTGGTGCCAACGATGGAAGAGCACGGCGAAGAAAGATGCGAAATGTTGACGAACCCTTGGCACCTGAACAAGTGGCGACCGACGTTTCCCCAAGGCCGAGGCAACCCTCGGAAACCCGCAAAAGACGGCCTCGTATATCCCTTGCAACCGATGTAAGGCTAGGAAGAGCCGAGCTTGAGAGACAAATTCACGAGATTTCAATTGACCAAGAAAACATCAAAGTGCGGCGAGTAAGTTCGCATGCACCCATAACTTTGTCTGTATAACCACTTGCGGTTTTCAGGCGCTTCTCGTGGCTGAAGTTGCAGATATTTCGGAAAAGATAAACTCCCTTGAAAACTTGCGCAAAGGCATTGACCTCCAACTATTGAAGTTACAAGAAGACGACCTGGAGTTAAGCGAAGAATGTGAGTGCTTGCCACATTCACATCCTCGCCCACGTAATATTAGCTTTCTCTAGTAGAGGGTGTTGAAGACCGCCTTGCATTCGAAGAATCCTCGTTACCCGGCAAAGATTTACACATGCCTGCGACACAATACAGTGTGAGGCCAATACGACGGAAGCGAGGTTCGTTCATCTAGTTTCACCATGTATATTTTATTCGCAAAACTATCCATCTTCAGGACCCGCTTTTTTCCCATCTGAGCACGACGAACTGCCTCGCGGCGCCGCTTTTATGGTGTGGGGCATGCATTGCTGACCGGAAACTACGTCGTTGATGTTCAAATTCCAGACGCTCTCTGGGCACAAAGGTCCAATAAGTGCTCTTGACTTTTCCGCGCCCTACGGACTGCTTGTTAGTGCCTCCTTGGGAGTACCGGATGAGCCCGAATGGGCCCGAGTGTGGGATTTGACAACAGGAAAGCAAATTGGGCGCCTTTGCGGGGAAGAGGGAAACAATGATGCAATCAAATGTGCGCAGGTCGAAGAGAACATCTGCGCTACTGGGGGGACAGATTGCAGCGTCAATTTGTGGGATCTGAAACGGGTAGGGGATCCTGTGTCGACTGACATCGTAACTCTGACTCGAAATGACCCGGGCGCCGGCGTAAGTGTTTTACGCGGCCATAGCGGCCCTGTGACTGCTTTATATTTCGATGATTTGTATTTGGTAAGGACATGTGGACTACTGCACTTCACGATTCCCATTCCTCTTGGTTCAGGTCAGCGGTGCCTCCGACAAAACAATCCGACAATGGGATCTCTCCACAGGACAGTGCATTCAAACCATGGACCTCTTATGGGCTATCTCGCATCCACCAGCCATGTTGAGCAGGGGCTCCAGGCAAGGGCTCCTAGATGTTTCTTCGCCTGCCTTTGCAGTTCCTACTCAACCTCTTTCTGATGGAAGTTGGGACATGTATCAAGATTTCATCGGCGGATTACAGTTCTGGGGTTATGCTCTCGTCAGTGGCAGTGGAGATGGTGCTGTTCGAATGTGGGACAGTGAGCAGCTTACTTGTTGCTGCGCTTGCTCGTACGATAACACAGATCCGCTAGTGCGCACTGGCCAACCGCATCGGACGCTGATGGGACATACGGAACCAGTAACCTCTGTTCAATTTGACGAGTTTCATATCATCAGTGGAAGTCTGGACAAAACAATCAGAGTGAATTGCTGTCCTTTCCTCGTTGACCCATAGTATCAATGAGTAATTTTTAGATTTGGGACATAAGGAATAGTGTCATGACAGACACCATTCGGTTCGATTATCCGGTTTCGGCCCTACAATTCGACCCGCGCAGGATCATTGCGTGTTGTGGTGAGAACGGGGTGAAGGTGAGTCATGTTTAAACGATTGGTGTAGTAACACAGGATACCGACCGATCTCTTCTCATTTGGAACTAGACATATAACCGAACAACTCTTCACCTGTCTTCTCTTGAAGCGAACGGTCATAGCAGGCCCTGTGAGAGAGTGAGATACATGGACACGTATATGGTTTCGGGGGGGCGAGATTCGGTATTGAAAGTATGGGCACTGTAGTTAGCTATCCATATTCAGCTCCCAACAGTTGTTACCATCTGCGACAGTCTCCGTAATAATCAATAAACGGAGGGCTGGGGACGAGCCTGGGCGTCAGGCCAATGACAGCATGAGATGTAGCCCCTACATTTGGCTGCCATGAAAACAAACAAAGAATAGTTATAGACGTTTATTCGGTCAACTTAAACTAAAGGAGGCCATCGCTCTCCGACGTGATAATACCAGGACGCGTTGCTTCGTTTATTTGTTCGTACGTTTGTTTGAGGTGAACATGACATCTAAGTCATGCCTTATAGCTGTCGGAGTTAGTCCTTTCTATCGTCTCCACTCGATGCGGCAAGCTGGTGCCGGGCCGATCCCATCGTTTATCAATCAAATATATCCACCATCATGACAGCTCCAATCCTTTTCCATTACTTCTCAACACCTCTCCCGTACCTGCGTACTCTTGCTCTTCAGCAGAGCATTCATGACTTCCAGCTCCAGTCCAGGCGGAAAGGACACCAATTTCCAGATATTCTCCTTCTGTTGCAACATCGCCCAGTTTACACTGGAGGCAGGCGCCAGGGGCATGCATCCGCAGACGAGCGAGTCCGACTCAGAGACACGGGTTCAGAATGGGTACCGACGTTAAGGGGAGGCGAAACTACGTTCCACGGCCCCGGCCAACTTGTTGCTTACCCGCTTGTGGATCTTGGAAGGCTATATGTATGCCAGCGTCAATCTTCCGCCTTTGCTAATGGCCTAAATTTTCATCCAGCTATCCGTCAGAGACTATGTCTGCGCCTTACAAAATATTTTGGCTTCCCTAATAGTGGACGTTCACAAACTCCCGATACATAAGTCTCCCCACACGGGAATCTTTCTGAGTGAAGAGCGCAAAATCGCATCCATTGGTGTGCAAGTGCAACATCGGCTTACGACTCACGGGTTTGCAGTCAACGTCACTGACGAACCTATTCTTTGGTTTGATCAAGTCGTAGCCTGCGGACTACCAGAAGTGCGCGCAGTCTCCATTTCGACCGCTGTAGGCCATGATGTTACCGTTCACAGTCAAGTTGCACCAGTGCTCAGCATATTTGCCTCACAGCTCAAGCGCGATATGGAGCCCCTCGACCATAAACAGGGCGAAATCATGTCAATGGTTCGCAGCCTGGAAGTTGAAGCAGAGGGTGAGGGCCCTTGGTTGCAAAAACCAATCATGTATTAAGGGAAATACGAGATGTCTTTAAAGCTGTGAGCCGTCGCGGGCTTCGATATATATGTCCCTAGCGATAAGGCCCAGCTTATGGAATAACTTCCCTTGATCCTGGGCGCTCAGAGATGAGGCCTGTCTTCGGGCGTGCCTTGCAGCAATGCCTTGCGAGATGATAGCGAGCTAGTCATGACATTTAGAAGCAATGTCTTGCCCTGGTTAGATGAGCCAGCTCACTCGGAAAGTCATCCAACTTCGCACAAACGGCATTTCCTTGATAGGATACGACATTTTCGCAACTTGACAGTACTCTCGTTCTATTTCACCCAAGGTGATCGGGATTGCTTCTTGGGGTGCCCCTCTCAACCCTTCACTTAGATATCCAGTAGTTGCAATAGATGGACCGAAATTATATGGCAGTGTGAGATTCCCTAAATCAGCGAGCTTCAAGACAATGCATTTAGCCAAAGAAGTTCAAACATTAATGAACCTACAGGACTTCCCAACGTGCACAACTCCCAGTCCAATATCCCGATGACTCTGGTCTCCGTCGGGTGGAAAACCAAATTGTCTATTTTGTAATCACCATGGACTATTCTCGTTCCGACCTTGCTCTCATGCGGCAAGTGTGTAGAGTACCATTGGATAGACTCCTCGAAGTACGGGATTGGCCCTACGGTTTGTTTGGTATCTACGTCGACAGCTTCGGCTTGGAGGCGGGAAATGCGCGCAAGGCTTTTGATCTGGCGGGGGAAGTAGGCTGTGTGGGGACCAAATGTCTCAAGTCCAAGATCCCCTGGATTAAGCGATCCGAGCAAAGCGAGAACACGAACGGCATCCAACCAACTAAAGAAAGTTTCATGAACTCAGAAATTGGATCCAACTTTGAAACGTACCAAGCTTTACGTTCACTCGGAGATAGCTGGGGCATCTTGAAATCAGCAAAAATGCGCCCTTCGAGGAATTCCATGACATAGAATGACGTGCCAATTACGGCCTGATCCTCACAAAGTATGATGGGGTTAGGGATCGGGATCTTCCTAGTGTCATCCTTTGTATGTTCATTGTAAAGCTGCAATGCAGACAATACTCGGAACTCTCGCTCAATTGCATGCGCAGTGGGCGAGAGTAACGTTCCACTGGGCTTCTTCCTGAGAACAAAGCGAATGCCACTGGGGGGATGTTAAAGGTAGAGGAATGGGCTATCGAATTGAAAACATACAGAACATCCGTGAGGAAGTAGGTTGGATTGGACTGGAAGAGTATTTTTAGCCAGAATTTCCGACTCTGGACCACAAACGCATTCACCTGCCCATACTGCCGGCATTTCAGCTGCATCTAGACGCCATAACATAGTTATCACAAACCTGAAACTGCTTTACTGTGACTGGGGCTTTGATGACATGGGTATGTTGTGAGAGATACTCATTCAGAGCCCCGATGGGTATACTCGCTCTAATTTCGCCATACCCTCCGCCTATCTTGGTGGGCGACATCTCCGGAGTGGGCTTACGTATGTAGGGCTACACCATTCAACCGGACTCTAATTTAATTACCATGTCACTGTAGCGTCAGACCCCCAATTTAACCATTCTCGACGTCCATTACGATACATGACCAGTTCAATATTATGCGTAGACTGTCTGAGTGCTAGCACCAGATGGACGAGTGCATAACTATGCAACGTCAGGTGTGGGAAACTGAATAGTTTTACGTTTTTCAAGAGAGCAAACACAGTGAATCAAGGACGAGGGGGCTAAACAGAATATCATGATCATGAACACAGTAGCAGTCGACTACTGACGAGTAGGAAAGACCAAAACGCCATGGTGTGGATGAAGATAGAAAACAAGGAATGCACCAGACTCCTTCACAGTCGCTCACATGATTTCTCCGAGGTTTAGCCGCAACTTACGTTGCCCTCCGAAATCTGTCGAGCGACTGGTACAACTTGCAACACGTGATGTTCCCACGCTAAGTTGTAATGAGTTGTACATAGGTTACGGAATATAATTTTTAGTATTTACGCATGCGGTCATTGCACCCAACCCAACCCGTGGAGACTAAGGGAGCACATCCAAGGTTGTGAAGTCAATATCCGGGGGTGCGCGAAGTTTAACAGTTTATATATTACTTAGTTACCAGTCACTTGTTTGTGCCCGGTGGCATAAGTGGTATGGCGTTAGCTGAGGCTATGCAGTCTTTTTAAGTGGCACATGTTCAATTCTCACTTAGGGAACTTTTTTTTTTCATACCCTCCATTCCTTAGTGTACAGACAACAACCATTTCAAACAATTATTCCATGGGAGGGCCCAAAAAAAGTTTGCCTAAGTGAGAATTGAACATGTGCCACTTAAAAAGACTGCATAGCCTCAGCTAACGCCATACCACTTATGCCACCGGGCACAAACAAGTGACTGGTAACTAAGTAATATATAAACTGTTAAACTTCGCGCACCCCCGGATATTGACTTCACAACCTTGGATGTGCTCCCTTAGTCTCCACGGGTTGGGTTGGGTGCAATGACCGCATGCGTAAATACTAAAAATTATATTCCGTAACCTATGTACAACTCATTACAACTTAGCGTGGGAACATCACGTGTTGCAAGTTGTACCAGTCGCTCGACAGATTTCGGAGGGCAACGTAAGTTGCGGCTAAACCTCGGAGAAATCATGTGAGCGACTGGGAAGGAGTCTGGGAATGCACTAGAAATCACTTCCAGGGAGTTATCCACGATCACTGGGCTCCTACAGGGCCGAGTCGACCTTGGCACGAAGATCAGCCGCCACAGCATCAGCGGTGTCTGGCACTGGGCGAGAAGATGTGGTTTTACCATTATTAGCCAATACTGGCTTGAGGATACTGAAGTACAACGTGCGGGCACCCTAGGCCAATGCAATTATAACCTGCACATGAAGACAAGAGGAAACTCTGCGTACCTTGGTTGCTGGTAGTTGGAGCCAAAGGATAAAAATGGTCTTGAACACAAAGTAAAATGGGAGGTAGTACAGAGCGAGGCGCAATGCCACAGACTCGACAACAGTGAAAGTCTGTAGTACGGTCATCAGCAGATAATTTGCGAAGATAGTGCGAGGAAACGAACTCCGAAGACAACCCAATATGTCAACCATTGGACGTCATCCTCGTGACCGGGAGATTCGATGGCCTTGACGGAGAGAAACGCGGGAAGGACGAACCCAACCAAGTTCGAGATGGAATGAGCCAGGGTGTTGATGAAAAGAGAAACCAACACCACAAGGGCCACTCCAATTGCACCATAAGTCTTGGGAATTTGCGTTTTCTGCTCAAACGTGTTGGCAGGGCCATACTTGGAGAGCTGCGTGGCAACGTCATCCATTCATGAGCATCGTGGGCATCGCGGTATTGCCAATGGGGACTACACACCTCCTTATCGAGCTGGCTAAGGTAGTAACCCGCCTTGTCTTGTGCTTGCTGGACAGCAGGATGTGTTTGGACGGAAGACATCTCTGAGTGATGTTAAATAATGTCACGGCGTGAAAAAAGAAGAATACGGGACAGCGATGCAACGCGAGCAAAAAAAGTCATTATATAGTTGGTCTTCATATAGAGGCAAACAGAATGGCTTCTTACTTGAGGAAATGTGTTTTTGAGAAAAAGAGGTACTAGATGGTTGGTGACCAGAGAGCAGTGGAGAAAGCCAGGTCACTGCGTGTCAGGCAATATATTCAACATTTGCTTCCGTACTGACACCGCATCAACATTTTGGTTGAGCACTTTCAACCTTTCAAATCCCCAGCAAAGCCATCATGACCGATGCTAAGACCTATTCCCAGATACAGGTACAGCATGTTCACTACGAGGAATCACTAGGACGCTCACTCATCCCTTCGAGGCACTTCATGTATCCCTAACTCCCTTCGCACCCGCAATATCCGTGAAACTTCTTCCCTACCTGGCTTTCGTTTTGCTTACCGCATCCTTCTTATTGGCCTTTTATTTTACTACGTGAGCTCGCTCCATATTCACATTTTGCCATTATCAGCTCACGTTTGCTAAGTATACCCAAGGATCTGCTGACTTTTCGAGAGATTACTGTCGCATTATGGGCAAGCATCTTGGCTGGTTTTGGTGTCATTGCACTGTTTTCCAGCGCTGGAGTCTATGTATGACTTGGAACAACGTTCATTGTGTTCGCGAATGCTAGTTATTGATTTTCCATTTGAAATTACATTTGGTACACTGGAATACCCTCAGCAGACATCCCAAACATAATGCAGGAGGCTACCCACCGTGTAGGAAATAGTTGCGCCTTCGTCTGCCGAACGAGTCTATTGTTATGGCACCAGAATATCAGGTCAAAACTCATGCAAGGAACAACAGTGCCTACCTGCGCTTCCCTGTACCATGATTCAGGGTGGCTGCATCTAGGACACGGCTCGTTACACTAAGAGGACCGGGATGAGTCAGCGTATCATCATCAGCAATGCCAAATACGGACGCACTTTTGTTCCTAAATCTGCACCTTCATGGATCTTAATCAAAGTCGCCTTTTTCATCCTCAATGCTGAAGGAAATGCGTCGGGATGTGATCGAGTATAAACCACAGTGTTTTCGTATGCTGGTTAATTCTGGTCAAATCAGAACGCAAAGTGGAATAGCGCAAATGCTGACAGGACACCAGCTCGGAATGGCCACATTGTTCGCACAGAACGTGCTCTTCAACACCAGGAAGATTCAGCAATGTGCCACAATTTGGGCAAAACAGTAAATTGCCTGTTACTAGCAGTCAGTATCATCTCAAATTTCACTCGGGGTATATTCTACCGATCTTCAGAGCCGTTGAGCTCATTTCACGAAGGAGGCTGATCCCGTGACTCTCGAGTGTCGGAAAAATCCTGTGTAACAATTATTGAACGCAAGATGTACGTTAATTGCTTTGGCGGTTTTACACCCCGGAACTCTGAATACTTTTGATGGGAATGGTCCACTGTAGTAGAGGCAGGGGTCCTGCCTATAATAAATCATTTTAACAATTGTATCATAAATGCTTTCCACTGCATCAAAATTGTCATATAAACGATCACGGTCTGACCAATGCCTTCTGCGCGGTTTTAAAAAGAAACCAAACAATTTATCAGGCGTTTAAACGTTATGGGAGACATATTATTAGCGTGTAGAATAGCGACAGCCAGCAAGCGACATGCGACGAATTCCGAGTGAAATGGCTTGCGTTCTCCAATAAGTCACACGTTGCGGAGTCGGCCGAATCTATAATTTACACTGGAACCACGCATCCACCGAACCACAACGACAGAGTACGATGGTACCCACTCTACAACACTGTGATGGCCCAATAACATATATCATTATCATCAGGCTCTCGGCGCAACTACGGTGGTTTGAATGGACCCTAAGGCGCGAGCAGAGGCACGTCGCCAGGCGATTTTGACGAAAGGGTCGAAACGGCTGGCGAAGCTGACTTCCTCAGCCCGTGGCGAGGATAGCGCTGTCATGCATCAAGGTACGCAGCCAGAGTTAGTAGCTGTGTTTTCCCTCTCAATGCAATGCTTGGTCAGACCTGCCAACTGAGTTCGGGAACAGGCTGACAGAATCACCGACGCCAGACCCTCACATACCAGCTATACCCGTACACCCTCCCCTAGTACCTAGCGGTCTCAATGAGCCTTTTCCGCATCTCGAAAGGGAACGTATGATCAGGGAGCTTTTCGGCGCTCCACTTCAGGCTCCGTCTGGCAGTATTCCCAATCTGGATCACGGTCTCGCCCCATTCCTGACATCGATTATAGAAGGAAGTGCTTTGAGTCCCAAGTCGCCCTCTGGTTCTTCGGTTGCTGTCAACATCAGTGAACCCACATCTCACCAGAAGCAAATCATCGCCCACTTTCTACCTCTCATCCGTCTAGCTTCAGTGATCATGTTATCGATATTCTTCGTGTCACGATATGGGCCAGAACAGACAGGTAATTCCTCTTGGAGCACATTGAAGCACCATTCACCAAATCTCTCTCAACCTGCAGTAAGTATCATTCTTCCTCCTTTTTGATGCGCTGACTTTGGGCCAGGGCCTATTCCAAAGCTTTGCAGCACTCGAAATTGTTTGGTATGCACTTTACATGATGTGCGGGCTTATCGACACGACAGTCCCTGGCATCATTTCTGCAGTTTTGCCATTGCTATCCCAACCCTATACCACCGGAATAACCACCGCGGTCCAATACATTAACATGGCACAAAGAATAGCAGATGATCTCGCAGTGGCCTTGTTAATTACAGGATTTGTAGTCTGGAACGCAGGGCGAATGAGCCAATGACCATTTCCCTGCAAGCACTCAGGTTGACGAATAACGCTGCTGAATGACATCAACTAGCGTAGAGAAATGCTCCGCTGACAACAGCGTCAATTTCCCCCCTACCTCTGCTCCGAACGAATCCACTTCTTGAGGGTTGTGGTGTGTATATCTGAAATGGTGACTCCCTTGCCCGAGCTATGACATGTCTGAGACTTGAAAGCTACATGTTTGATCAGGAACATGGGCTTACCTCTTCCCACACGTCGTCTTCATGGTGATACGAATGAAACCTAGGATTGTGTTTGTTGCTTGTGGCCCTTGGACGTTTCGCTGGGGGGCCACTTTCCGCTCCACTGTCCACATGACCGTCCTCGTGCGGCATATGGTATGTTCTGGAAACCATCGCATAGTAGCTGAAAAGACAAGGCTTATCCTGTATAACGTTAGACTCTATATATATCCTAACCACAAGCTGTCGGAGTTACCTCACGAATGGCAGTCTTCATCTCATCTCGAAGCATCCGGTACAAGGGGGGAACCACTTGAATGGGCATGTTTATCAAACGCTCAGATAGTATTAGCCCAATGTGGGAGGTGCTTGAAGGATCGCGTGAAGGCCGTAATATTTGCAATAATGTAGTGTCGTCTTCACATTTCGCTAGCAGATAATTGCTTAGAGCGCTTATCGCGGGATGATCCTTAGAATAACAGCTGAACAGGAATGTCATCATGCCTTCAGAAAGGATCGTACCCAGCACGCATTCAGATTCACAACAGTCAGAAATGCGTACGGATCTCCATCAATGCCATCGGTTTTGACAGTTGTACCTGGGAGCTCTTGTGATACTATGAGATGTGCCAGATCATGCACATTTACTAGCTCGGAATCCGACTGGAAAAGCTGGGTGAGCATTCGTTTTATCGCAATGAAGTCCACCGTTGAGATGTCGAAGAAGTCGAAGTCCACATCGACGATACTCTTCAAGATCATGTCAGCATGGCGCGCACCATGGGGGCCACTGTGTACATACATTATCATCATCGGAATCGTCTCCCTGAAGATGGTTTCGTTTCGGCATCGATATTTCATTCCCTGTGTTAGGGCCAAGATGTTAAAGCTACCGTGGCGGCAGAGGCTGTGATCCACATATTATGGATGATCGGGAATATAATCGTGCACGTGCTCTAACCCTCTTATTTAAAAGAGTGGATCGTGTAGTTAATCCATTTGTTGCAGGTGCTACCATCCGCCATGGCGCCAGGAAAGCAACCTATGATTTCATCCTTCCTTGCCAAAGTATGGGTTCATCGCAGCGTTCTCGCGCGCGGGCTAAACTCCTCTTAGATGAAAGACCCCGATGTGGACTTCAGGTTCATGGCCTTAAGTGATCTGACCAATGCAGCCATTGAAGATTCCGCCCTATTTGGAACTGATGAGTCTCTTGAAGCTCGTACCGTTGGCGAAGTGCTAAGACTGGTTGAGGACAAGAATTCCGAAGTAAAAAACCAAGCGGTGAAATGGTAAGAGGAGATCGTGACCAGTCTGCCTTGGCCTGATCTGTCGCCCCCGTGTAGCTTAGGTCAACTCGTCAAGTGTATAAGAGAAGCTCAGATGAACACGGCTGTAGATAGTCTCATAGATTTTATTGGCGGGAAAGATGACGAACTTCGAGACATCGCGGGATTAGGTGTGATATTGTCACTTTTCTTCATTGATCCTAAAATTAATATACGACATATTAGCCCTGAAAACGGTGACTTCCGAGATACCGCAGGAGGGCAAGATTGCAGAGAAGACATGCTCGAAGTTGGGGCCAAAGCTCCTGGTACAAGTCGGCAAGCCTGACACGCCACCGGAGACGGCGATTGAAATGCTATCAATTCTGTCCATCTTAGTCACCCGCTTCTCTATTTACCTGGCTGATATCCATCCATCACCTATTGCCACACTTACGCCGCTTCTAGGACATCCCCGAACCGCCGTCCGGAAACGTGCTGTAGTGGCATTAGCACAATTCCTGCCCACGGCATCCCAGCAATTATTTGATAATCTCTGGGAAACGACAATCAATCCCGCGTTAGAATTAAAGGCGCCCATCGACCACCAAAAGATTATTGTGTCCCTCCTTGGTGCTATAGCTCGATATGCCCCCAAAGGATCGGTCCTGTACTTCAATCGATCGTGCCTCCGATCACGAATATCTCGTCTCGCGATGACGTTGAGCTTCGCGAGGCTTCCCTTCAGGTATGGTGAACAATTTCCTTGTTGCGTTCCTTGCTGAGTCATATCTAGTCGTTAGAAACGCTCATTCTACGTTGCCCATCCGAGATCACCCCATATCTCCAAGGGATTATCAGTGTTGCTAATTCACTTGTTAAGTATGATCCAGTGAGCAATCATCATTCATGCAGCCAAAACTTTTATGACTTAAACAAATCAATCAATAGAATTACGCCGCAGAAGATAACGAGGACGAAGAGATGCAGGATGTAGAGGATGATGAGAATGGGGATGATCTTGGCGACGCGTGAGATGATTTTGGTACCCTGCACTTGCAAAATCTCACTTTAGCCTAGATATTCGGATGAAGAAGAGACTTCCTATAAAGTCCGAAGATCAGCTACCAAGTTGTTGGCAGCCATCATTGGCACACGCCCAGACATGCTGTTAACTGTCTACCGGGACGTCTCCCCAGTCTTAATCTCGAGATTTGGCGATCGCGAGGAGACTGTCCGTTTGGAGTTATGGTCTACTTATACCTTATTGCTCCGTCAGACTGAGGTTCATGGGGCTGCGATTCAGACCAGGGACAGCGAAACGCATGTCAGCCTGAAGCGAAAAAGGGGCGAGGGGATGGACGTCGAGGAGACCCCGACCAGTTTGCTTAAAGCTCAAACATCGGCCATATGCAACGCACTGATCAAGCAAATCCATTCTAAGGCTTCGGCTTTATGCCTTCAAACTGGATTTACCCTCTTTCGTGCACTCCTTAAAATTAACCCGGGATGCCTTTCGGCACAGACTCCTGCGATTACCCAAATCGTTTCCTTCACACTTAAAAGGCCCCCAGGAAACACATCGTCTGCTCTACATGTTTCCGTGCTTGGGTTTCTGGACCTGTACTTCTCCACCCATTCTCCAGCCGTGTTCAATACGGCACTGAGTGCTCTTTCTCAGCCGCTGGTATCAGCACTTTCCGAACGAGACCCTCGCATTTCCGCTGCCGCTTTCCGTTGTTTCGCTACATTACTTGTGTCCCTGAAACCGTTGCGACCTAATGACTGGTCGGAAAGTTTATACACAAAAGTCCTGGAGAAATTAGAACGCAATGACACGGATATTTCCGTAAGGGAGCTTGCTGAAGTTTGTCTCGCCGAGCTGTGGGTTTGCGCGCCAGATGTTGTCCGAGGGAAGAGCGGCGCAGAATGGGCGGCGCTCCGGCGATTTGGGAGAGCTGAAGGCGCCATCAATGTCGTAAAAACGGTGGCAGAACGCGTTAATATGACAGAGCTATGGACTGGGGAGTCCATAGAATGGGCACTGGGAATCATTCGGAAGGGTTCTCGAACACAGAGAGATGATGCTTTTGTATGTCTCAGAGTGTTACTATCTAAGTAAGCTCCTGGTGTGCCTCTATTGTACTGCCTTCTAACATGTACTCAGGTATGAGAACGGCTATCCCCCCGGACTTGCCAGCTCCGTGATGGCTCAAATTATCCCGCATCTCACTCTTGCAGAATTGTCCCACTTTACAAACAGCGTCTCCGTGATAACGCAAATGCTACGTACGTCGCCCCGCAGCGTATACGGCCCGGTAGAGAAGGATGTTCTCCCATTAATTTATCCATCGGTTGTCTCACCCGCTGTGACAGCTACTTTGTTGGACGCATTGCTCGACTTTCTTGCCGCCCTAGTACATGCCGACTCACCAATAGCGAGCAGAGTAGTACAAGGCTTACTGAATCATATCAACGCCTCTACTGGCTCCACTCCTGCAATCAATAGCAGCAAATGTATCGCTGTTGCAGTTAGAGGTGAACACAGCCTTGCTGTAAGCACCATCCAAGATTTTGCTCGCTCGATTAAGGTAGAATGCCCCATTTCACGTCACATCATCAGCTCATGCTGGTTTCTAGTCTGGTTCTCAAACGAAAGATGCGCGATTGGTTCTTAGTCTTCACGTACTGGGCGAAATTGGACGATTTGTGTTAGTTAGATACTGGAACACGCTCTAACGCGAGACCACTAATCCCATCTTTTTCCCCTCAGCGACATGTCGTCTCAAAAGGATGTCTTTTCAGATGCTCTCAATCTGTTCTCATCTGACTCTCAGGATATCAGGACAGCTGCAGCCTTTACAGTCGGTACGTCTCTGTAACTTATGTCCCTGGTGTCTGTTTTGAGTACGGATCCGCTCCGCAGGTAACGTCGCAATTGGGAATATTCCAGCATTTCTTCCTGTGATAATCAAGCAAATTCAGGCAGACGACGAACGGAGATTGCTGTCTTTACACTCATTGAAAGAGGTTCGCCAAGCTCCACATTGATTTGGATAGATCTGACGATTCCTTTTAGATCGTCACGCATTGCTCAAACTCACAGCTCGAAGGTGTTGCTGATGCTGTTTGGTCCCCTGTCTTCGAGAACCCTGAGAACTCAGAGGAGGGTACCAGAAATGTAGCCGCAGCATGTCTCGGGAAACTGACAACCACAAATCCGTCGCGGTATCTTCCCCAGCTCCAGGTTAGCAGCTTGATTGAAAGAAAACTCTTGTTACTAACCTAGCGTACATAGTCCCGCATACGTGACCCTTCCTGGGTAGTAAGGGCCACCGTCGTTTCCTCTATTCGCTATACTTTTGTGGACACCTCGGAATCATATGACGAACTTCTTTCACCCTTGGTTGTTGATTTCCTATCGTTGGTCCAGGATTATGATTTAGTATGTTTTGGCCTCTTTTTTTTGGTGGGGGATTTGTACTAAGATCGTTTGCAGACTGTCCGGAGACTTTCTCTCACTGCGCTCAACGCTGCAGCACGGAACAAGCCCAAACTTATCAGGGAACACTTGGCCTCAATTATGCCTCTCCTATACCATGAAACTAAAATCAATGAAAACCTCATCCGTATTGTAGAAATGGGCCCGTGGAAACATCGAGTTGACGATGGGCTCGAAACTCGTAAGGTCGCATTCGAGACAATGTACACCATCGTAAGTGCTCATCAACGAACGCTGGAATATATGGTCTCATTGCACGCTTTTCGTAGCTGGACACTTGTGTGTCCAACCTTGACCTTCATCAGTTCTTTACACATGTTCTGGAAGGTCTCGCGGATGAGTCTGATGAGATCAAGGTTTTATGTCATATGATGCTTTTCCGACTGTCCCAAGTTGCACCCACAACAGTCCAGCAACGCCTTGACGAAGTCAGTCCGGAACTGGAAGAGACAATCAAGGGAGCACAGGTGACTAAGGATACAGTGAAGCAGGATCTGGAGAGGGCTGGGGAACTTCAACGAAGCGCGCTCAGGGCCATTGCTGCTCTAAGTCGACTGAGTTCCCCAACCGTGTCCCCGAGGATGGAGAGATTGGTCGAAAGCATCGAGAAAGGAAGAATGGCCAAGGAATTCCGCGAACTGTTATGATCGTCGAGACTAGCATTCTAATATTACAAATGTATCGAGTTAGAACACTTGGAAGTTGAAGTACTACATAGTTTGATGATGTATGACATAATAAATACTGAAGAGCATGGTTGTGTGGATCAACGGGAACCAACGCCGATAACTGTTTCTTTGCTGTTACGAATGCTCCGGCTTCGATAATTGAAGTCTTGGCGGGAATGCAGTGAAGTTGGGACGGTCACTGGAGGATCTGATTGGAGAGTTGGAAATGCATGTTGCTCAGTTGAGGTGCCAGCACTGACTTCCAGGGATGGACGAGGAACAGGGTGAGGTGCTGATGTAGGTTGCGAGGGCTGCGGCGGAGTCCAATTGTCTTCTCCAGTATCGCTCGCACCTGGTGAGTCAAACGTGTCAACGGGGCCATGCGGACGCTGTGGGTCAATGTCGAGCTCTTCAAAATCTTGAAGGATGCTTTCATCGGGAGGGATTTCAACGGCGTCAGAGTTGGTATCATCATTCAGGGAAGCCACATCAGACTCCGTGCCAGAAACGGATTCCAATCCAATTTCATCATCTGAATCCTCCCGCCAAACTGGCGGTTCGTCCTGGATGGAGAAAATGGCCCTAGGCTTTCCCAACTAATGCAGACCGTCAAGAGAGCCTCTTGGTATAGTATGCAACCAAAAAAAAAAGCATACCTCGTTCATCCGGGATCGAAGATCCTTCCATTCAGATTCGGTTCGGCACAAGAACCCAAGAAGCATGCTGGGATCCAGAGATGTGATAGCCATTTTGCGAACCCGGTCGCAGTGGTACGTGCGTATATCGGAGAAAGCGTAGGAATTTGCGTAATAATTGATAACGGGGTCTACGGAGGCTTCTGAAGGTACTGGAGACGAGCTGGAACTATCCGGCCACTTTGCTACATCAGCATCATCTCTGCTGTACCTTATCTTTGGAGTCCCGCGTTTGTTGGAAGCTGGTCGAAGGGAGGTGACTTCTGGAGTTTCAAGCGAGGATGATGTACGTAGTGATGAAGACGTTGACGGAAAAGGATTTAAACTGTCCGCCACCGATTGCAGCGGCACGCACGCTCGAGTGTGATGAGGATCAAGGTAGAATAGCTGATCAGCCTGATACCCAACAAAATAGTAGGAAGACGAAGGTCTCCCACCCGCGATGCCGACCGACTGGGGGAAAGTAAATAATTTCTGTCATACGTTTGTCAGCACTACGAAAACTCCTAAGAGAGAGAGAGAACGAGCTTGTGACCTTTATGCTCTCGTGATACACTGGGTTCACGCCGTCAATGCCCAACCGGACACCCACCAGGACGAGAACAGCAGTCCCACCCCATCTGCGCCGTCCCTTGTGCCGTTTGGATGACGCCCCACTGGTCAAGGACTGTGAAATAGACGGTTGGTGCGCAATGGGTTGAGGCACATTGCTAGCTGCGTAAACTTCTGACTCGTACAGAACCCCATCCACCGCGATAGATACAGAGAGACCGCATGCTGGAAAAGTGCCAACAAGAGTCCTGGATAAATGGGTGCCTCAATATCATATTCACTCGTAAAGACGAATGGGACGGAACGAACTTGATCGCGCCCGCGGCAGTGCTGGGGCCGAACCAACTACCCACATCTTTCCCAAGTTCCTTTCCGGCAAGGGCCATCCGGTGTACGCCAAATGGTGCCAAAGGTGATGGTGTATCAAAGAACCAAGTCACGATCTTGACGTAAGTTGCAAACTCTGTAGTATTCGATGGATGGCTAGGTTTCCTCCAGTCTAGTGTCACGATGGAAACATCAATTAGGCATAACTGGACTAAAATAAAATAAAATAAATGGGACATACCCCTTCCTAACTGAAGATGTATCAAGGCGTTGGCAAGGAGGGATTGACCCGTCCGGAGCATACAACCCCATCCAGAATCGCTCGTCCAGCTTTTCTCGCCGCCCCAAACCCACCGCTTTGGCGGGCTTGTGCTGGGCATCTCAGTACCTCGCCCCACCCAATCCTCCACCACCGTCGACAAGGTTTCGGGAGTAAGAGGAACGGGCCTCCCGAGGCTGAGGAGTGAATGATCCCGGATAGCGGAGAATTGCGAACGATACGTTAGCCATATCCGAGAGGTAAAATCGTCATAGAACGATGCAGGCCATCCTAGGTCTCGTGGCTGCACTTGCTTTCCAGGCGAAGGCGCTAACTGAGATCGATCAATAGAAGAAGAACCGGAATTGTCCCTCCGGGTCGAGTGCCGGCTGATAATGGAAGCTGAATCCGTCGAATCACGCCTCAAACGTGTAGGAATCTCGCGAAGGATGAGAGACGATGGGTCATAGCCAGGATGTTCCACTCCCAATATCCAGATGGGGTCCACGCATTTGTCGGGTTGTGCGACATCCGAATCCAGGAAATACCGAACAACGCGCTCGACGCCAGCTTTCCCCGGAATATGTGACATGATAGATCGCCCAGGGGATCCCGAAACCAATTTTCCTGATTTGGAATTATAGGAAGAAGGGGGGACCGATTGGGACAGGAGATAATTGGGAGGAGTGGATGATTGGATCACGTTGGAAGGTATATTGGTAAGGTCTGAGGTGGATGAGAAGGCGTGCTGAAACCAGCCTGACAAACGGCCCGAAATCTCTGGCATTCTCGGTGGAGGAGAGCCATTCAGAACCGAATCTGAGTTCCCCCCCAAAGACAACAACCGAAGTCCTCAGCAAGGCGATAGCGCATGAAGGGGAAGGAGGGGAGGGGTTGCTACGTACTTGTAGATGTCCCAGAAGTTGTCAGTGAGAGCTCGTTGGTCGGCGGGCTCTCGACGACACTTGCCCGATCGGAACTCGTACTTCCTTCTGAACGACGTTCGTCTCTGTCTCTGTCACGCTTTCCAAAGAGTCTGCTTGTCTTCCTAGTCAAGGATTTTTGAACGCGCGGTATAGGGGATTCAAATGATTCAACGACGCCAGATGAAGAAGAATTTGGCCCCTCATTAACGGACCCGGAACGATCTCGCGCTTGATGTGCACGCTGGAGAAACTTTGTAAATTTGGTGTTGCTACTTGGAACGCTAGGAGATGATGATGATGGTGCAGGCGTCGTAGGCCGACGAGAGGATGGTGAAGGATCCGACATTTTAAAGGTAGAAGGAAGAGAAAGTTTCAAACTGAGGGGTCTTGATGGGTTATCGAAACGATGGGCTTGCTTAAGCACTGGTGATTGTGACGAAATGCTCTGACGCTTTCTTTTAGAAAATAACGAAAATACACACCAGTGCGCGTAACGGAGGAGGGATTCGATCGCTATCCAAAGGGCGGGCGCTCTCGCCAAAGGGATGGGCACCCAAGGGGGGGCAGGCAAGGCGTAGAGCTTGAGAATGAACCGCAGGGACGCTTGCTTATACTTGTTGACGTCGACCACCCTCGAAAGCTCATGATCACCCTCAAACCTCAAGTTGGGTGAAAAAAAAAAACGAAGGCGGACAACGTACACTTGGACAACGATCGAAAGGATGTTATCAAATCGGGGGGTGAATAGCGGTATAATATGAGTGAGTACTTTTCCGAGTAGAGAGAGTCAACTGAACTAAGACGAGAGCAAAAAAGTACCAAGAAAGAAACTGAGAGCTGGGAAGAAGGAAGAAAAAAAGAAAAAATACAACTATCGTAATAGGACGCAGGCACTAGAACGGACAAAAATTTGACAGGTCAGTAATGGAAGAGAATTGAGCAATAAATATAGCTGGCAAAAGGAAGAGCGATTGTTTGGGGGCAGGGCGAGGGGGGAGAACAAACGTGGAGACATCAAACATGTAAATTCCAATTCCAATTATTTTTGTTTTTCATCTAATGGCTCCGACCTCAACGTTGTGAAACAAGTGGTGGTTGGTGGGTTGGTGATTAAGAAAGAGTTGTAAAAAAAAAAAAGAACACAAGAGAAAGAGTTCACCGGTGGGAAGGTGCACTGGGCCGGAATCGCTATTATTGTTATTTCTCCTGATGATGATGATGATGAACAAATCCCAGTTGCCTTCCCCCCCCCCCTTCTTCCCATGCACTTGTCCACCTTGCCTACCGTGTTGAGCCGAAGAGCTGTCGCGACCCGTTCCAAACCACAAAAGGACAGCAAATGAACGTGAACGAGTTGCCGGAAAAAAAAAAAAACGGGAAAACCATTTCTTGATAGTAGTAGTAGTAGTAGAGAAGATCAGGGGTCTGTTGGACCATCGCGGCTGCCAAAGGGAGGATTAAATGGGCGAGAATTACTGTCTGAAGAGTGGTTTCCGTGAGTACTTGAACGACCTCCAATGGGGGGCAAATGTGGAGAGTACCCAGTCTCTCTTAAATTAGACGATGGTTGCTGCGGAGTCGAGTACGACAAATGCGGCGTATGCCCATCGAGTGTCGAAATCGCCGGAAGTACGGGCGATCGAACCAAAGTAGTGATGTTTGGCGACGTACTTGCATAAGCTCCTAGTCCTGACGGACCACTTCCACCTGCCATCCCTGGACTCGGACCATTCCCTCCCGAGTACAATGGGGGACTATTTCGTCCAGGACGATGTTGACCGGATGGATACAGCGGGGCGTTGAGAGTCTGGAATTGCTGACGACTGCCACCGACAGCGGTAGGACCTTGATTCCATTCGCGAGGAGGACGATTTGTACCATAGGGCGTTTCAGCAGGTGATTGGATCGGAGACTGATCGGCTGAGGAGGTTCTTGGAAGAGCACGGGTTGAAGACAGAGGGCCTGCACTGGACGGAGTTGCTTGAAGGATATTTTGCCAACCTGGTGGATTCGAGACACCGTTACCAGAACGAGGACCTGCGGACCATTGCTGACCATCTTCGTTAATGGGTGAGTAACCGGCGGAAGCGCCGGATGTTGACCGATTGGGACCATCGTAGGGCGATCGAGTGGGTTCATGGGAGCTCCAGACGGGAGGTAATCGGTTGGATCCTTGAGGATGAGGAGGTGGCTGTTGCTGAGAAGGAGCTTGTCCTGGAGGGTAGTAAGGATAGTTGTAGGCGTCTTCGTAGGAGGAATAACCAGGAGCGCCGGGTGGCGGATACATGCGGCCTGGGATGTTGGGCTCGGGTACAACGGGTGGACGGTGCTGCTGAGGATGACGTCGAGGTCAAGTTTTGATTTTTATTTTTTATTTTTCAAAACAATCGACAAAACAAAAACACACGCAGAAAGGTCAGCAACCTTGAATCGGAGTATAGAGTTGGACTCACGACGATGCTGGGGGAACCATCAGCCTCATCTCCTCCAGACTCCTCACCGTAATGATTATCTACGCCTTCACTCTCGCGGCGGGATGAACCGTCTTCGATGATGGGAGAATCAGGGCCAGCGTTGTTTCGGCGCTTCTTGCGGGAATTGTTGGGACGACGTTTGTAGACATAATCGGGCCATCGAAGGTTGAATGTATCTTTGAGCCTGTTGAAAACGAAGAAGGGGAGTGAGATATATGATGATGTTGGAATATGTGGGAAAGGGAGACGAAAAGAGAATTATTGGTGAATGGGCCAAGTGAGTTGTGCGGTACCGACTTTTTAGCCTTGTCCTGATAGTATTGCTTCTCCGTCTTTGCCATAGTCTGCCACTCTTTACTGAGGACCTTGCTGATTTCACCTGTTCGCATGGTAGGGTGGTTATTAGAGATCTGAGGACGACGTTTTTTCTAAAAGAGTGTTTTGATCAGAGAGGGGAGAGAGAGAGAGAGAGAGAGAGACTGACGGCGTAGAGAAGAAAGGCATTCATAGGCCTCTTGGGAGTGCCATCAGCATTGAGGGCTTGAAAGCTTAGTTGATCATCGGCTGCTAGTTGAAGTGAGGACGAAATTGGTGGATCGAAAAAGTGGAGGGGACGATACCAGAATCTTCGCCTGAATCGCCGCGTTCAACGGGAGGTTCGGGCTCGCGCCTATCATCGTAAGGGGCAAAAGGAGGAGGATGGTCAGGCAAGTCATCGCGAGGACGTTGACGTGGAAAGTTGGGTGGAGGAGGATGGGAAGGAGTTTGGAAATAATCTTGAGGGGAAGGTTGAAGGGTAGGAGGACGAGGTGGTTGGGGAGGTTGTTGTTGTTGAGTGGATGTGGGGGAGGAGGTTGTTGTTGTTGTTGTGGTGGTGGTGGTTGTTGGGGTTGTTGTTGCTGAGGGGGCGGTTGAGATTGTTGTTGTTGATTAGTTTGCTGCTGAGGATGGTGTTGGTGAATGTCAGACCCGTTCATTGTTGTGAATGAGTTAAGGGATACGGAGTGAGTTGAAGAGTGGATGACAAAAAGGAGTTCAACTTTGTAGATGAGTGAGTTGAAAAAAATACCTCCGAAGGGGAGGGGGATAAAAAAACAACCCAAAGGGTTCTATATAATACAGATGTTTGAATGAGGTACAAACAAATATAAATATTAGGTATAATCTTACCTGATCCTAGTTGCTATAACAGGTAATAGTGTGTTATATTGCGCCTGGAAATGAGTTTCCGTTTTGAGAGAACTGTACACGAGATCTCATCATTTTTTCAACAAAACACTTGAAAAAAAAAAAAGCACCGTTTATTTCAATGCATACATCTTACTCGTCGGGGGTTGACCTTGAATGCAACTCCCCACTCTCTATTTATTGATCCATTATTAACCTTTTTTTCTAATACACTTCTCGTGTCCTCCAATTCAATCTCTCTCCCGCCCAACTTTAGTGAACCCGCGTCCGCGCCCACGGACGTAAACAAGGCGCTTAAAATATAGATAAGGGTCCTCTCCCCTCTCCCCTTAGAGGACGAAACTCAAGGTCCAGATCACCTAGTGGCAGATCCTTTTCCTTATCCTGTAATGGCGGAGCTGCGCTGTTTCCCATCCATCATTCCCTTCTTCGGGAGAGAACCTACCAGAATTGGATCACAACGAACAAACAAAACAGAGTAAAATAAAACACCCCAAATGATGTTTATGTCACCTCCATTCCGATAACCGATCGGAAGTTCCATTCGTCATTTCTGCTTCTCTAGTATCCAACAGCAGCATAGCGTTCCAAATCCTGGACCTCCATCCAATTCTCTCCTCCTAATCGTCCATAAACACTGTCCTCCTCAAGTAAGTAAGGTGATAACAACTGGGTTAGACTCAAGTCCAACCCATCCTCCTATCTATTTCTACCCATACGACTTGGTGGCTTGCAAACCTTCCAATTGGGTCTACGAGTTAAGATCTGCCATCAACCCCTCTTTCGACCCCCAACCCCCCTCTATTCATATTGGCGCCCGTCTTCAATTCGTCATTGGCTGGTGATCTCTTTACTACTCCCCCCACCAGCCGCAAATATCAACATCCCCCAACACCCCCCAACACCTTTCAACAACCTCCACAAATACATTCAAACACATGGCACTCCCTCATCCTTCCAAAGATATTTTCATCGCCGCCGTCATCGCTTCTTCTCTCACCACCGTAGCTTTCTTTGCCTATGATACTTACAAGCGCAGCACCACACGACGACAAGCTCTCTCTCGTATTTCACCTTCGGTCCCGCGTACGCCGAACAACAAAACAACTAACCGTAGTGTTGGCAACCCTATCGCACCTCAGAATGATAGCCGAGAGCAAAAGGTCACGCCCCAGTTCGATGACGACCTCATCCGCGAGTTCTTAGCAAGGAACTATGCCTTTTTCGGGTCTCAAGCTATGAACAAAGTCCGTTGTGCGTCCGTGGTGATTGTTGGTTGCGGCGGAGTTGGTAGTTGGGCCGCTCTCATGCTTCTCCGAAGGTAAAAATTTTTTCGAAAAAAAGTTAAAAAAAAAAACAGAACAAAATAAAAATTTTGGTTAATTGAATTACATAACCACTTCCTTTTTTATGCATCTTCCGGAACTGGTTCTCCATCGCGTGTTTTTTGGTCTTCAAAGCGGCGTCTCCAACATACGGCTCATCGACTTTGACCTCGTCTCCCTCAGCAGTCTCAATCGTCACGCTTGCGCCGTCCTCGCTGACGTTGGTATTCCAAAAGTCACCGCGTGCAAACAATTCTTCAGCCGAGTCGCTCCCTGGGCCAACATTGATGCCCGAATAGAACTATGGCAGGATAACACACAGGGGTATGAGCTTCTTCAAGGAGCGGACTGGGTGATCGGTGAGCCACCGCCATTTATTTTTATCCCTGGCAGTGCCTTCCTCAACGACGCTACTCATTTCTCCTTCTCTTCTTCTTCCTTGATGCTAACGCTCTATTCCTCATACTTCCGGTAGACGCGATCGACAACATTAGCACAAAGGTGACTGCTTTTTTTTTTTTCTACTTTGTGCCTATCGGCTTCCTCATACAACCATGGGATTGTCACTTATCTTTTGTGCACCCTTGCTTCTATATCCCCCCCCCCCCTCGCGCATGTGGCTACGCGCTCTCACACTTGCAATAGGTGGACCTGCTCACGCACTGCCATCGACACTGCATTCCGGTAAGAAGAAGACGTTTCCTTGTGACCCAAAACAAGCCATGATCGTCCCAACGCTTAACGATCGTATCATTTCGTTTCTGGGGGGGGGGGGAATATGATGGACTGACTACCCGTGCACTTTCGGGGGTTGTTCCCTTTTCAATCTAGATCTTCGCATCAATGGGGGCTGGAGCCAAGTCGGATCCAACAAGGGTGCAGATAAGGTGAGCGTCCCCTTCCCATGCTATTCTTTCCCCCAACCCCCCCTCCTTCCCGCTGCCCGAGGTATCGCTCAAGTGTTTAATCTTCCACGTCCCTGTGTTTATCACCAACAGCGACATTGCCTTTACACAACAAGACCCTCTCGCACGTTCTGTCAGGCGCCGGTTAAGACTGAACGGCATTGACCAAGGGATTCCGTAAGTTCCCGCTATTATTTCTCACCAAGGGTGTGATGCAAACCCTCCCCCCCTAACAACCCCATCCTTTTTATTTAATCTAATGGCGCGCATGAATGTGTGTGTGCAGCGTGGTCTATTCTACAGAGGTGCCTAGTCAGGTCAAGCTTTTACCCCTTCCAGAAGACGAGTTTCAGAAAGGATCCGTACATGAACTGGGCGCGCTCGATAATTTCCGCGTCAGAATCCTTCCGGTGATAGGTGAGCCTATCGCCGATCCACTGATACCAACTGTTCACACACTCGTTTTTTTTTTTTTTTCTTTCTGCCAACCACCCCCACACGCGTCACGCGTGTAAACACAAAAACCCCTCTTCCAGGCCCACTTCCATCTATATTCGGCTTGCATATTGCGAGTTACATCATATGTCAGCTGGCAGGCAAGCCGATCCCTCACCCCCTCCCTTCTAAGAATAGATGGAAGCTCTACGCTTCTCTTACAAAAGATCTCGCTGTCCGCGAAGGGAGACTTGAACCCGATGGGCTTCAAAGGTGAGTAAGCTCGGGACCTGTATGACCACTTTTCTATTTTTCGTCTGGTCCCCACTTGCATAATACTGTCGGGGGGGGGCAATGATAACTCGTGTTCTAACCAAATCCACCTCCCCATTCAGGAAACTCCCTATCGACGAACGGGATGTGGGGTACATTTTCGATGACCTTCATAGCAGTCGTTCGGTCGTACCACCACATTCCCTTCTCGCAAAACCCGTCCTCACGAGATGGGACGTGCGACAGCCTCTATCGCTCATTAATTGTGTCGTCTTGTCTCAAGATGACCTTGGGAGATTGGACGCAAAAGGTGGAATCGGCGATGAGGTAGAGTGGTGGGGTGGTAACGAAGGAGATGAGAATGCGGTGATCGGTCAAGTGGTCCGCGCTATCGTTCGCCGACGACAAGAGGAAGCTCGAGAAGTTCTGGAGCGACTCTGAGGGCGGTGGGAAAAGAAGATAACGTACGTGCCGATGGGAACCTTGATTCACGGCAAGCCGCCAACGCTAGCAAAGAGTAGCAAAGGGGGTGGGTGGTGTTTCCCGCTGCAGAGCTTTGGGATGGTTTGGACTATCTAAGGGGACCGTAGATTTTCCTTTGCGTCTTCGTCTTCTTCCAGCCGTGTTGATCGCGTTGCTTGGGGAATAGGGAAGACCCTAATGGTAGATCTGAACCTGAGTTAGGGGGGAGCTGACTTCTAGACCGTTGTCTTTTGCTTGATAATCTCATGACGATACAACCCTGGATGGCTCCACAAGGATTGCGCGCGCGCACATGCGCATGCGCGTGGCCGGGCCAACACAAAGGCAACAACTCCTTTTTCATGTGAACCAATGGATGCAAAACTTTTCCTGAGAATGCGGCAACGTCCATTATGATATTCCGGGGCGCTAAGTTCTCATACAGTACTGTTCGCCGATGGGGGCGGGGGGAGGGACCTGGGCAAAGTATAATGGCGCATGATTTCTTATTTCTTCAGTTGTACTTTTGCCTATTGGTTTGATCCCGTTCCTGGATAGCTGACTGGGCTGATGTAATAGTGCCTGGATCTCTTAAATGTGCATTGCAATTGCATTCCCCCGTCAACCAACATTTGCGTGATGCAATCACACACACACACACACATGCACACATGTGGACCGGCTTCATCTCGCGCTATATTATTTCCGTTATCGCGTCTTGATAGCGGTTGCTTCCTGGCATCAACTAGGCGGCTAGTGGAACTTCTTCTTCCAACGTAGTTACTGATAAGACGATAAACTCTCTCCGAGCGAGCGAGCAGTACTAACCCGTTCATTATTGCTTCAACGATGGACGACAGTACGTCCCTCTGTATATATTTTGGAATGTACGTGGGTTTCTAGTAGTCCCGACGCTGATGCTAATTCTACGCACTGAAAGCTGACATGCATGACCGGTCTCATGACGATGATAGCATGCAAAACGAGTCCCTTGATATAATTCTCACCGAGAATAACCCTATGAGGAGAGGACTGTCACCCAACACTCATGATGTATTCTAGAACAAACATAAATTTGTTCTATGACGTAGATCCACCCTTGGGTGCCCTGAGGGTTTTTTTGTTCAGGGGTCAGATCAGTACTCATCATATGCGTTGAAATCCAACACCAGCCCATCATCACCGCGGGCACCGCGGCCGCCGGCCTTTCATAGTAACAACGCTTCAAAAGAATCGATACGGCGATTGCGACGATTGAGTTTCCCCCATGCATGACCCAGATGTCCTAGACTCGTATGGCTGGTATTTCTGTGTGGAGGAAAGGGTCGAAATTTTTCCAATGAAATGGGGTGTCACTCGCAACATCGTAAGCAATATGCAGGTCGAACGCACGGGCCTTGGTACGGTGTCGTCATATTGACCGTCACACTGAGAACAAATGACTCGGACAAGTTGTCCAATGAATTCGGTCGTTCTTTGGACCGTCCGACAATTCAAGTTTTAATGATGACTTTATTCGCCCGTTCAACTCTGCCATCCAAGAGCGCTATATATATTAGCGCTTGCGCTTCGCCTAAACTCTGTGTGGCGCGCGCTGATCGACGGCTTTGCATGAACGCCGCAAACCAACGTACGAATTGCGAGATGAACATTATGTACAGGTTTTATAAAAGCTGGGATCTTAAATAAAAAAGATAGGAGGATGCTTAGGGCTGCTAAATTCGCGAGTGAAGACATGGCGCATGCTCGGTGTATCTCGAGGGAGAAAAATTGTAAAGTCAAATAATTGCTGTTACATACTAGTAGTGCCACTGATATCAGGATGTCCATCCACTGCCGGCGCCAAGTTTGATGCATAATCTTGCAACAGTGCTCTTCGCTGTGCTGGGAGACAACGTACGGTCTTGTCAGATTCTGGCTGAGGATGGCAATGCAGTGACGGAGAGGTATGCATGCATGGTCACTCGGTACCGTGCATGATGTCGTCGAACAACGATCATCAAACTGTGGGTTCGGTAGAATCGAGCTAGCTGCTTTGCAGCCAGTCACCCGCACCAAAACTAATCGTCTTTGAAAATGTTTGGCTCCGACGCGCGTGTTTAACTCGATGCCACGATATATGTCACTGGGTGTTTTCGACGCCCCAAGTTCATGCATTGGGTGGCATGGAATGCGACCAAGTCGCTCGCTATCACTAGTCATAAACCTGCCGTCACTCGGAAGAGGCGACCGGGCTACCTGCTTTGCTGCGATTTTAGCGTTGCATTGCATGGTGAACCGCGAACGAACCCCCTGCCTAGCCTGCGCGTGCGCGTGCGGCGCATGCGATCATCAATGGGTGACTAAAATTACCCCACCCAGCCTGTTAGCTTGAATCATGCTGATGCCTGGCCCTAATTCGGCGCGGAGCCATTAATTATTGTCCCCATCGGATTTGCTGGATGCATTTGAGAGACTCGACAACGCAAACTCTAGGCTCCCCTTCAGGATCGATGGTACTACATTAAATCAGCGACTTCAGGTTCGAATCACTTGCCTGGAACCAAAGATGGAGTTGGCGTCTAAGCCCGCGCGGTAGAAAGAAATAAAGGTGAGAGGTCATGTACAGTATCACCTGTTGCATGATACCACTATCATAGGTACCAAATCGAGCACTAAATTGCTTTTCACTTTTTTTATAAACGAGGAGAACAGCATTCTGTCCATCTGTCCGCATCCCTCCTCGTCGCTCACTCCCCCTGCTCGGAGTAGGGTAACCCCCCTTTTTTTAAAAAAAAAAAAAAATTCTAAGGGTTGTTGATGTCTGCAATCAGTATTTAGAACCCTTCCCGGATCATTGACACACACACACACACACACACACATTGCACTGCTTCCGTGAACCATGAGCCCCCCATCACCGCCGACGATCAATGTCACTGCGTTGTGATAGGATGAGCGCGCTTCGGTCTCCTGAACGACCCCAACTCGGACAGACTTAGCCGCCATCTTGGTCAGAATCAATTGTAACCCACTGCCGACGCTATTCCCACCGTTGTCCTCGACTTCCCTGGCTAGTTCAGGACAACGAGCTCATCAGTACTGATAACAATTGATTCAACCGTCGTCTGCCCAACTTACGGGTGCCTCCCCCCTCCCTCTGCGCCACATCATTCCCCTCCCCTCCCCCCTTTCATACAGGCTGGCGATCCTCGCCTCCAAGTTCTTCAGAGACCGAAGAATTACCACGGAAAAGTCTCCGGCCAACCCACAGGAAACCCTTCTCCCCCCCCCCATCCCCGAGCTCCCCAAATTGGTGAAGGGAAGACACGGTAGGCCTTGTAACTTTTAAGCATGCATTGCATTATCCCTCCCCCCCCACACACACTCGATTACCATGATTTCTTTTCCACCCCTTGATAGTGAGTACGAGGTTTACGATTGTCGCTGTTACCCATCTGGAAATCCTCGCGACCCATCATGAAGCCAAAGTCTTCGCCAGCCTTTGCTAAATTTGCACGTCAAGCTTTGGACCGGTGTTCGTGGTTCCCTCTCAGGCTGAAATTCAAGGGACGCTTTGGACGTTGTCGTCCCCGTGCTAGTATGTGTATTGGCAGAATTCATGAGGGCATTATTATTGGACATTTCACCCGCCTCCTTCTTAGTCATATCGGAACGGTGCCCAATTACTTAAGGTTGGAGGAGGTACATACATCGGTCAATCGCCGAGGGGGGTAATGGGCATTACGAAAGATGGAAGCAACGAGACACTGGGGTGGTATCGTTTAGTTCATCGGTTGCGCTACATCTGCCCGTTGAATGAATCCAGCGCCCCTGCTAGTGTCCATGTTTTCTTTGAAATTACGGCCGATGAGAAAAAAAAAAAAACTAGTGTGGCCATTTGAGTCGAACCGCAATAATAAGTTCCACGCTGCTGCTTGAGTCCTTCATGTCCACCCCTGAAACCCCTTTGTATTAAAGGTAGATCCCCACTGCTTGTATTAAGGGCAATTGAATTTGCTTCCTTCACGCTCCCCACTTGCTTTAGATGGGATTATAGGTCCGGACAACGGGTAGGGCACTTGCGCCGTATCACCAGGCGAAAAGCCCTCTTTCAACCCGAAGCCTTTGGACTAGGTAGGGAATAGACCCAAGTAGCCATTGCCCTTTTCCTCTTAATCAGACAATGTCCGGTCCCCATCAACTACCCAATCCCACTCCCCCCTTCCTCTATTCAATCAGTCCATCGTCACCAGGCGACCGTTACAAGTGAGCTGAAATGAAATACGCAACAAAGCAGTTAGAATTCCGTATATTTTAATCTGAATGCTTCATACAGCTGAACAAGGACTCGGGCAGATCAACTTTTATGAACCAAGTCCCACATCTTCATACTTCATTAGCTGCTCATAGTTGAACTTGCTTGGATCTTCATGGAAGAGTTTCAAGAGGCTGAACGCCTCTTGTCCTGCGGCTCCTTCAGCGGGGAGGTAAAACCGCTGCAAACCCATCGCTAATAACTGCGCGTCCATCTGACTGAGCAGATATCCCCCTGATGGCGATTTCGTGATCTCCCCACGCAAAAGGACGGTGCCGTGTGTGTGAGAGAGGTCGGGATAATGTGTTAAAACGAGACGCGGTTGAGCAAATGATCCGTGAAGCTTGTATTCTTGCAGCGTGGTGAACAACACCGTGGTGATAGGAGGTAGGCGCATAGGTAGAGAGGCGGGGGGAGAATCTGAGTCCGGTGAATTCATAAGTGCTTCAACAGGATCAATCGAGGATGGAGGGGGAGGGGGAGGGTGAAATCCCCATTCGAGGAAGAAAAATTCAGTCCCAAACTCTTGCTCCCCACCCGTTGCATCTTCCCCCGTGTTTGTTGTCCTTCTTGCCAGGGGCAACAGGAACGTAGGGTATTTCCTGGCGCGCTCGATTATAGCTTCGTATTTACCTAGGGGGACAGAGGCAGAGAGGAACCCGATTCCTGTTCCTTCTGATCGTGAGGCATGGTAAAAATTCCAGAGAGCAGACACCTGCTCTAGGGTATGGGGTGTTTGTAAGAGTTTTGGGATGTTAAGTAGGGTGGATAGCGGCTAGCAATGCAATGGGCATTAATTTGATGTGCGCCAAAGATCCAAAATGACACTCGCCTTGATAGGCGAACTATCCTTCCTTCCGAGATTCGAGCGTACTTTCTCCCGCAGCTGAGAGTAAGAAGCGGAAGGTGTGGCAGACTCAGATTTCTTCCCTGCCAATTCCCCCACAAACTCCACAGGTTTCGGTCCCAGCTTGGTTTTGAGCTCACTCAGGTTATTTACACCTTCACTTTCAACTCCTTTAGACTATTATGTATATCTCAGTGGGACATCACAAATGCTTACCTTTCCATTCGAGCTTTTAGTTTCTCAGCATATTTCAATGCCACTCCAGGAGGAAGAGATGAATTGCAACGACATGACGCGGTGGGTCGTGTCACCCAATGAGCGATGCGAGAACGTCGAAAATTCATCAGAGGAAGTTCACAGTTTTGGTGCGTTCTCAGGAAATAAGCGCTAGGCAAAGCTTCAATTCAAAAACGGCTAATTCCGTCCGTTATAGGTCAAACAGACAAATGGGTCCATACGACAGCGTGGTGCGTGCAGTTGGAGGTAACTGTCTGGTTAAGGGAAACGGAGTGGGCTACATGACATCTCCGCTAGGAGATGGCAAAAACTAGTCATCAGAAGATTCAGAAGATTCAACATATTTCGATCGGATATCCTTCCATTGTTTCTAGCATTAGATATGAATTAGTGCCAAACGGTACGAGACAGTGGATACCACAAATCCTCACTCCTTGGTTCCAAGTATCCCATATCTTTGAAATACCGAGGTCGAACCCAATTCCGAATGCAAAGGCTCCGGCAAATACGGTTGACACAAAGACGGAATTCCGCTTGAACACGGTTCGATATAAGGAGTTAGCCAGCTATAGAAAGTGTCTTAGCAGCGGTCTCCCCAGTTGGATAACAGTAGTGATACGCACCGACATCGTTACACTGGTGAGAACCAAAAACGGTGAAGGCTGGATTCGTGTGACAATGTTCTCAGAGTCACAAGCACATTTTTCTGTCACGCCCCCCTTCATCACAAGGCCCAAGAAATGTGGCGCTTGTTGAGCTCTCTACCGAGGAGACTGTTCTCCGAACGGCTTTCCAGCCCTTTGGAAGCCCAGAGAGGATTTTCTACTGCCATGGAACCGACAGGACCAATAACAAGATCCAAAGCTCCAGCTTTCCGGGCCATAGCATCCCACCCAACCGAAGTTATTCCCCTCCAAGTTTACGTGCAGTCAACTCGCAACAACACCATCATGTCGCTTGTCGGTGCAAACTCAAAAAATGGGATGCTTGGGTGCCTGCATACCGCAAGTGGAGGGAAAGTCGGGTTTAAGAAAGTTCAACGTTCAGGCTACGAAGCTGGATATCAATGCGCCATTAGCATATTTAAACATATTCGAAGGATGCAAGAAACTCTTCCAAACCCTTATTCGACGTTACAACTGTATTTCAACTTCAAAGGATTCGGCCAAGGCAGGGAGGGGGTCGTTCGTGCCATCGCGTCTACCGAAGGGGAGGATATTCGGAAGTTAATACAACGAGTAACCGACCGCACACCCGTAAAAATTGGCGGAACCCGTCCAAAGAAACGCCGAGTTTTATAATCGAATTTCGCACCCATCTTCTACATACTTATCGGTATATAATGCGAACTCTCCCGAATCGATCTACTTCCGCGGTGTCATGATCCAGAACTTCATCATATTTCTGTTCTTTATCCGCCCCTCCAATGATGGCAAGATACTTCTCCAACTCATGCCAACTGACTCGAAACATCGTGCATAGCTCATCGGAATTGTGTGACCCGTCGAGCATTGACCCAAGTTTTTCTATAATGGCATCTTTGGGCTCTGCTCTCGCAGCAGACGTACCTCGGAGCATGCCTCCCGTCGTTACAGAGGTTCTTGATGTACTTTCTAATGAAGCGGGTTCGGTGGGGGGACAACAGCTGGGATGGGTACTGGTGGAAAGCTGACTTGGTTCGGAAAGGGTGTAGAGGTGGACGTCTGTCGTGTGCGTGTTGCTGGTTTGGTTGCAGAATTAGATGCTTCCCCACGCTTGGTTACATTGGGTGGCTTATTTGAAGATGTCAAGATGGATGCAGCATCCTTCATTAAGGCACCATTTTTCCCCTTTTTCAGTGTCCTCTCTCGAGGCAGGAGAACAGGCCAGCGATGTACTCGTCTCAGGAAACCCTTGATTGTGCCGAAAGTGACAAAACGCTGTGGGTCAATTCCACGCTCCGTAATATTGTTCTCTTCCATCCAACTGTGGATAGTTTTACTTGGCTTGAGCCGAGAATAGAGATGCAGCAAGTCCGTGAGAGATGATTGAGGGAAACCTGAAAGTAACGTGAGTTGCCTTCGCCCAAGATGTCGCGTAGCACGACTTGCCAGGCAATGTAACATACGGCGGGCACTCTTCTCGCACACCCTGATCTTCTGCCAACCACTGAATACTTGACTTGAAAGTATACATGTTACTGTACTGAAAGATGTCAATCATAATAATGCATTGGTAAAACCTATTTTCACGGGTGTTAGTGTTTTGGCTAGCCACCTTGATGAGGAACTGAACTCACAGCAGATGCTCCAGACAATGCCTTGTTAAGGCGGGGCTCGCATCGGCCAGGTCAGCAATCCGCTGCGCGTGGTTAACGCCGTTGATATGAGGGGTTATCTTGTAGCCATCATATCAATTACTCTCCGTTCCAGAATTCCGAAAGTGATACAAACCTTGGACATGGTGATGTCCCAGCTTGGGTCCTTTCTCTTCTCGAGGTTCAGCAGAGCCACAGGAACTTGCCAATCATGAACACGAGGTGGATTGGGAAAGAACGGAAATATTTGTAACTCAATGGAGTTGAAATTGTCGATGGGAATGGAGGTCTCAGAGTACGAGTTCAAGTCCTCATACAACTGTTCCAACATGGGCTGGATTGTAGCCAAGCAGTCGGGACTTGACAGAAGGCCAGACTCTTGCTACGTAGCCGCAGTCAGGGTCTACATCAAAGCGGGATACCCTCATCCATCCTACCTCGCAAGCGAGCAAGACTCTTGCAACCTTTCGCACGATGGGCTCGTAACATGAGATGTCGGCCATGCGATCAAAAACGAAGCACAGGTTGTAGCGGAAGGAATTCCGTCGCAACTCATCCCGATATCGGGAGCCAGTCAGTTTCACGGGGAATCCAATGATGCGGTGGCTCGGAGTGTTGCATCGAACCAAACGCCCACAGAGCTGGTCCTTCGGAATCACATACTCTGCGATGGATTTGAAGTCAAATATACCAATGATTGGTGTGCCTGCTTTGCTTCTATGAGGCTGAGACAATCCTCTGTTATGCGTTGGAGGCTTTGAACCCAGCCGGGCGGAAATCGAAGAAGAGTTCAGAGCAAAAGCGTCGGGTTCTGGCAGGGCCCCATTCAGGACTGGCATAACGTGTGGAGTGAGTGCTGCATTTGGTATTGGAGTGGTGATTGTTCCTTCTGGGACTTGGTATGCTATCTTAGGGCCTTGCTCTGGGTCGAAAGTTGCATAAAAAACACATCTTATTCGTGGAAGAAATGAGTCGGTGTCTGGGTGGGGCGACATAAGGAATGCGAAATGAATTGACTCCAACTGAATTCAATTGATACTTCTGTCCGTGCATTTTACCCTCGATCTGAGTTCACAACTTGCCTACATCTGCTTATCCGTAAAGGCAGTGACCAAGATACTTCACAACACATATTGAGCGGAAGACAGAGTACTTGGAAGAGTATTGAATAACACCCACACAGTTAATGGTGCCGATAAGGTGTGTGCGCAACCCGAATCAGCGGGGCAATCTTCGTGGTGCTCACGTTCGTTGTTTTCATCCCTACCCCGTAGGCGTGGTTATGATTGAAGTGACCAACGAATTGCCCTCTCCGGGCTACGTTCAGCGACTAGCCTACGTCCTTGTTCCGTCTCAGCCAAGCATTTTCAGCCCCGTGGCTCCCGAGCCGACTCCTAGCCCAGAGACACCCTCCTCCAAGCCGGTAGACATGCCCGAGGGCCCCGCCCCTGGACGTGGACACCGCAGGAAGCGTCCCCGCGTCCTTTTGGACGACTCCAAGATCGGTGCCGCGGACGATTCTTCGAGCGACTATGAAGACACTGCTGAGTACCGTGTGGAAAAGCGAAATGATGGCGGTCCCTCGAAACGGCTGAACATGAGTCAAATGGAGTTGAGAAGGCTTCCTCACGCGTCATGTCATTGTTGCCATAAGGCGTATGAATTCGAGGATGCAATACAATGTGTTCAATGTGCAATATTTTACTGCGTCTTTTGTCTCGAACGAAGGTCTGAGGCTTGTCTTGTTTTCAGGCATTTTTTTCTCACCCCCAATGATTTAGATTCGAGTTTAAATGCGATGAGAAAGATCCCAATTGGGTCTGCCCGCGTTGCCAAAACAGTTGCGTTTGTCCAGCTTGCAAACGAAAACGTGAATCCAGAAAGATGCCATTACGGCGAACGTCCTCCAGAGTTCCATCTGACTCTAAAACAAGTCAAGATTCCGAGAAAGAGGATGCATCGAACGATTTAAACTTGCCTCGCACCCGCGGCCAGGCGCGGAAACTTCTTCAGAAGGGACCGAAAACGAAAAGACCTTCGAAGACTTTCGACTCATCCATTTCGCCCTCCCTTCTTCCATGACGACCGCTGAAAACAACTGTCCCGAGCTGTCCCCGAGCATCCTTACTCCGTCCACTGTCGAGTCCCAATTATCAGGTGTGTAAACTATCCATCTGAGATGATCATTATCATAATTCTGACTGCGCCTCCAGCCTCTTCCCAAATGTTAGCCAACGATGGCACCGATATGGTTGTCCCTATCAGCTCACATATCCCTTCAACTTCCTCCATCTTTGCACCATCCAACATTCATGGAAGTGCGTTCATCTGGGACGATGCCCACATCATCTCGAAGGATGGAACGCCGGACATGTACCCTACCACGGCTCTCGCTCCGGCCCCAGAGAGAGATGCGCAGAGCTTCACATGGATGGACAATGATGCTGGAATGGAGAATGCCGACCAAGGGTACTTCGTGGACATCATGAATCTACCCCTAGCCCCTCCGTGCACCCATGATCCGATAATCACATGCGCTTGTTCGGGGAGAGCTCTTGCGGACGACAGGTTGGGCGCCGAGGAAACCGAGCCTTTTGCGAATTTCTTCACTGGACTTCTATGAGATATCGTGGGGTTACTCGTTCCACACCGCCCCTTTATCTTCGATATTATTTGCTCTTACTGCAGTCACCTCTAATTTGCATTTTCGTGATACTGCTGTTGGATACTCATACGTGGCCATATTTAGATGCTCACTTAGGATGGTATATGTATATACTAGCTTCTTACCTCGATCATACCTCTGCGATCATAACTCTGCCTTGTCCCAATCACCCTCCACCTTAGGCGGGATACCAACTCTATCCTCCACCTGATCCACTCGTGCCTCCCTTAGTATCTCACACACCTACTTTGTTACTTCCTCGCTGACTCTGTACAAACGTCGAGCTCAACATTCCAGATCAGTTGCTAACACTACGTTTCTCTTTCTGATTCGGCGGGAACTCAACAGCAACTGTTAAGTTGTCCCAAGCCCAGCCCTGAAACTCATTAAAATATAAAGCGAACGGTGCTGGGTCGGAAAACCCATGCTATAAAGGCGAACGGATAAGCACGATAAAATCGAAATGGCTTGTTTGAACCAAAAAGTAGAGTAATGTGTAAAGAAAACGGTTGAAAATATAGCAACGACGATTACTCTTAACCTAGCTATGTAAACTTGACATTGAATGAATGAGGGTGCAGCACAATCACCGCATAACGCAATAGTGGCACCCAACGACAGTAACAAAGGGCTGATTATTGCTGTTTACATTCCTCAGGATCGACTGTATCTTTTCCATCCTTGGCTGCACGGCGGCGAGGTGCTGGAATGTCCTCATCTTCCTCATCCTCGTCATCGTCATCGTCATCATCGTCGTCATCATCAAAGTCGTCGTCCTCCTCATAGTCATCGTCATCTTCTTCCCACTCAAGCGCCTTGCCGGTGAAGTAATCAACAGCACGAGGGATGACCTGTCAGCCAATAGGAAATCGTTAGTATACATTGGATCAGTTGGCACACAGTGCCCCGGACTTACCCGGTCTTTCAAATCCTGTCCTAGCTGGTAGTCCATCTCTAGATTCTCTTCAATTTCCTCCAACTCTTCATCATCCATACCAGCCTCGGCCTCTTCGGTAGGCGGTTCCGGAGGAGAGAAGAAGTTAAAGAATGATTCGGTGGGCTTGGCGCGACGGACTACCCGTGTACGGTTTGTGGCTGAAGAGTTACGGGGAATTGAACACGGAATGGTGAAAATTATAATCAGAATATTGTCACCTTTGTTTCGTTGCCTTTTCACTTCAATCTCTTGGGTCAGATCCTTATCTTCCTTCCAATGTATGGCCGACCCCACTGCACGTTCATACAAATAGTCTCCCTCGATGTCAAGTTCATCCTTATAGCGATACTCCTTGGTGAGTGTAGCATCTTCAAAGAATTCGTTGGGCGAGAAGTGGAATACAATCTTATATCCCTGGCGTTCCCCCTCGAGATACTCGAGTACGATATTCGTTAAATGTCGGAGTGCAGCCTCGTCGCGATCTGTAATTAAATTGCTGAACGCAATGTGGTTCCTCAGAGCTGTCAGCCAGAACTCGGGAATACCCTTTGGAGATTCTGCATTCGGATCGGCGGAATCCTTCGGCAGAGGCGTGGCGTCAGGGTCGCCTTTGGCTGTCACAGCTTCACCAGCCTCGACTTCACCCTCAGTGGGTTCGGCAACACCACTGATTATGTCCAGACGACGCTGATACAGCGGCTGAATGTGAGCAAGGAACTACAACCGAGGGAGAGCGTAATTAGCGATAATAGAAGGCAACGTGCCGACCTTGGGAACACATACTTTCTTTTCGAGTTCATACATTTCTTTCTTGTATTCCTTGAGCTTTGCGTCATAATCAGTGGCAACACCTTTGAGGCCCTCTACGCGCCGCTTGACTGGGACAGGCAAAGACTCGATATATCCACTACTCCTTCCGATCAAACTCGTGAGCTTGTGCTGCATCAGAGCATTGATAGCAGCCTGGGATGGATTCCTATCATCATCCTCTGCATCATTCTCATCAATGTCAGCTATAGTAGGGCGGGAGAGACGCGATGCGATTGGTGCGGGATTTAAGGGCGTGTTGACGGGAGTGGGGGCGCCTAAAGAACTTTGAGTTTGGAATGGAACCGAGGCGGAACCATGATCGGAAGATGAAGAAGTCATGTCACTAATGCAAGGATAGTTGTACTGGATTCTGAGGCGGGAGAATCAGGTAACTGAGAGGATGCGAAAAAAAAAACGAGGAGGCAAGTCCGCTCGCTCTCTCTTAATCCTCAGCTGACCCGGATGCAAAAAAAATAGCTGATTCGTAGGTGCACTGCCACCGCCCACCGGAGGATCTAAACCATGGATGCGCACATCGATTGTTACGATGCAACGAAGCGTTTCCGACCCATTAAGTGACCCGTTGTCCTTCATTTCTCCGTCTGCATAAATACTGGAGCGAAATTAGCCGATGCTCTGTCTGTCACGCTGTTTCTTGCTTGGCCTTCTATCTCCAGGAATCGCCTATATTGTATTTGAAGCGATTGTTTATAGCAGCCTGCAAGAGTTACGTGATCACGCCTCTCCAATGTAACGCGCATTGGAGATCGAGCATCAGAACCTGATGGAGATCATTGGCCTCGGACGCACACGCCTGCACACCCTGCGGCTTCTTCATTTCCGTGATTTCATAACCATCTCTAGACCCATGTCATTTCGTACACATTGGCTGTTGTGTCCCTTTCGCGACGCTAATTTCATCACCTTCTCAGGCATGCTAATCGGAGCCGACTCGACGAAAACCGTCCCGTACCGGTGACCGTCGCATCTTTAGGCTGCGTTGACCTCAACCGACAATGATGTCAAATAGTCCTGGTGTCTTAGGTTTGCTTCTCTTGTCGTTATGAATGATAATCATGGGGCTTTTATCTCGTTTGAAAATCGTGAAGACTGCATGTAGCCCAAGTAAATGTTGTTTCAGTGTCCTAATCTAAACCACAGGTGTCAACTGATGTATTCCCCAGACCCTTTCGTTAGCAATGCTCAGAACATTTCGGTTAAGACTAATGGGTCCTGACTTCGCTGCCGCGGGTCCAGACACCTTATGAATTACCCTGCGCAAACGTGTGACTGGGGAAAGAAGTGATATTAGGCAATACCTGGAACGTTGACGTTCCGTTCATTTGCCCGGCCCAACATTAATATCGTCCCCACGGGTTGTGCCCTTCGAATCACTTAACCAGGTGCCCCACAATGGGGTGACGGGTCTATCAAGTTGACCAAAACTCCACCCACAACGTGTATGAGTTACTACTATGTCTGATTATTACACAGAACTAGTCAACGTGCCTTCGGCAGGTTCACCAATACAGGAAGCCAAAAACTCACAGCGGTATGAACCATTTTGGTCAGAGAAGCCTTGGTTAGGCTGATCAGTATCATAGTACCTTCAAAAGTAACACCTACTTTTTTGCACACTCGTTCGAGGTTTTTCAACAACGTCGCACCCCTAGTACGCCCATGCACTCCTCTCCTTTGTTGGAGGTGGCGAGGATGTCAGGGGTAATGCTGTGGGGCCCGTGTTCTCTGGGCGAGCAACATTCGTCCAAGGCTGAGACACCTCCTGCGTGTTAACTCTAGTCATGCATGTTAGCAGGGGTGTAGTTCGTCTTTGAGATAATTAAAAAAATCACCTTATGATCGACTAATTTGGCTTCAATGTCCCAAGCTAGTGTCTTATTCGTTGCCTCATGGGCGCATATCGGCGGCATTGGTAGGATGGTTTATGAGTCGCTGGACAAACTCTATTTTCATCAGTAAAATCTCAATCGCATGATGTGCATGTGTCTGAATGATGCATAGATCAGTAGAAAAATATCCCCGGGGGTTGTATCTCCTTAAAATGGATGGAGAATGGGATGATGTGTGCGCGGCGGAGCAGTACGGCCCTATCCTTCCCAAAGAAAGCATAATTAGTAACAGGGGGACAACTCCAATCACGAAGAAAGACCTGGAGAATGTTATGTTATCAGCCGGCAGTGGATGTCTGAGCGCGATATCAAACCGATGGTAAGATATCGTGCTCTAGCCAAGTCGCGGACATTATATACATATTCGGGTGGCCAGCCAGGATAAAAGAGTACAAAGTGGCGCGCAACAAGTCCACTCCGCCACCAGAGCGGGTAGTCACAATGTGTGTGCCACGTCGGCAATAAGGTGCCTGGTGGCTCATCCTTGCCACTGCGCCACGTCGGGTTGCTACATCAACATGCATGTTATCGGTGGGCCTTTCAGTCACGGTCAGCAGCGGATGAAGATGTACAGTAGCTGACTCTAGCTCTATCAACGATCTATGCTTTGGATCCGCAGTAGGATGTATGCTGTCTTGTTCCACCTGGATTCCTGACTAGAACAACAGGGTTTAAGAAATTTTGGCCCATACAAGCGATGGCAAGGTGTAGCTGGCAAGAATTGTGAGACACGTCATGCTCCCATCATTTCTGCTAAGTTCTTCACAATAGCTGCCCAGTCATACGGACTAGTAAGGCGATTACTGTCCAGGGCATGGACTTGGATGAAATATTTAACAAAGATTACTACTTGCTAATGAAGTGGGGGGGGGTTCTTTCACAGCCGAGATCCGTACCTACAAGCCCCCGAGCCACCGTTTCCGAGAACGGGAGCGCCCGATCAGAGCTTGCAGAGGTTTGTGGTTGGTATGTCGAAAGCTGCCCCGGCGCGTCTAGCAAATCCCAGGTCTGGGAGAAGCACAGGACTCCGCGGACTATGTACGCGAATTCGTCGCCTGACGAGGCGGGTATTTGTCCATTATCCGGGAGTTGGGCTTCTCCCAAGTTCTAGCTCTGTTTCTTGCCGTCTTATTTTCTTCTCATTCTCACTTGGACGGTCCAACGATGTTGACTTGAGTCATGCCTGAGCTGTGTATAATATTGCGGTTGGAGTTGGTTGAATTTATTGTGTTGTTTTTTCACAATGTACCTAAGCGCCTGTGACGTATTCAGTGAGGGATTATGAGTATAGTGCTGGTAGCACACTTCTACTTCAACTTGCGCAAGGGAGTTCCAATACAATGAGCCCCTGGGCGCGGGGTTAGCCGTTTCGAGTTAACTTTCGAAGTAACCACTTACACCTGCCTCGCACCAAGCAGGGGTCCTGCAAGCTCCTCCGAGGGTTTTCTGTCAGAGGTGCTTGGGCGGCTTTAAAGACAGCGAAACCCTGTGCGTCCTTCGACGATTTGTTCCTACTACTGGGACACCAAAGCGACACCAACCATGCCACCCTCGGTCCCGGGTTGGCGTGCCGCGACCTGCGTGGTACAATCACGTACACCAGATACTTATGCACATCAACAATCTCTAACCCTCTTGCTCTTCAGATACGCAGTCTTCAGGGACGAAGCGGAAGGCTGAGGCTATAAGTCAAGACACTGCTCGTCCCCCGCTCTTCGCTCCCTGGACTGCAGATATAGCCCCGCAACCTCACCTCCCCGCAATTGAAATGTACGCAGTCTCATGGGCCCATGATCTGGCCTCTCGATGGTGCCTCCTCTGACGTCGTATTCAACACCTGGTCCCATTTTTCCCTTAGTCTGAATCTGGAAGCTGCATCCTTTACACGATACATCACACCAACGAAAGTAGAGCAGAAGGTTCGGCATCTCGTGATCGAATGGATACGCAATGAAATTGTCAGGCATATTCCTGATGCTGAAGTTTTGGTGTTCGGAAGCACTCCCGTAGATATGTATCTCCCTTCTGGGTGAGCCGCTCCGCTCATGTTGGGTCCTCTCTTCACCCCATAAGCTCAGATTGCCGTGTTTCTCCCAGGGATATCGATCTTGTGGTGCAATCAAAATCGCTAGCTGTTGAGGGTCCGCCCCGGTCCAATATCACACGAATTGCCGATATATTGCGGAGCACTGACATGGCACTGGGAGAAGTTCGCATTTTCGCTAGTGCCAAGATCCCTATCCTCAAGTTCGTTTCGCGTCATGGGAAATTCTCTATCGATATTTCTGTGAACGTGTCGAATGGAGTTGCTGCAGCATCAATCATCAGGGATTTTATACGGGATATACCTGGTGTCAAACCGCTGTCATTAATTGTCAAGTGCTTCTTGAGGAGTAGAGATGCGAACGAAGTATACAGAGGGGGGTTAAGCAGCTACCTTGTCGTCTGTATGGTGATATACTTCTTTCAGGTCAGACGTACTTCTCGTGTGTTACGGCTAGGCTCACGAACCACCTAGACGCACAAGGGAATGCGCAAGTCACATACTGATCCGTCATCCTCTTTGGGGAACCTACTGCTGGAATTCCTTCAGCTTTTTGGCTATGACTTCAATTATCTTCAATCTGGAATATCATTGAGGGATGGGGGAAAGACTTTTTCGAGGAGCGAAAGGCATTGGATTTATAGGCCATCACAGCCGCGACTGTGCATCGAAGACCCACAAAACACCCAACTGGATGCGGGTGCAGGCATTCACGACATCCGGAGAATACAAATGCTCTTTATCCACGCCTATGACCAGCTTCAGGCTGAGATACAGCGTAGGGACAGATCGAGATCAAAGGCACTTCTTTTAGAAGGGAACTCTCTTCTCCAGATTATCATGGGGGTCCCCCTGAACGTGAGTGCCACCGGTCCGAGATGGATCGCGATTGACAAAGCCAATGCCAGGAAATCGAGCATCGGAAGTATCTTGCCGTGCTCCATACCACAGGGAGACTCTATCGATTACTGAATATGCCTCGGACTGGACAATGGATTAAAGACGCCAAGGAGAACGATCCCCCCCCGCGCTTCCTGCAACACGATTAGATCTGAATCAGCCAACGGTACATTCTGCGGTGTATGCCCGCACCTAGGGCTTGCCATGTGTAACGATCCGTAGTGGACTCGCTGCTAACAGTGTTTGGTGAACTAACACCACTGACGCATCATTACTCTTTTGCCAGATGATTTTTAATGCGGAACAACCCAATTTACTGGAGTACAACGTTTTTAGGAACGATAAATAACCGCTGGGTCGTATATTGAAACCGGTGGACGTCTGTAGCTAGCCGTACATCATCATTCACTCCTTCATAGCTCACCACAGGTGTTAGGTTCTGTAGATTATAACCCCAGTGTTAATCGTTATGTGGTATGCTCAGGAGTCATCTTGAACGCGAAAGATTCCAAAGTGTTCACTATACTCCCCATGAAAGGTGAAATCTTACCAGGACCGGCCCGGTTTGCAAACGGTCGGCAATGGCCGAATTTCTGTAAAAATTTCAGATTGAGATTTGTCGACATCACTATTTCAACCAGTGTGATTCCTAAATCCCTCTCCATGCGACATGTCGCAACTTAGTTACTGACTGCCTGAGGTCAGAGTTGAATAGATGGCAGTGCCGAGTGTCAATTCAGTATGCAGTACTAAATGTAGAAACAACAGATATGTACAATGAATTGCGCGGGTGCGTTAGAGCCACCAGGTAACGTGGGTTAGAAGCCTTGTGGTCCTTCGACTCCACAAGCCACTATGGCATCCCCTCATCCCTCATCCTTGGGAAGCGGTTTGTCTACACCACCCCAGTACAGAGGGTGAGTTTCTCAGGGTTGTGGCGGGTGTCATTATGCTCACCGTTACTGTCTTACAGTGTCGGAGTGGCTTTGGCTGTTGGGTCGGGTGTTTTTATCGGCTCATCGTTCGTTTTCAAGAAGAGGGGTCTTATAGCATCACAAGTACGTTGTGGCCCTTTGTCCTTATGTGTTTGTTTTCATTCACTTCCAATCATACAGAGAGATGGTGCTGCGGGGGAAGGAGTTGCATATCTCAAGAATGTGAGCAGCAAATGAGCCGGGTAAAACGCATTTATCAGCTAACAATTGAATCTTTTCTCCAAGTTTGTCTGGTGGACAGGAATGTGCATGATGATTATTGGCGAACTGATGAACTTCGGTGCCTACGCATTTACATCGGCCATCATAGTAGTATGTGTGGCGGCACTTTCTTCAAAAGCGAGTCTCACTGCTAGGTGACTTTCCTTAGACACCGCTGGGCGCGTTATCGGTGGTCATATGTGCTGTATTGTCATCTATATTCCTCAAGGAAAAGCTGTCGCTGTTCGGATGGATCGGTTGCTTCCAGTGCATTGTGGGAAGTATTATTGTTGCTGTGGGTCATCATCTGGACGTTTTCCTTCCAGGCATGTCCTTACTCATATTCATAGCTTAATGCCCCTCAAGAGCAATCTGTGAACACTATAACGGAGTTCAGGCACCTCTTCCTCGCCCCTGGGTTTCTCGTGTTTGGGAGTGTGATAATTGTCGCTGCGCTATTCATCATATTTTTCGTTGCCCCACGTTACGGAAGAAGCAGCATGCTATGGTCAGATTGCGGCTATTCTTGGCGCAACACTACATTGCTAACGTGCATTCAGGTATATTTCGGTCTGCTCCATGATCGGAGGTCTGAGTGTGTCTTGTACAACGGGCCTTGGCTCATGCATTGTTACAAGTATACGAGGAGAAAATCAGGTGAGCCTAGCTGGACACGTCACTTAAGCGTACAGACTGACGCGAACATCCGTCGCAGTTTAAGAACTGGTTCATCTACTTCCTGATGGCTTTCGTTGCAACCACCTTAATCACGGAGATTTACTATTTGAATATTGCTCTCGCATTATTCAACACTGCCATGGGTAAAATGCATTTTTCCGGATTTAATTAGTAATTTCTTCTGAGCGGATTCACGCAGTCACCCCAACGTACTACGTGATGTTTACTGGGTGCACTTTGATAACAACGATTGTGCTGTACCAGGGCGTGAAAGCGTCTATTTCCGCTATTCTCACCGTTGTGTTCGCATTCCTTATCATTTGTACGTGCTTTCACCACCATTCCGTACTCCAAATGCTCAACCAAAGTATGGTAAGGCTCTGGTATAACACTCCTTCAAATTTCAAAGGTGGAGCCAACCAAGTTACGGGGTCTGGATAGACGAACCACTCTACTGCTCCAAGCAGCTCGTGAAGAAGTTGCCGAGCCCGAAATCGACGATCCAGAGAAGGGCCTGCTGCAAGCTTCGGAGGAGCCGGGCCTTGATGCTCTTCGCGGAACGTTCGGTGTAGGTGGTACAATTGTGCGGGCTCGCCGGCGAGCTTCCACATTAGGCACAGGCAGCGCGAATTCCATCCATCGTTCCACTTCGGGAACCAGCCGGAAGAACAGCAGAGCTCGCAGCGGGCATGACCTGCACCATGACAATCATGCCGAGAGAGAGTGGGAGAATGTGGCAGGGAAGGGTGTCCGCCGCTTCCAACTGACTGACGCACCAGTATCACCGCCCGCCACAGCTCCTCCCGCAGCTCCCCCTCCTTCCTTTGGGCTGAAAAGGAAGAAAAGAGATTCGCACGGATCTGCCGTAGCTGTCCGTGGTTCGATCGCGGGCGGCGATGAGGCAGCTTTACCTGTCGAGAAGGTCACGTCAGGCGGGACTCATGAAAAGCCCGCGTTGGGGGCTCTGAAGGAGAGTTATCCTTGTCTGCCCTCCTGGCACAGCAGGAATGGGCTACTTCCCAAAGATTTGATGTCTCTGAAGTTCCCCCTCCCAAAAGCGGTAATGTATCACCAGTCGATTCGCAGCCGAAGTCCATCAACCAGCACATCCATTTCACTGAGTCAACGGGACCGCATCCGGATCATTCGGCGTCATCTGTACGCCTAGTAACGTCTTCGAGACGACACCACAATATTTTGAATCCGAGGAAGTCTATTCCACCAATCTCCCAGACGCCGCCACTAGAGTCAGGATCAACGACATCGACATCATCACCACAAAAATTACAGAATTCGACGGCCCACCAGCGCCCACACATTCCATTAGCTGCCAAGATCTCGCCAGAAGAAGCACCAGGTCCTACCGTGGAAGCAAGGGATTCAACGTCTTCGCCATTGTCAAACCCGCTTTCGGCTACCCCCCAGGCGCAAGAGGGAAGCGAATCGGAAGACGAAGATTTGGTGGCGGGGACTATCACAACTGTCGAACCTCTCAATGCGCCGGCAGGCCACTCTGATCCGATCAGTGAATCCACGGACAGCTCCACTGACCGTTCCGGCAACCGTGCTCTTGCTTCAAGGCGACATCTGCGCTGATGTACTGCGTTCATTTTCTTGACTTTATGATTGTTTACGCACATGTCGTGCGAACAGTAAAGGTATACCCGGCAGTCGACAGTTTTCATGCGGATTACTGCCTACCCCGCCATCTATATTTAATCCATCGTTATGATACCACACACCCAGTACCCGATGGCATATCTGACACCTTTCACATACTTTCATACTTACAATATACCGAGTCGATCATTGTCCGCGTCCCGTTTGCATCGGGATTTGTCTCAGCTTGTTTGCAAGCTCCCAACCGATTGCAAAGTGAGAAAGTCGGGCATCAACTGAAAATCCTCGTTCCGCATACGCTAGGATGATGTTGTTATTGTTAATGACCTCACGGGAGTTCAGTGAGCACAAACTAACCTTTCAGCTCTTCATTGAGGGTCTCGAGTGGCACTATCCTACGGACGATATGCTCGCTAGCTTCGAGCTTCTGATCAGGTAAGGCATCTTTGACACTTCGGACAGGGACGTCCACGACAATGAGTTTCATATTCGCCGTCGTCATCCCTAAAGGATGAATATAGAATCAAGGGAACCTTATTTCCACGGAACTGAGGAACAAGCTACCTGGATCGCAGACCTGAAGTGGTGAAGTGTAGATTACACCTGATGCCTTCAAGCCAGTCTCCTCTTCGAGCTCCCTGATTCCAGCTTGTTCGACATCCTCATCCTCGTCGATGAGACCTGGCCCATGGAATGAAGGGGTTATCAGGCTCTCCAACGATGAGGGTGCAGAATGCCTACCAGCAGGCGCCTCTTCACGTTTGCAGAGTGAGTGTTGATTTCGGCAGAGACAGCTGTGATTGCTTACCGACCACATAGCTGCCTACGGGGGGGCGATACTGTTCAATTATCACTGTGTGTAGAGCTTCTCCAGTCTCGGTCGGCCGCAGTATGGCTATGATGGCGACGGCTATGCATCAAAACCGACGAATCGAAGTAATTTGCTTTGGTTTCCATAATGAACAATAAATTGTGATCGTACCATCGATTCCAGCCGAGCCACGCGTTTTCCTCTCAGCAGCTTCCCATCGTCTCTACGCGATCAAACGTATAAGAAAAGAACAAAGTGTCATCGCAGTTCGTCGTACCTCCCTTCCGTCCTCATCAAGCCAACAGATCTCTTTAAGGGTCACCCACTTGGCGCTTTTGGCTTCCAGTTCGTGAGATCCAACCAGGCTTGCCCTCTTGGGGCTATCCCCCGATATATACTCAGAAGCAGCGGACATTCTCTGGTCCCAAATTGGAAGCTTCGCGCTGAGAAAGCGACGAGCACCTAGTAAGGGAGTCGAGGTTGAAAGCAAAGGACAGCGATGAAGCTTGAAAATTGATGATAATCTTCCACTGACGTGGTGAGCCAAGGTGATTTACCACACTGCGGCCGTGCAGAAGGTTTTGTGCCAACAGGCCAAGCCCGAGCGAGGAATGAATACATTTCGAACAAATGAAAAATAACTTCAAACAAGTAAGATATAAGTGCTGCAGGAACAAGCGCAGTTGGGACTTCGAAGGCCATGAGAGCAGCTAGGTCAGGCATACCAATCTTCAGGTTTTCTTAAACTCAATTGGGAAATTTATAAAGTGAGAACCGAAATAAGAAGAACAGTGCTCGATCTGCTGCGCACATAGATGAGGATAGTGGAAAAAATTGAAAAGTTACTCTAAACTCTAAGTCTTCGATGGGCCGAGCGGAATGTCCATCTCTTCGGTTGCTGGCCTTGGCTATCGTAGAGACAAGGTTTTTGCAGCCTGTGGCTTCAATCGAGGCATTGACGCCCCGGATGGACCACATGTGCCACGTCCAATCTTTGGGCCAGTTCTTGATGGCAACCACAAATCCGAGGCGGAATGGGATCATTAGATGAACGCCTCAAAGCTCCGGAAGGATAGATCTGCCAGCGTAGCCCCGTTGTGATGCGGAGACAGCTGTAGTGTCGTCCGTGTCCAGCACGAGTTCATCAGAGAGAAGAAGGTGGATATCGTACACGCCTCGGTATGTTAAATTACACAGGTTTTTTGTTAAATACATAAGGGTTCGGCCTCCCCATCGTGGAGTGCCATGCCCCGATCGCCAGAAGCGTTTTGCACATAGAGCTTTCCACTGGGGGGAACGTGTCACGGACGAACACACCATTTTGACGCTCTATTACAGCAAAAGACAAAATAGTCCGCGTGTCCGATTTGGACTTCCGGTTGACGATTTAGGAAAATATTTAGCGCTCATCATTCATTCACTGCCATTTTGGGGTGATCACGAGACTGGCCTGGTCATTCAGCCAAATCGGGCGCGCTGATTTTTTTGTAATGTCTTCCCCAGACAGGTGCCGTGTCTTGCCACCAAAGTTCGAGTGTTCATATCTAATAACATGCCCCACAGGGCTGATCCTTCCACAGTTTTGGACAAATTTCTGGTTGGGTATCAGGGATGGTGAATTCTCACGAATATTCCATCATCAGCAGAAGTGTGTTGACCCTCTCGTCAGGTATTCTACCCCTGGAGATCGGGTAATCCTGCGGGAAGGTCAGATGGTTTATTGTTCGGGATGGTGTCATATTAACACCATTATGATGTACGATAGGCACATGGAATCATTGGTATCGTCCACTTTACCCTGCTTTATCGAATGCTGACCGATTATCCCAGGTTTGACAAAGAGCCAGGTTTGGGAGGTGGTCGACCGCAGTTCGATATTTGGCCAGACACATCCGAATATGCCGCCTCTGATTTGCATGAAGTTGAGGGGTACAACACACCATGGGGACTTGCAAAACTCTTCTCATCTTTCAAGTCTGGTGTCGTGGATTTGCATTTCCAAATGATGAAAGACCATGGGATTGATGGTTCATTCCTTCAACGGTGGGTTAACCAATGCAATCCCAGTGGCGATCCGTGGAGCGAACTTGCACGCCTGACACTGTGAGTGTTCGTCACTGCGGAAGGTATCAGGACTTACAGGTAGTTTTTCAGAGAACGAGATGCTGTCCTAAAGCTCGTCCGTGCAGCAGCTGAAAAGCAGGGAAGGGTGTGGGCCATTATGTGTGTACATAAAACATCATCATTCATGTACAGCTTATCGTTCCTCTGATTTTCACGGTAGGTACGATTTGACGGCGACGCCTTCTGATCGTTTAGAAGCGGCAATTCTTTCAGATTGGGACCATCTGAATCGCGATGAGGGTGTCACTTCCAGCGGGATGTATTTGAGGCACGGAGGCAAACCAGTCCTAGCTCTGTGTGGTATGTGCACGCGTGTATGGCCTTAGTCCTCACGTCTTATCGACACTTCAGGAGTCGGGTTTGCGCGCTCGCAACAGTCTCCCTCAATATTGAAATCTATCATCGAATCCCTTCGAAGACGATGGCACGCTCAAGGGGGGATTTGGATCATACTTGGAGGTGGGAGTCAACCCTTTCAAGTTATTGCTGACTGGTGTTGATAGTCTTGCCCCCCCAGTATCAACACAGTGGAGAAACCCGGGAACCGGAGACCAAGATGCATCAGCAGACTGGCTCGAAGTTTATCACCTGGTTGATGCGATCTCTCCCTGGACTGTCCGTCGATATGGCAATGAAGAAAGTGCAGATACATACGCTTCCAACACTGTCCGAGATGATATGAAGTTTTTGGAAAAAAGGGGCATAAAATACATGCCCACGGTTTTTCCAGGATTTTCGGTTTGTGCTTCAGATCAGGCTGCGTCTCCTTATTGATTGCCTGAGCTTCCCTTCTAGATGGCGAACGCCACCAAACTGGGACGCTATAACGAGGTACCTAGACAAGGGGGAAGATTCTTATGGAGACAGCTATATAACCTGCAGATGGAAGGAGCGAGAACCATTTATGCTGCCATGTTTGACGAGTTCGTCCATTTCAACCCGTTGCGGGACATCAGTGGCTCATGCATTCGTGGACAAGATTTGACTCAGGAACCGCCTTGATGCCTGCTGTATCCTCTCCAGACCAAATCCCAGCACTTGACCCCATGTATCTAAGACGGAATCGGTGGAGGTCCAAATTCATCACCACAGATGAGGGTGGTGATCCTGGCTTACCCTCGGATTGGTTTCTTCGTGTATGTGGAACTGCAGCCTTTGCGCTGAAGGGAGGCCCGAAATTGGATAAGGAGCTTCCTCGAAAGAAACTTTTAATTGACTACTGGCATTCGCGTCCTCGGCCTGCGCAAAGTGAGGCTTCATGGTCAGCAAGTCCCAGTGGTTCTGGATCTCAGGGCCCAAGCGGGAGTAGCAGCAATAGTCAGCCGGTCCTTCATAGTGTTCCTGCCGAGGAAGATCCATTGGATGGCCTACCACCTCCTCCGTATACACTTGAAGCTGGGTCCGGAGAGAAGAAAGCCGACGACTCTGATTTGACCCGCTTAGCCGCGGCGACTGCTAATGTGACATTGAATTCATCGGAAGCTACGAGCGATCCACAATCTCCCTTGTCTCCGATCAGTGTAGCTGGGACCCCGACACCCTCTGCTACTGCTACATCGTCCGTGCAGACGGTTAGCAATATAGATACACACCTGACCCAGGTTGTGCCCAGCGACCCGCCAAGACGATTCGAGAGCCTATCTCGACCTGACTCGAGCCCTACGCAATTTCCACCGTCGCAACCGCTTCATCCAGCTCCAGCTCCTCGACCTAACCTCTCCACTCGACCTTCATCGAGTCGTCCTTCTGCACCGCTTGCTTCAAGACCTGCCGTTCCAGGAAGATCGAGTGGGTCCTCCCGTCCATCATCACCTGCACCAGTTGTGGCTTCCACGCTATTGTATGATGCAATATCGGTGAACCATGTTGGTCCCCAATCTAGCGTTTATTCGCCCTTACCTCATCTCGCACCCAGCATACCGGTCCCAACTACCTCCGATCCCCAGCCCTCCGCTCAAACTGCGAATGGGGCGCCAGGCAACGCAACAATTTCGTTCCCGATGCCGTCTTCCTTCATACCAAGCACCCACTCTTGGAATAGCACACCGGCGCAGCATGTCCCAGTCCAGAATGTCGCCCCACCATGGCCAAGTACTGCGCATAGCGCGCCGCCCCCTCTGCCCTACTACTCCGGTTCGCCACCAAATGCATCTATGCCGTCATCATTCGGTGGCCCTTCGGTCCACGCAAACCGACCAACGACACCTGTTCCTCCGGGGCACCCCCAGTCTCAGTCACAACTGCTCCATTCTCCATATCCATCCGCCTCCATGCCTCTCCATTCTGGACCAAACTCGGACACACCATCCACGTTCCCGGGGACAACTGGTTTCTATAATGGTGCGGGTGGCTTTGCACCCCAGGCCCAACAATGGGGAGGCGGTTCCCCTCAGGGGTTTCCGTTCCCGGGAACTGCTCACCCTTATAGTCAATCTGCGCACAATCAACCAACTGCACCTCCACTTATACCGCAACCGAACGTACAGCCTGGCACACATTTTGGAGCTGGGAGCTCGAACACTGTGCGTAAGTGCTGTGTTATCTTCGTTCTTGCCGGTAATAGCCCAGCCTGATGATGGTACGACGCAGCTTTGCCAGCCTTCGCAAGGGATGCGATCACACGTCTAGGAGGCGAGAGAGCGACTGCCAGTGTACAAAATGCTTTACAGAGTAAGCAATCTGTGGAGCTCAAATGTATAATGGATATCGTCGCTGACATCGTGTTACATAGCGGGAACGAAGTACTGGAACAAATTTACGCGCTAGTGTGAAGGATGTTTGCTTATACTAGAGAATGTAAATTCTCTATTATACACTAATTTCAATACGTTGTGAAGATATTTTTTTCAAGCCTTAAACGAGTCCAAGATCCTATACCATTCTGTTAGTCATCCCTCTCTCTGACTCTACAGCGTAGGGGCATTACCTTTTCGATCAATCTCCGAGCGATTGGATGGAAATAAATTTCGTTTTCCTTAAAAGTCTTCCTTGCGAGAGGCATGTCAACTTTGCCAATCGCTCTAAAAATGGGTCTGCAGAACTTCATTCGGCCCTTCAAACCAGGTGCTTGTTTCTCTACGAGCCATGCTGCCGCGTCAGGTGTGTATTTTCTTGCTGCATCGGGAGATGCAGCCAGGACAAAGTTGTAGAACCGAAGGCGAATTTCAGGGTTGGAGGTGTTGGTGATCGCGTCCAAGTAAGTTTCGGCAAGGTAGTGGATGTGTGAAGGTGGGAGAGACGACGGTCCTGCTAGCGTCGCTAGACGCTCGAGGAAGACGACTAGAATGAGAGAATGGTCTTGGTTAAAGTTTATAGACAGTGAGAAAATTGATGAATGAAACCTTTTTGGTTGGAATTGAACGAGTCTAGATCCTCGTGGTTGAAGTCCAGTTTGCTGATATCGTGGTTCTTCGATTCATTCCACCTTGCGGCTAACAAGTATGCATCGTTTGCTAGTGTCGTATCATAGGGGATGTCTGCAGGAAGTGAAAGCCCCTCTCCGTGAAGCCATGCCTATAAACCAACCATGATGATAGTCAGCATGGTTCCGGCGAAAGCTATGAATAGCTAACCACAGTGTCGATACCTACATCCCAATCGACGGAGTCAAGGGTTTTGATTTTGTCTTCACCACCTCCATTCTCCTTTCTAGACCAGTATTGATACAGATGTTCCTTCCATTGGTCGGTACGAATGGATTTTCCTCGGTACATACGCACATAATCTCGTGCATACGGTAAGAATACATCAAGTCCACCCAACAGGCGTTCTGGAAGAGATCGTTACAGTGCAAAGATGAATGCAGGAAAGTAAGGGCACAAACCTAGGTATAAGAGGAAATTCGACCCTTTTTCGTATGGGACTGATGAATACGCTTCATCAGGATCTTCACCAAACTAAAAAAAAGATTGAAGATAGTAATCCCCACTAAAGGAACTCCAAGAAAAAAAATAGGCACGGCTCACTTCAAACGGAATGAGCAATCTTTGATATTTGGGTCGATCCTGAAACTCTTTCAATGCCTCGTCGAGAGCTTTCCGACCAATAATATATGAAAAGTCGCGCTCTGCTGGACCATGCAACGCTCCTTGGAGGACACGTTCAAGCCATGTGGTCCAGCCCTTGGCAAAATCAGGGGTGTAGTGCGCAAATGAGTCTCGGCGCTGGATCAACGAAGCACAAATGGAGAACAATAGACACACCTCATTTAGCCAGAACTAATGCCCCAAAGTAAGGTCGGAAATGCATCATATGTAAATTCAGTATTATTGGATCAGCAAAGGGCACAAAGCGAGCGTCAACATACATGGCCCGCATCCGCCGTCCTATGAGACAAGTTTTCTTCAATTTTTCCGTCAGAGTGACGATACGGAAAGGTATGCTTACGTGACGTTGTTTCCAAACCAACTATGAGAAATTTCATGCCCTACAACATCGACGAGACTCCGGTCCCCCGCCAGAAGAGCTGGTAGCATCCAAACATGGGGTAGCAGTTGATGTGAGAATACATGAGATAAGAGAATCATTGTCAGCGGATGAAACTTCCCCAGATGGAAGATGACTTGCTGGGTGTAACGAACGTAAGACACGAGTTCTCCCTGACATTAGTTAGAGCAAAGAACGACGTTAAATGTTGGTGGTATTGAGATTGTGGTGTGGAAAAGATGGAAGACGTACATTCCGCCATAAGGGAAGCTCGGAGGAAGTACCAAGAGGTCATACACGCCGAAATCATACGGCGTGATGATCTTTTCAGCTTCATGTACATATCTATACCATTAGTCGAATATAAGGGCCACCAAATCCGTCTTTGAAAAAAAAAGAGTGCGTACCTAGCTGTGTCTTTTTCGAATTCCCAGTATGCTGCATCTATGACTTCAGGCTCAGTCCATAGACCTGTTTTCCATTTGACCGGTTCAGTGGCTTGTCCAGCTACGGATGATGAAGAAAAAGGTTTGTAGACGACGTTTCCTGAGGCGATGGCGATGATATACGAGGGAATCGCAACGGGCTAAACAGGGTTCAGGAGCAGAACCGCCAGGTTAGCAAAAGATGTCGGATTTCATGTTCCTCTTGTTTCTAGATGCATACCTGATTGTATTCATACGTGACTTCATCCTTCCCAACCTCTTTGCCACCATGAACTTCCTCAGCGGGAGGGGATAGGCGTAGAGCGGACATGAGAACTGGTAGAACAGAGGTGACTCGAGAAGAGTAGGTGATTTTGAGGGATGGTGTGTCTTGGAGTGGAGCCATGCATCTAGCGTAAATGGGTTGACATTGAGAGAACAGGTAAGGGAAGTGTTTCCCTGCTGTTTGCCTTGGGGATCGAGGGATGAACGATGAGTGGCGGTTGTGAATGCTAGGAAACCCCCAAAAGGGTGTGGGAACTTACTCTTTGTCGAGCCATCCGACTGCTGTGCCTTGTCCAGTCGTGTTGTAGTCGATCGTGACTTTGATAGTATCTCCTTTTGAAAGCGTGGAGGGGAAATATACAGTCAGAGGGCTACCAACGACGGGATGTCGTTCACCAAGAGCGAACTGAGGTCGTTAAACGATTGTGTGGAAGCATGTTGGATCAACAAGGAGAGCAGACAAAGAGTTAGTGTACGGGTTTTCCGAAAAAAAGGTAAATACAAACTTTGGTGGATTTGTGGCCTATTTTCACGTCTGTAATGTTAAGGTATGACGTATCGAATCTACGGCGGCAGGAAAGTACATGGAAACGCGTTCAGTAATTTGTCGGAAGCGGAATCAAGTGAAAGCTTTACATTACATGCCCGACGCCATCTTTGTGCACAACGAGATCATGAGTTGCGCTACCAACGAATTTCTTTTCTCCCCAGAGAATCTTCCAATCAAAGTGTACGTGTTTCGTGCTAATGTCGAGATAATTGGAGTGTGTAGTAGGATCGAGTGCCATCGGTGCTACGATGGGAAACACGATGGAGGTTCGATAGATGCTAGGCGAATCGATATCACGTCGACGTACAAGATGATGAGTTGGCTAGGATGGACAATCACGTTAGCGCGCATTACGAGTTGTCCCTGAGATGGGGGTGCTGTACCAGAAACTAGGATCGATTGTGGAGAGTGTATTTGCGAATGTTGTTGCCGAGATGAGGGATGGGTGAATTCATTCGTTCGAATTTTGCGACTGAGGCGGATTGAAGTGAGTGACGTCCAGTTCTGGCAGCGGATCAACCCAGATCTGTATAATTGCGGGCAGAAGGTGACCTGGCTCGGATAAGGAGAGGACAAGGAGAGAAAGTGCGCGCTTCTGATAGGATTTGTGTGTGTCAAGCTGTTTGAGCGTTGAAGGACCCATTTCAATGTGTGGAAGAACATAAGAGCTAGGCTTTGAAACAATGTCCTGTATGGGAGAATTCCAGGGCCAGTTAGAATCACAACATGTTAGGAATGCGAGTCGCCGGAGATGCCCGAGAGGATTTTACTAAGCGCGCAAGTGCCCACAGGAGTTGCCTTATGTAGTTATTCATTCCTTTGTATATATATACGCACGGACATTGACCCAAAAGCATCAGTCATATTTCTCTTACATCTGTGCTCCGCTGGGAGACGTTTACAACACCGCTTGCGACAGAAACTTGCTGTCGATCTGACACTTCGCACGCGGAATATTGAATGGGTCATCAGAGGCTACCAATGGATTCTAGAATTGCTGGCGAATAGTCTCCGACCCCAAGTCTGGACACCATCTAGCTCGTGGTTGAACATCAGTGAAGCTGATGGATGGTGACCAGCCTCTATTGGTTCTTGACGCGGCAAGTCCCACTAAGTGGAAGAGGCGTCCACAAATGGATGTGAATTTACGGGGTTGTACACTGTACACACAATGAGCTAATCACATCCAATCAAGCTCGACTGTCTCCGGTTACGTAATTACACTCGATGCACCTCCCATTGACCGCCACACATAATGACATCATCCTGATATGAGTTGGCAGGTAGTCTCGCTTCGACCTTACCCATTCTCACCACCACCGCACTTCATTACAAATCAAGGCGATCGGAAGTTCCCTCCATTTCAGACCTGCACGCATGTCTTCTCGATCTCAGACTCTAAGTAATGTCTACCATCAGGCCAAACGTTTGACAGTGCTCAAAGACCAACTATGCCGAGTTGGAACTAGATTCAACACAATCCTTTCCCACATCCAGGGGAAAGGCCCGGGGGAAGTGCCTGGCGTGGTTGGAATGGTATACCAGTGTGAAGTCCACATTCCTTCACCTCTTGGCAACTTACAGGACTGCACCAGTTTAAAAAACCTTTCACAAACATCCCCAGATGTTGGAGATTGTGTACGAATATTCTGCGGGGTATTTTGGTCACCTCCTCGATAAGAGGTGTGTCGCAGTGGAGTAGTCACTGACGCAAGATTGGACCTACTGTTGATCCATGCGAAACCTCGGCACCGCTCGTTGATTTAAATCATGCTGAACACCTCGTAAGCAAATCCTGAGCAGCACCACAAAGGGAACGGGCGGTTGGCCGTGTCTCATTTTCTTTTATACATTACCTTCATTTGCATCACTACTAGGGCACCCCTGTCTCCACCGCCCGCGCTGTTCGACAGGGGTGTGCAGTGCAACTCCCCAATCCCGTTTTCCACGCTGCAGTACCCGATAATCATGCCTGCTATGCTTCGGTCCACCCAGACCGTGTTGTGAAATACTCACCATGCAAACCCTCGCCGGATAGTGACAAACACCAATGCACGCACGAAGTTGATCACTATGCCGAGTCCGCCTGTGGTTCTTTTACTGGGTGGTGACTGCGCAGCCCGAAGGAGAAGAATTGACACCGGAACACATGACTGGCCGCTGTTAACGGGACTACATCGCGTTTTAGAAAGTTCGTTGGTATCGAAATTCATCCCAGTTTAATATACCATTCCACTTGACAATCCAAGTACTTCATTGGCTCGTTAATGCGATTACCTTATGGGGATTGGGTTTCATATTCTGATAGGGCATCGATGGCCTATCCACATTGTGTGTCTACCTGTGTTCTAGTTAATCTAGGCCACTCAGCGGTTCATGCTTTGAGCATTGCCCTGGGTCGCGATGGCCTTGGCCGGATTAGTAGTATGAACCCATAACGGCGCCGTAGTCCAGGAAATCCGTCATTGGTTCCTTCAGTGATGAGGATATCAAGGTATGGGGGGGAGGAGGGGCCTTTATCGCTCCACCAGCAAGAATGTTTGTGCTAGCGAAATGATGCTGGGTTCAATTGGCTGACCGACGTCTGTCAGTTTGAATGAGACCAGTAGCCGCAGCATCCCGAGTGGCTGGAGATCCTTGAATGTAGCCTTTTGCCTTTACGAACCTTCATTGGTCATTCGTAATCACGGATAAACTGGCAGAGATGCGAATCAAGTGTTGGCCTATTACAAACGGTGCTGGAACGAGATGATGCTTCAAGCTCAAGTCTTGTTCACAAGGAAATAGGTGTTTTGAGGCAAGTACGCGGCTGGGGAGGATACTCCGTAATTGTCCGAGCCCTCCATTTGCGTGACTGATGATCCTCGCACAAGCTCGCCGATTCAAAAGGGATCACACTGCCAGTGGATTGATCGGAATATGTGAAGCCGGGCCCTAAAGCGAGAGAGTGAGATAACGGCGACCAGGGTAGAACATAAACCTTGTTCCTATCTCTCCGAGGTCTGCTTGAAGCATTCAAGGATCGGCGTTGACACGATTGGGGTCACGCGTGGTAGCTAGGCTCAGTTGGTATCGCTCTGAGGTTACTAGCCCCCGTATGGAATAGAAACTCTCGGGACAGTACTGAGGTATTGTCCCGAGCTTGTCGAGCAGCCTTTCGTCTAGGATACTAACGCTATTCGGGACGTGCTCCTGTTGAATGTGCTTTTGCAGGGAAGCTCGACTTTTGGCTCAACGTTTAACGCGAAGCTTCATCTGAATGTCTTTGCCAGAGAAGCGGAGGCAGTATATTCCTAGGGCTCAACGGGCTTGTGGGACCATAAAGAAAGATGAGGCAGGCCCCCAGTTCTCAAGCCCGCTCTATCGATCTCTTCCTGGCCCTCTTCACCTTCTTCGTTATTAATGGCTGGAGGAGCTCCCATTGTTGGCGTCTCTGGCTCCGAACTTGGAAGACGGCAGTGGGCTATTGCCTTTTCCTTGGTGTCTACACTTTTCTTTACCTGGGGGTGATTAGAGTGCCGTTCTGGGTAGTTGGGGGATTTTACTGACAGAATGACTTGCATAACTCTAGATTTGCGTATGGTGAGCATGCCCGCGACACAACTGCCCACATCTTCAATTTAACTGTTGCTTTCACTAAGGCCTCCTTGATGTCTTGAACAAGCATTTCCAGGTCATATTTGGGATTACCAAGACTCAAAGTACCTTGCTCCAGCTCGCGTACTTTGGCGCGTACCTCGTCTTTTCACCTTTCGCCGGGCTTTTCATGAGGCGCTACGGTTACAAGAAAGGAATCCATTTAGGTCTTTCACTCTACACGATTGGTGCCGCATTTTATTGGCCTTGTGCCAAGTATGAGGTCTACGGAGGTTTCGTTGCATGTACATTTGTGATTGGATGTGGCTTGAGTGCGCTTGAAGTGAGGTCCAAGTTAGTGGGATGGCGTTCATGCTAAGAACACGCGTACTAGGTTGCTGCAAATTCGTACATAACAGTTCTAGGATCCCCAAAATATGCGGCCGCGCGCCTTAATTTTTCACAAGGTTGGCAAGGGGTCGCTTCATTCTCTGGTCCTCTCATCGCTTCCCGGTGGTTTTTTACTGGGAAGAATGCCACCTCACTCGATACAGTTCAATACGTCTACCTTGCGGTGGCGTGTCTCGGCATTACCTTGAATGTCCTTTTCTACTTCACGTATCTTCCCGAGATCACCGAAGAGAAGTTGGCTGAAGAGATGCGAGGTGTTGGCATTATGAGTGATGCTGAGCCTTTCCACAAGCAATATCGCACCATCTTCGGCTTTATCGCCCAATTCTGCTATGTGTATGCCCTCGCGATCAGGTCGTTCAACGGTATAGTCTGATTTTTTCATTCCTAGAGGTGCTCAGGTTGCGGTTGCATCCTTTGTCGTCAACTACCTCACTGAGGGTGAATTCGGCTTGAACAAGACGGACTCACAAGCATCGAACATGTTCTCATACTGTCAAATCACATTCACCGTCGGTCGCTTTGTCGGTGTCGTACTCCTCAACTTCATCGATCCAGCCGCCCTTCTCACATTCTATGCCATTTGCTGCACCGTATTCTGCATCGGGACCGCTACCGCAACTGGCGTGGCCGGCATCGCATGCCTCTACTGTCTGTTCTTCTTCGAGTCTATCTGTTATCCCGTTATTTTCACTCTCGGTACGAAGAACCTTGGCGTTCACACCAAAAAAGGATCCGCACTTATCGTAATGGGTGTCGCCGGAGGGGCCTGGTACCCTTCCGCACAGGGCGCGCTCGCCGATCGCACAAGTACACACCATTCGTATTTGGTGCCTATGACCGGGTTCATTGTTATGCTTGTGTACGCTGCGGGAATCGTTATTACCCAGGGAAACCGGGATGGGTTCCGTATTAGTAATGTTGACGAGATACAAAAGAAGAGAGCTTCTATCGTATCCGCTGGGTCTGGTAAAGGTGATCTGCCTGGTGCCAATCTGCCAAGCGCAGTGGAAACAGCCGAGAGGACCAGCAAGGAGAAGGATTCTGCCAATCTTCCGATTGCCGAGCAATTGGATTCAAGAAATAGCTCGACGAGCCTGGGCTGAAGTTTTGCAGCCAGCGCGGCCGTCATTTCGGCCTACACATATTCATTTTGTCACAATATCGATGACAGGCGAATTCGAATTCAAGTTTCGCTAAATCTCACGTCTCGCTGACGCATATCCAAGGACCCCGAAGGGAGCCACCCCTCAAGGACCCGATGGTGGATTTTAATTCTACCCTAAAATTCCTTTCTCACGGAATGACCCCTTCGTGCCTTGTGCTAATTGTGAAAGTCTAAAGCGCCAGTCATGAAGTATCGCACGCCAAATCGAGGTCGATTTATCGCAATATCGAGATCATTCCTCAACCACGGTGGTTCCGGGTGTTGGGCGGAGTCACAGTACCTGAAGGCCTGGGGGCGGCAGGTCAAACTCATTGGAGGTCAATGGGAATGCAATGGCAGTCCTGAATCTGAACTTGAATCCGACGTATCATGAATTAGGTCCAGAAGTAAAAACAGAAACATCAAAGCCCTAGGCAAGAACCCAATCAGGATTTCTTTGCTAAGCTGGGCACGGAGTCATCCTGGCATGCTCAGTATGGAGACATTGAGCCACGTGTAATAGCACGGCCAGGATCCCAGCCCCTACTAAAGACCAGCCGATATGTGCTGCCTATGGGGACAGATCTGGGCACGCCAAGAGGAGATGAGGTGCTTCTGTGATAAGACTTTGAGAGAAGTCTGTTCGACCCCTTGTTGTCCAAACCAACAGAATACTGTTGTTTTGTGTTTTGTTACACGCGTGATCGATTTATTTAATTCTCGACTCCATGCTGCAAACTCGATCCTGGGCCCAATGAGCCTCTTGCAAGAACTTTCTGAAATGGACAGACTTACCCAGTTGCAGGACAGCATCGATGAGGTCAGGCGCTTGCGCTTAAGCGGCTTCACTCTCTCTCACGCTATCTTGTCTCCCCACAGCTCTTGACGGTCATGTCGAGCAGTATTCACTATCTTATCACACGCGCCGACTTCGAGCAACTAAATCCAGATATTCCTATTACTAAGTCAAGAGGAGACAAGGCTGCATCCCCGGAAGAGTTTGAAGGTGAGAATCCACCAGGGGGGTGTCAATCGGTCGTGCAATAACTATGCTTCTTGAACGTGGTGTCCTGAGGTTGTAGCTACCAAGAAAGATCTTGTAAACTCGCTCGTCATGCAGGCGAAGAAGATTGAAATTCTCATACGGGCTCTGCCTGCTCCCGTCTCCGAACAACAACAGGTGTTCTTGCTCCTTGTACGAGACGGCTCAAGACGCTGACAAATCGCATTACCTTGTGTACGAAGGTGGAGAACCTAGCTGAGTTGCGGCATGAAATGGAGGGTGCAAACCGAGAGTATAGAGCCGCTGTTCAACGAGCGAGTAAGCCTGCTCGATCTTTTCCCTTGGCGTTAACGAGCATCGTTTTTCAGGTGAATTGCATGCGGAGTTCACTAAAATTTTGGGCATGATGCTCGAAAAGTCACCGTCTCGGCCGGGATGATTGCAACTGCTTTCATTATCATCTAACATGGCGGGTCAAGGGTACATCGTTTTATCCCACGGTCGCAGTAGCGAGGTCATCGGCCCGTCGACATGCTAATCCTCAGGCAAGGTATCTATACAATGATGGATCACTCTCATCCCGCTCCAGATACTCCATATCTACCAATTGGCTAATTTGCGCTTTGATCATGGCGACGTCAGGATAGAAGTGTTGCTTGACCGCATCGACGGTCGTCGTGACGAGTTCAGAGTGAGTGAGGGCTTTCTTCGCCTTCATAATGCGCACTATGGCGGCCTGGAGTTGTAAATCTCGGGTGATAGCAATGCTTTCCGTTGCTTGAGCGTTTTCGGCGGCCTAGCATAGGTTCTGCGTGAACAAGCCGCGAAGGGAGCTGCAAAAAAGTCTGCATACCGATTCCTTAACCTGTATATTGTTGACCCTTACGATCCGTCTCTCGTCCTCAAATGATATATTGACACTGAATACATCGTTGTTATTGACGTCTTTACTTGAGGGATGCTTTTTGAAAACTCGCTTCTTGCCCAACGCCAAGGACTGAAGCGTGCGCTTGAGATCTTCTTTGTCTGTATTATATGGCTCAGGAAAGCGTTCCTTGAAGATAAACCGAGCTTACCCATATTAATTTGTTCATGAATCTCCCAGAACGTGAGTTCCATAACATCTTCTTCTGCGAATAGGAGTAGGACACATGCTTGCTCCAGGCTTAGCACAAGCTCTTTCTCTCCCTTAGGAAATCGTCCTATTAAGCTTGCAGTTCCCAAGTGGTGAATCCATTGCAGCTGTCGGCCCCTAAATTTGCTCATGTAAAATTCATTGAAGTGGTCCATGGCAGCTCGCATTCCTGCAGGCAATAAAAGCGGACTGGGTTTATAAGTGGGCCAAGCGGATGGCTGGAGAACCATCATGGTAAACGAGTCACAATCATTAATCGAGTGTCCAATATGCTCCCGCAAGGCATGGAAGTCAGCTTGCAGGTTTCGGGAGAGTTCAAGATCGTTGAACATTTGCTGCCCTTTCTCAAATTCGCGGTCGTAGCCTGGAATATAGAGGGGTATACATGAAATCTCCTCTACGGAATGTTGGCTGCGCAGCTTACTGTTCGCTAGTTTGGCGAGGAGCTGCTTCTCAAAATCATCAGAAGCACTGCGTCGGAGAATAACGCGCTTGGCCAAAGCCCTCATATAGAAAGTGCGGAAGACGTCTCGGTCTGAATGGGAGTTGGCCGATGCTTCTTTGATGAGCTTCGAGATTACCTACCGGGGGTAAATGCGTGCAATGCCATCACCTCATCTACTTGTTTCTGGAAATCGCAATCGGACATACCCTTTTGTCCTTGACGCAGGATACCGTCGAGATGCTTGGCTATTCGTAGTTGCGCCGTTAACATCATCCAAAATCCGAGGAACTACAAGGGGCGTACCCATTAACTCTGCTGGCTTATTTTTCCTGGTCCCAACTGCGACAGTAAAGGCATCCCGAACTGCGTGGATGAAATCATCGCTATCCAACGGCAATGGGCCTACGTCTGCTTGCCTCGTGCGGCTTACAAAACAAGTCTTGACTACTCCATCAATAAAATCTTTAAGCGAAATGAGGCTGTGAATCATATTGGCATCGTTGTCGGTCTTGTGGACCTCGAGCTGAACGACAGTCTAGGAAACTGGAATGAACCTTGTTGTGCTTTACGGCGTACAGGCCTGACGCACCTTGACATATGCTTTGAACGATTCACGGAGTTCGGGCACTGACTGCACTCTGCAATAAAGATTGTACATTTGGGAAAGCCCCTTCTCATCTTTCTCGTTCATGAGCTTCTCGATAGCTAAAATGATGGTGTCAGGGACTTGACAAAGCTCGATCGCCTCTGGCTCACCGGCCTGGGAGAACTTGTCAGTGACATTGTTCCGCATCAAGCGATCTTGAACAATACTGATAATGCGGTGACTGGGAAACTCAGAGCAACAATCTTTCAGACGTCTTTCTTCCTGATCCAACCGCGCTGAGCAGTGGCGTATCCAATCGACCGCCTTTGATTCATTGTAAAGTTGCCTATTCTCCTTCTTATAGTATTCCCTAGTGATGTCGGCATACGACGCTTCGAATACTACTTCATAAATGCCATAAACAGCAAGGAGATGAACCAGGGAGCGGATGGTATCACGGTGATGGTTCTCATCAACGTCCATTCCGCTTCCACTCGGCATAGCCTCCAGTCTAAGCAAGGTGAAACGCAGGGAATGGATATAGTCAGGCGTGTACGCACGATGCATCCCTTTCTTGGGTGACCCATTCAGATATGGCGTCCGAGATCGACGTCTGGGGGCCAACCATTCTCACCAACTTTTCGCGCCACAACTCCCTCCCAAGTGGCCTAAAGAATAGGTAAGAATGGTCCGGCATCAGAACGGTGGAATCCTACCGAACTTGCATGAATGATTTGTCCAAATTCTCTATCACGAAACCACGGTCCAGATACAATAAAACTGAGTTTAGGATACTCTTGTCATGACACACGATGAGCTACCATCCACATAGCGGGTGATGGCCTACGAACAAGCCTTGATTCGTACCACTGCCAAACCTGAACGAGTTGGGAAAGCCACTTCATGTCACCTAGGGGCATAGTCATAAGCTTCCTAAATTCGGCATCAACGCATTTCTCCAGCGCGATCTTGACATCGCCGTAAAGGTCTTCGCCATGGCCCTGTAATGAGACCAGAACGCGTACGGCCTGAAATAATTCTTCAAATGGTGCGATGCGATTCCCACCCATCGCTTTTGCGTCGAGTATAGCGCGTACTGATCGAGTCACTAGCGGGCTTAGCCTGTTAGTATATTCCAGTGGAAGGGCTCTCGTTGCTGGATCAAGGGTGAATGACGGATGATTGACGCATGCGATCAGGATACTGACGTAGCATGCCTCCGACACGAAGCACTTGGACCTTGCATTCCAGTTCCAGCCCTTTCCCAGGAAGCTCATCTTGCGCTCTAGCTCTTCCCTTGCCCTTATTGCGATTGGTGTCGTGATCTTGCTCCGTTCGTGCGAATTTTCGAGGGGGAGCGGTTGTCGGGTCCACATCCACAACGGACAGAGACACATTCTTCACTCGGCTAAATGCAGCGGAAGTCCTGGGCAAGTTGGATAATGCTTGGGTGAGAAAGTCGTCATCCATGTTAACAGCGCTTATTTCGAATTGTTCTCCTGCCGGAAGCAAAATCCCTGAGCCCGGACTTGAACTGCCTCGATTGATAGCGACATTCGCTCGCCCCTTGTCTCTCCATTTTCTAAGACTCTCTTTTCCGCTCTCTAGAGCCCTGCTGAGCAAGGCAGCATGCCTAAATTTCACTTCAGACGGCGTCTGATGCCCTTCCCGGGTGCTTTGCGACCATCTCGCAGAGTCTTCAGCCCACGTCGGTGGTATCCTGTGCGCTACTTTTCACGACAATCCAATCTTCATGAAGCTTCAGACTCGGCCCCGATGACCACGAGCCAGAATAAAATCCCCCTGCGACGTATGTGCATCTATTCTATTTTCCCTTGTATCACCGTCAGTCACACGACACTCCCTTGGGCCCGAATCATCATAGGTAGGCTCGCGGCAGCATGGAAGGAAACGCCCACTGTGTGGTATCCGTTACCTATCGGTGTCGGTGCCCTCTTATTAGCCATGCTATCGTGGCGAAATAACACTAGACGAGAAGCGGGCGAGACCGAGGCTGGCCAGCCTGTCGGAGCCAAGCGTCGCTGGCAGGTGGGCATCCGACAGTTTTTACTATTACCCTTGTAGCTGATAGCACACTAGGTACACGTTCTGGGGGCACTTCCGCTTCGCAACTTGTCTAGAGTATGGGGTTATCTCAATTCTTTTGAGCTTCCCATCTGGCTTCGCCCCGTTGGTTTACAATTCTATGCGTGGCTTTTTGGTTGTAATCTGGATGAAACAGAACATTCAGACCTGACAAGATACCGGAGCCTTGGGGAATTCTTCTATAGAAGATTAAAGCCTGGAGTTCGGCCACTTGCAGACGCTGTACTCGTGCGTCTAACTGTGTCTTCTCTTGTACTTACCTGATTAGCCATTATTAGGTATCACCGGCGGATGGAACCGTCCTTCATTTTGGAAAAATTGTCAATTCCCGTGTTGAACAAGTCAAGGGCCTCACATACTCCCTTGATGCCTTTCTAGGAACACGGCAGGCAGGGGACAGCGTCAATGTGGACTTCGCTGAGCGACAAGGTGCCGAGGTCGACGATGAGGAATTTGCAAATGTCAATGGCATCGAATACTCCCTGAATCAACTCCTTGGTAGTACTTCTCAGAAGTCACCTAATTCCACACCATCATCATCATCATCCACTCTCCTATGCCCATCCACCAATACCGCTACCAGAGAAGGGGATGTTGAGGATGCTTCTGTGCCGGAGGAGGCAACAACTCCCGATACACTTAGTGTGGCGGCGGAGGTTGGCACTGTTGCGACGCATCCTGGTTTACAAAGGTCCATGACAGTATCGAATGTTAAGCCCGGAAATGAGCTATTTTTTACGGTCATCTATCTTGCTCCTGGAGATTACCACCGCTTTCATAGTCCCACGGCCTGGGTCGTGGAAAAACGAAGGCATTTTACTGGTAGATCTACTCCTCGGTTCTTCCCTAGTTCGATCTCACGAGGTTTCATGCAGGCGAGCTCTTCTCGGTAGCGCCTTGGCTTGCCAAGCGACTTGCAGACCTTTTCGTTCTCAACGAGCGCGTAGCTCTGCTGGGCAAATGGCGATACGGCTTCTTTTCGATGATTCCTGTTGGTGTGTAAACTGACTCAGAGCAATCTATCCAACTAGCATCTGATGGCTTTACTTGTCTAGGTGCCACCAATGTCGGCTCCATCCGTATCAATTTTGATGAGGCTTTGCGTACGAACGTTAGAGGAGGACGTCACAAAGTTTCGCCGGGTTCTTTCCACGAAGCTATCTACACCAATGCGTCCATCATTTTGCGAGGTCACCCATTGCGTCCTGGCCAGGAGATGGGCGGATTTATGCTTGGAAGCACCATTGTACTCGTCTTTGAAGCCCCTACGACCTTCAAGTTTGAAATTCAAGCTGGACAGAGAGTTAAAGTCGGCGAGAAGGTTGGGGATGTACCGAACTTAGTATAGGCCCAGATGGTTGCCAAACAAATGTCCCGGCGTTTCTCGACTACTACATGCATGCCCGCAGAAGCCTAGATTCTTGCCGCTCAACCCAGCGTCACCTTCGCAAAACTATTCGTCAACAGGTCTATTGCAATCCAGAATCATAACTTGGTCTCAACACCTCTTTTTGCGTGCTCAGACATCATTTTGCACCACACCCACAATCAAGCTGCACTAATGCCTTACGGAAGGAAACATCCTGTGTACATAGTAATGATCACGAAATTAATGGTAACTTCAACGGTGCTGAATATCCGGAGAGCGGCGCAAGTATGAGCACAAGGAGTTACGATGTTTAGCACAACCTTGTCAGAGTGCGCTGGCGTCCGAGAATACACATAATGTCTAGAATCGAGGGTCCAATCTAGATGGACAGGCATGCATCAGGTATTCTTGGAAACCCAGTCTCAATAGACGATACCTTGGAGGCCGTTAGCGCGTATCGGAGGACCTTCATCCAAGTCGTCTCTGCAAAGTCTGCATTCTGCTTAAGACTGGAGATAGCACCCTGAATTGTCCCTGCATTCCACTCATGGCATGGTACTGCTGCTAAAGCCAGGCTAGCACTGGACTTGATCGTAGCTGAAGAGGCACAGGGTTCTACGAATGTCGGTATCAGGAAAAAAACGCACATACCTAGCGTATCCTCCGAGAACGACTTCGACATCACCTTGGCATCGGAGGAAGAGAAGTTCGGTTCTGTGAACAAATACGGAGCGACTGTTGGCAAATCTTTGAGATTTGCTAAACGTTCCTTTAGCACTTATAAGCGCTTTGCATTGCCCAACAAATGTGGGTATTGCGAACCATGAGTGACGGAAGAGCCTTTGCAACGTACTCCGTCGTAATGAAATCGCTAATGCGGCTATTAATAGGTGTTCTCGCAGAGTTTTCCCCGCTCGCCTTTGTGGAAACGCGTCATTTAACATTCTGGTTGCCTTCCGAACGATCGCTATCCTCGTCTGGGGTCGAGATAGTTGTATCTGGAGATGGTGTCTATTCAAATAGGCGAGCTTTGTAGGGTCTAGGATGTTCTTCCGATGCGTCAGACTCGCCAAGTCAAACTTGATATCCCAAGTCAGTCCTATGTCCTCGAACTTCCCAACGCATGATAATTAGAAGATACCTTCTGAATGAGCTCATCAAGAGCTAGTACATCGTCGGGAGCCGTTGATGTTGTGCCCACAGAAACTTTTCTCTCCTGAACTTGTGATTCATCATCATGAGATCGACTCCAACCAGCAAGAGCAAGCCAATTTAGAACTGCTTCTGGTTGCCATCCTTGCTCCTGGATCGCAAGATCAAAGCCTTCCATGATCCCACGGCGTAGGTCACTCACAATGAAATCAAAAACCTGTGTGTCCCCCTTACGTTTCGACATCTTGGACCCATCCTTATTCAGAAGCAAGGGGACATGCGCATACTGCGGAGGCTTTTGGGATAGAGCCGAATATAGTTCAAGGTGCAGCGGTAAGGACGACAGCCATTCCTATACTGATTTTGAGCAATGCCCGAGGATCACCCTGCAACCCAATGTTGTACCTCACCGCGAATAACATGGGTTATTTCCATATTATGATCATCCACTACGGAGGCAAAATGGTATGTCGGAAAGCGGTCGGTCTTGATCAAAATAGTGTCCGTGGCGCGCGAAGTTGCTGACTGCCGATGCGAACCAAATACGAGATCATTCAGATCGTTGGGATCTGGAGATTCTGGAAACACTGAGGCGTCCTGAGATGTGATGCCCGCTGGTTTGATGTTGGGTGGGGGCAAGGGCAAGATGATCAAGCACACCTTTAGTCTTATCACGTATTTCTCTCCAGCCTTGACTCGGCGGATACTCTCCTCTTCTGGGAGGTGTAAGCAAGTTCTGTCGTACGTCGCCTTCGATCCTAGTTTCGCGAGCTTCCCACGAATTTCGGCTAACTTTTCTGGTCCACAGAAGCATCGGTACGCATGACCTGCCTATTTGAGTTGAGTTAAGAAAGTAACAACCCATTTGGTTACGTACCTCAAGCAATGCGCGAGCATGGAAGTGGTAGAGATCAAGTCGCTTGGACTGATCATAAGAACTTTAGCGTAAATACCAAGACACAAATATGAACTGGATGCTTTGGCTCACCTGGAAGTATGGCCCATAAAGGCCGTCCCGATAAGGCCCTAGCACCGTCAGTCAACGAAAGAAGCTTAGTCATCGGGCCTACCATAATCATACTCTAAACCCGCCCAACCCAGGCACGATATTATGTTGTTCACAGACCCTGGAACCAGTCTGCTCTAACGTCTTCTCAGCCGGTTCAACGAAGCGTCGAAGCCACGCAGCTTACCTGGTCAGTGTCTTCTACTCTGAGAATCCACTTCCCTCTCAGCTTCCTCGCGACAAGGTGGTTAATCAAAGCAGTCCGGAGGCCCCCCAAGTGAAGGGGACCGGTGGGTGATGGTGCGAAGCGAAGCAAAATTTTAGCACTTGCCATTCGGTGTAAAGCAAGAGCGCACGTCGCACGAGCCACAGATACTAGTGACCAAGAGAATGTTGTTTAGTATTGTTGATGGGCCGTGGGAAGCGAATAAGACAATTCTTCATCGGCTTGTGGAACCTGTATCAGTGACCTGCATATATGGTTGTAGGTAATATACATGAACGGTTATGAAATTGGTTTGTAGGGAATCATGGGCCACCGCGATGACGTTTTCTCGCGTTTGACGCTGCACTCGATCCAGTTTCGACTGCTGTGGGTTTTCGTCGAGAATGTACACCTGAAGAGGACGCACTGGGTACAATATCCACATCCATCGCCTCTTCCCTCCTGCCTTTCGGTATTCCTGTTTTGGCTGTGACAAGTTCTGTGACGGTGGCTTGTCGAACCGTCTCCCATTCTTTCTGGTTCTCCGTCTTTTGAGCTGCGTTTGCTACAGCCTCAGCGATCGCGCTGTCAAGGCTATCAAGGACTTCTTTCGTGCGGTTTGACCAATCCTGCAATGCACCAAGAAGCTCTTCAAGTTGACCTGGGCGAAGGTCGCGTCCCATTGTACTGTGAACTTGAAATTGCGAAAACTTCTGATCAAGTTTCCCGCTCACAATGCCGGCGTATATGGCGTCTATTATCAAGTCTTCTAGGGCACGGATTGTGGGTAAATCGAGGATGGTAAGGAGGCGGGAGTAGGGGAGAATCTGAGTTAGTATAGAAGGATTATGGAATCAGGTCAGCTAGATGGGTAGTGAATTATTCAAGAGCGCTTACCCGTGTCTCATTCGCAAGAGAGACCATGGATAATTGTTTGAGTTTGATGAGTTGATTTTCATTCAGTTTTGGAAGAGACGAATGCTTGGCTTAATGCAATATCAAGAAGGAATTACCAAAACAAATTACTCTCAAAGGCCCATCGTACGGCACCTTTATAGTCACCATATGTCCCGTACGAGAATATTTGAAGCAGCTCAAGGTAGGAATCATACTGCGTCCCCGCGAGCTGTCATCGCAAAGGCCAACTATTCAGCAAGGCAACGATGACACGCACTACCGATCACATCACCGATTTGATACCAGGAAGATCCATCAGCTCAGCATAAACAAAGACGCCGGGCGCTGTGATGACGTCCTCGATGAGTTTTGTTGCTGCAGCTCCCTTCAAGGACTTTGCCATCAGCAGAAATGGCTCCAACTTGGCAGCGGAGGAAGTAGACGCCATTGAACGCTTGTAACTATGCTTGCCCCTTCAGAGGCGTCTTGCAAATCGGGATTGGGGCTTTGAGTTGCCCACAACAAATTCAGTTGGAAGCGCGAGGCGGAAATCTGTCCCGTGATCTGCCTGGTAGCATTCCAAACTCCTGCCCGATTGAGACCGTTAATCAGTCATAGTCGCTCCTGAAAATGCCTATTGGATCATCTCTACCTTCAAAATCAATAGGTCCACAACTACCTCTGGAGTACTCGCGAAACCTAGCAAACGAAGAGGACGAGGATGAAGACGATGACTCTTATGCACCTGCTCTCCCGCCAGACATGCTTCCTCCTGCACGATCGACCTTTGCGTCGGCTCCCATGTTCATAAAGCGACCTTCATTTCCTCCACGCCCTGTCCATGACGATGTGGATAACGACGATGACTATGGCCCAATGCCACTCCCAACAGGTGGCTCCTCTTTACTGAGAAAGGACAGACACGATGGCGTTCGTGAGTTCTTAGAACGTGAGGAAACGAGGAAACGGAATATCGAGGTTAGTGGCTGATTCCCCGGAAGGGGTCCTCGATGTTTGGTACGCGCATACCACAGGTCATTGATGAAAGCCGTGGTTTATACTCTCGGAAGGAAGCAGCAAGGCCCAAAAAACTAAAACGAGATGATTGGATGCTTGTACCACCCAAATCCTCAGACCTTCTTGGGCGTAAGTCACCCACTTCTTATTTCCTTCCGTCATCGCCTTCAAGAAGTATCTGGGCAACCTCTAAGCTAGCGCATCTGTTCGTTGTCTCCAGACCTCGACGTAACAAAACTCAAAGCCCGCCAGTTTTCCCGGAGCAGTGGAGACAAACGAGAATCAGGTCCATCACCACTTTGGACAGAAACGCCTGCCGAACGTCAGAAACGTATAGCAGAAGAGGTCATGGGGAAACGAAAGCGTACTGAAGAAAGTGGCATCGCTGACCCGGCGGTCGATGAAGAAGATATTGTGGAGGAAAGAAAACGGAGAAAGAGAGATGCTGATATTAACAAAGTTGTCGAAGAACATAACGTCAGTTCTACGTCTCACTACTCGTGTGCTAAATATTTAATAAAATTGACATCCTTCCCGGATTTCAATGCAGAAATCATCCAGAGGCGCATCCCTCGTTGACATGCATACCACTTCCAGATCCTCACCCTCTTCGTCCAAGCCTGACACCAACAAACCCCCTGGAATATGGGACCACTCGCGTGACATGGCAGTCACTGGTAGACTTCTGGATGACGCTGCGCGGAACCGAGTGATCCGAGACGCGAAGGGATTGGGTGATCGGTTTGGCACTGGAAGAAGCGGGCGATATATGTGATTTCTATGTTGTGTGTGAGGAAGGCGGTTACTGTTGAAATTTGTGGGTCTTGAAGCGATCGTGTGGAAATCCAGCACTATTCATCCGGAAGCAGGTGGCAGAGAGCTCTTATTGGAGGTGACAAAAGTTAACAGAGGAGGCATGGTGGAGACGGAGACAAGAAACACTGGGGAGGTAGCGAGGCAAGATTGAGCAACGCGATATCGATCCTGGATCACCAGAATTTCACAAAGGGGTCCAATTCCAAACAGTGGCACGCAATATTGCTTATCAGAAGAAACAGCTCCTCAATCGGTAGTCCTCTGGGAATGAGACAGCGACAACGGTTCATTGCTGGTTGGCCTCAGTATAACACCTCTTCCGCTGCTCAGTGGAAATTAGAGCCGTGTAATAGACCCTTTTAAAGATGGTAAAATACACTGATGTTTAACGACGAGCGGTGTAGTATTCTACGATCAAACATACGATATTTGATCAAGGCTCCATTGTGAGAGTAAATTACTTGTTTTTTTTTGGCTAGTTTAACGGTGGTGAACTGTCACTTTACAACCGTCGTATTTTGTATTTTACGCCAAGGGCTTGGTAATTTACGATGATTGCAGTCGATAAAAGATAAGGCCATTTATCGTCATTCACAACTATTATCATGGTAGTTTACAGTAAGGATAACCGTAATTCTTCGAGTGAAATAAGCAATGAGCGGGAAACGGAAACGCACGATCCAAGTGAAAGATGAAGAGCAATTGGCAACCGATGTTGAAAGAGGTGACAAGAGGCAGCGAGGTTGGTGAGCACGGACTGTATACTGTATAGCCAATGTAAGACGAGGCAATTAAGAGTAAGGCAACATGGAGAATGAACCAACAAGCACGCAATTTCAACTTGCAATTTCAATTCTTGCGAGTAGCAACTCGAGGTTTTGGTAGAGGTCCTGGTTTCTGGGATGGACCAGGCTCATTAGACGCTTGCATCTTAGTTTGATGTTCAGCCATGGCAATTGCAGCTGGAGTTTGTTTTTTTTTTTCACCATGGAAGTGGCCGTTTGATTTTGGAATTTGGATCAATTGGGGTGGTGATCAGTGGTGAGAGCATATTCCATACATGTTGGTGTCAGAGCCCCAAGCTGCTCTGGGTCTAGGTTGAGGAATCCAGGGGTGTCAGCGGAGGTGCTGCCTGGAGGATCCAAGTCCATCGCAATAGGAGAACCTGGGAGAGCGGGTTGTGATGTAGACTCCAGCTGAGCAGTGAGGGGAAATGAGAGGGGAAAGTTGCCCCCCTCACTTGCTACTCAAGGAATGATAAAGTCGGTGTACCCAGCAATGCAGGGCCACTCAATATAACACATGCCCTCGCCAGTCCGGGGATGATGTGTCATCAATCTGTACTCCGACAGTTGGCTTGGTCCAGACCCTTTGCTTCAGTTCTCAGCCACGCATTCGTAATGGATGGGGCTTGATTGGACAAAGGGAACACATCAATCAAAGATGTTTTTGGTGCATCGAAGGTTGCAGAAATCAGTAAATGATGGGCAAAATAGAAAACACACCTTCACCCAAAGGATCAGTCACAATATCATTGCCTTCAACTATAGTTGTGGAGATGTAAATAAGACTCTAAGTTGAGGATGCCAAGCGGGGATAAGAAGTCGAAGTTCAATTTCCCACGCCCTTCTAATTTTGGTTCCGAATGGTACTATCCATTGGATGACTCCGGTGACAGTGCAATTCATTCCAAACACTGACCTCCTTCCCGCTCTCTGACATCCACGTCGCTAACTCAAGCGCCGAGCGTCAAAATCCCTGACCTCGACGCTGTTTGCGCGGGCTTCAACAATGTTGGACCATCGTCGATCGGAGTACGGACCAGGTAAGACCAGTATTTAGCGATATATTATGCTACATAATATCCAATGCTGTCCTAACGTGGGTACTTCCATATTCTACAAAAACGGTGGTTACCCCTGTCAAAGGCCGTTGTGCAGAATCCGAGTGACGACCCAGGTTTTTTGCCAACAGGTTTTTTTCCACGGAGTAAAATGTTATAGATAAAATACAGCGATTTAGTAAAAAAAAACTTGGGCTGGCACCGTGTTATTTACCTCCCACTAAGGGTTCTGTTTCCACATACACCAGTCACACTTACGGCTTATGAAATAATCGATCACGCAAAGGGAAAGGAGATAGTAGCTGGCGCCACGCCAGGCGGCACCCACCAGTTACTAGACATGACGAGCGGTCAGGGGATCTTATGGCAAAAACCACGCACAGGGGAGCTTGCAAATTATCCTATGATCATCTCGCGCTGAATCGTTGACTAGAAGAGAAGCAGGCTACCAGAGTTATGTATCCACACATCCCTGGGATACATTTCTTTTCTCGCAGTGGCAGGGTACGCGTGAAATATCCACAGATCAGCAATGATACGAAGGGGAAGGGCTCGGGACGGAGAAGAAAGTAAAACCCAATACAGCCCAATACAAGAAGGAGAGAATATGACCCAATCGTAGGAAAATAGTACGACCCAAAGACCCAAAGAGTTATCTGGTGAAACAAATCGAATCGACTTGGAGCAATCAAGCACCGATACCAGCGGCTCCTACCACTCGCCCGATACTTCCAAATCCGCTCCAGAAAGATGATTTCCCACTTCTATATGGTGGTTGCGAGCGTGGTGGCGGATTTGGAGATGAGCTTGAACGATCACGATACCGTGCACCTGCGATGGTGGCGCTTGATAAAGGAGCAGGGGAGGAGATGGCAGGTCGTCTAGGCAGAGACGACGATACCCCGGACTGCGAAGAGGGAGATGGTTGGGAACGGGACCGGGATTGATCAGACATTGCGGTCGGATCGGGGACTTTGTCCGTGGTCCGAGTCCCAACAGAAGAACTCGGCTGTTTCGCCGATTGCAATGTTGTTCTGGTGTGGGTGTGTACGCTCTCACCCCAACAAGCTGCTGACCCTGGGGATCTAGTCCAAGAGCCGAACCGAATGACGGATCTCTTTCACCTTCCGCTTCTTCGTCTACTTCCTCGATAGTACTCTTTTCCACGAAATTCAGCTCATCATCAACCTCCTCATCGCCCTCTCTAGCAATACCAAGTTGCTTTCTTGTTTCTCCCCGCTCTTCGAGCACTGCGACTTCGTCCACTCTCAGTGAATGCTCCGAGCCTTTCGTAACGTCTTCCCCGCCAAAAATCCTCGCCTCTTCGTCCAGTTGTTTTTGGATGTATGAGTCAAATGACCTCGGAGGCTGAACAGGACCTGGCTTCTCGCCCCTTGATGCAAAATCCTTTTCCCATTGCTCATCTTTGTCCTTCTTTTTCCGCGCACCTGGGCTCCATTTGAGCGGTTCTCCGGGAACTTCCTTCTCGAGGAAATGATCCAGAGTGCGCTCGCAAGAGGTGCAACAGGGACGGAGTGGGGTGAGCTGTGCTTGAGAAGCTTGGGGATGAGAAGAGACGTGGGGGGAGGGTGGCGTTTGTGAAGACACACTAGATGAACGACGACGAAGAGGGAATTTGCTAAATAAGTTGGTGGAAGAAGACGAAGGCGTGGATTGGGTAGGTACAGTTTCGGGGACGCCGCGCGGTGGAGCATCATTGTCATCTGATGGTGTAGAAATAGTAGTGTGACTGCTGTACGGAGTCGATTTGAGGGATTCTCGTAATTCAGCGGCACAAAGCGAGGAACATGAAGCCAAAGGAGGGGTGGCTTCAAATACGACTGGGGGTGGGTGGATCACTGTTGCAGTGGGGTTACTTAATGGGGGTGATGACGCCGACAAATCGTCACTAGAGCAGAACGAATGAAGTCGCCTGCATGGTTTGAGGTTTGAAACGTTACAGGTGTTGGTTGTAGAGAGGGATTTCTTCCTCACACTTGATGGATTCGACGCACATGTCGTGGGGATTGCAAGCCCAAGCCGGCCACAAAAAAGTGAAGTGGATCCATCAGTTTACATTCACCGAGGATATCGCCCGCACGAAAGCTCACCAAGGAAGCTTGAAAGTCATGCACGTCCTAGAGCCAGAAGGCAAACTGGGGTGCTGATGATCGAGCTGCATGACAGCATGATGGCCCCATGTCACTGGCAAAGTTAAAGTTACAGACTTGGTCCGGATCGCAGGTAACCCATTTCCCCTGAGAGCCATGGAAAGCACAGAGGGGGTCTCAGGGATGACGGCGCACTCGCCATAGAAGCGAACATGTTGTTGGAGGTTGCGAGCTTGGGGGGAGTAAGCAGCCGATTCAGACTCGCTACGTCTAAGAGGCTGTCTTTTAGCCCCAGCAGAGATATTCATAATTTTTTGCGTCGTCTGGAAGTGAGAGACGAGGGGTTGAAGCGAGAGAGAGACGAACCCAAAGAGAGGAGAGGTTCCATTTGTAGGAAGGACGATGGCTGCTCAATTCACGTGGTTTCACCCTATTGTAACGGAGTTGGCCGAATGTATTGTGTTTTAATGCGGACTTGCAGGAGGACCCTGTGGAAATAACTTAACTGAATGAATGGCCCCGCAATTTGAATTTTTGATCTTCCATCAAAGGTACAGCCCGTACAACTCCGATTTGAATCAGGGAAAAGAGCGGATGACCTTGGTCAAAGGTAGCTCCGAGCGATCCAACCGGAACATCCTTGGTGAACTTCAAAAAATCAAACAGACTCGAATCGCAAGTGAGAGTATCCTTCGCACGACGTTTTCTGGCTAAGACAGGGTTCTGGCTATCTTGTGATCTGACACCCCTCAAAACCTGGCCTATAGGGGAGGGAAACAAAGAAGGGGGGGTGTCATTTTTTTCCCTGATAAACCAACAATCACATTCAATGCGAAAACGATGCCCGACATTGAATAAGTAGACAGTGCGGGTGTGAATTACTGCAAAAATATACAGCGCGTTCAAGTGGCCGAGACCGACAAAAATGCGAACTCGCAGGTCCGGCATTTTGACTCATGACCGAATCAGCTAGTTGGATTTTGACGCTTGGAAGCGCGCATCATGTCGCGAGAATAGCTTATCAATCTCAGCTCCTCGTCGCCGCCGAAGGGTGCGAACAAGATACCAGAACATCACTGCTGTTGCCACTGACAGTGAATACCTGAAAGAGAACAAGACAACATGTCCGCGTAAGATGCAAAGATTGATAAGGGACGGCATCGGGGAGGCACGCACCAGGTTATTGCATATGTGGCATGCATGTTTCTTAGTTCGATATTGGGCGATCGACCAATCGGTATGCCCTCCGCAAGCATCCGAGAAGCATCGCCAGAACTCCTGTCTGGCAGAAGGAATGGATCAATTGGTCCCAAGCACCGCTTCCAATATCACATATCACTCACAGAACAATGCCTCGATAAGCACAGGCTGCACACCAGCCTCAGATCCCCCTGCATGTGTTGCAAGTGCATTCACATCTGACCAATACCACTCTCCCTTTTCTGGGTTGTTATCAGGTGTGAATTGACCTTTCAATTGGCCTTGCCTCAACAGTCCCACCAGTTCAACTACCTCATTCTCCTTCCCCACACCGGACAGCAACCGTTGCCGAATAGTGGGGTTGTTCCCCAGAAGATCTTTTGAGACGAAGCCTCTGTCAACGAGTATCGTCGATGAATGGTCCCCTCTGATTAAGGGTGTAATGATGTGGTAGCCTAGGACATTTTCGTGGGTCCTGGGACCGAGGAGAATGGAGTGGGCATTGTCCCACACGCCGCTAACGCGCACGCGACGGTACTCAAAGTTGGGTATTTCAAACAAACTATCACCGACCGCCAATGAAATACACATCAGGAACCATCTCGATCCACGAGCGAAGGGAAATAGGGGATCGTGCACAAAGTAACACTTACTTGATATTCCTTGGCAACACCATCGGCTCCCTCGAGAGCTTATCTTCCAAGTCGTCGATCAAGCTTACTTTCCATTTGAGCCTGTTCACTTGCCACGTTCCAAGTCCAAAACACACGATAGGCATGAAGCCCAGTATCACGACAGGAATTGAAGTCCAAAGTCGACGAGAGGGTTTGTGCTTTCGGTGTTCGTGTTTCCATGATTCAGAGTCGCTGTTCTGTGACGAGCAGAACTCGACTGAGGAAAGGAGGGTCCGTTCCATGAGTGGAAGTGGGTAAATGACAGAAGACTTGGAAAACGAAGAGGGGACTTGTAAAGGTGGGTCTTCGTGACACTTGAAGGGATAGAGAAATAACGGATGAAAATTCTGGGCGCCATGGGTCAGCGTGAGAACTCGCACATTCATGACCGTTTGAGGCCACCAGTCACACGCTACACTGGACACTTTCCGAACATGCTTGTAACTCGTCTCTGTCTTTCTCAACTGCGTGACTAGTCGTTGGTATTAAAGGTGTTGATGACCGCCGACGCCTTAATTCTATTTGACCGACACTTGCGCTCAGTCACGTAAGGACGGATCTTGTTGTCCTTCCCTCATTGTACAGCGTGTCTTATTCTTACGTAACACTATCCGATCTCAGCGCGGCCGCTGAAACCAAGCAACCCCCAAAAACTTTGACTTTGCCTGCCTCGCACACACAACCAGCTCGCTTGGGTAGGGAAGATTTTCTCTTTCGCGCCCAATGATAGAAACCGTGAGTTCCATGCGCTGATCTTGACCCCAACTTGTGACTGCGACTGGACGGTCTACATTGGGCGTCAATCCAACAATTTATTGACTTAGGACTCGGTGACCGTCACTTGGCTGAGCTGTGCTAAAACCGTTCCAAACACGGGCAACAAAACCATCCTTCTGCCACCTGTGCGGACTACAGGGCGGATATTTCCATACGGGTGTGTAGATCCGATGGCCAACAGCTCCACATTAATCAGCTGGCAAGTGGCAGCGGGGGGCCTTTCAGGTCGTGATCACATGTATGATGTGGACGGACCGCCGGAACGAGTAGAAATTCTTTCTTCATTATCCTTGCTCGCTGTAGAGTCCCAGGATGTGGCCAGTGAATCTGACGTCACGGATCGCATCATGCGCCGCTTACATTTCTGCTCCGTCGCAAAAAGCGCAGGTTGTTAATCTTTTTTTGATTTGGAATCTCGAGGATTGTGAACATATACATAGGTGATCTGTCCCTGGCCGATTTTGGAATGTAATTGCCTTTTTTGGGGCCCTTCAGGCCCAGTCTACCAACGGAGAGTACCTGTCGACTGGGGTTGATATGTCTGTCTCAGCAGAAGCTAATGTCAAGCTATGGTCATCGTAGCTGAGCTTCCCTCCGCACAATCGTTATACAGCAACTATTCACACGCTCGAGCTATGATTAGATAGTGAACCTTGGCCGGCGGGGTGTCCGATAAATGACTGAGATGTATACACATGTTCCTGTTCTAATACATAACTCAAAACCAATCTTTTATGATACAGAACATCCAGTAATAGGTTGGAAGGTTGGAAGATATATATATCTTCGTGCACTCGTCGACGCCAAGCAAGTTGAGTATGAAGTGTGCATGGCGGTAATTCTTAGACGTGGGCGCGGGGTGGCTAGTTTTTGGGCATGTTTGCTTGGGGTAGATCGCGATTCGCGAAAGATATCCGAGCCAATGCGGGGAATGAAAAGAATTTGGATCCCTTCTATGTGGACCTCATCCTTGATGGTGATTCTAGTCTAAGTGGTGGCTTCCCACAACTACATATGACCAGATCCCGCCGTATGAGAATGACCATCACGATGCAAAAACATTGCTCGGACTTCTGTCAGTTTTGGGCATCGCAGTTGACGAACGAGGTACCACATCATGACAGTCGATATGGCAGATAAGGAGTACCTATCCATCGCAAAGGGTCTTATCAAAACGGGGGCGGTAAGGGAAGACTTGAGAACTCCCTTACCATATGACTGCATATGATTGATGTGCGTTGCTTAACTCGATGCGTGGCGAACCGGCGATAGGTGCACCTTCTGAGAGTAACTGCGTCACCTTACGCGACTGTCCATCTAGACCATTCATTCATTAAAAAGTTTCTTCGCCCTTGCCACTGAAGGATGACCCACCAAACAATGCCTCCACCAGCACTGGTTGAACCCCTGCCTGGGCGCCCCCAGCACTAGCCGCCAGGGCACTCACATCAGCCCAATACCACTCCCCCTTTTCTGGATGATTATCGGGAGTGAAAACCCCTTTTTTCTGGCCTTGCCTTAGTAATCCAAGCACCTCCACTCCTTGGCTAGCAGCCGCCAGGCGTTGCAAGGCGGTTGGATCATGATTGACGAATTCCTTTGAGACAAAGCCCCTGTCTACAAGGATTGTAGAAGCCTTCTCGCCTCGAATCAAAGGCGTGATGACATGGTATCCGGCGACATTGCCGAGGGTTCGGGGTCCAAGAAGGATTGAGCGTGCATGATCCCAGACGCCTTCAACTCGGACCCTCCGGTATTCAAAGTTCGGTACTTCAAATAGACTGAATTTTCGCGTATAAGAACCAACTCTCCGTGTAAAATCCAGGCTCGACATGGCGCTCACTTTACATTCTTTGGAAGGTCCATAGGCTCTCGTCGTATTTTATCATTTGCGTCATCGATAAGGCTAGCTTTGTAGTAAAACTTCTCCATTTCCCATGTCCCAAGCCCAAAAAATCCAACAGGGATGGTGACCAAAAGGATCGTAACAGGAATTCGCAATGGCCAGGGCACAAGCTCCCTGAATCGCGCCAACAGCGGCCTGATCCTCTTGTCATGAAGAAGACCATCTGGACATTCAGAGGAAAAAGACCGTAAGGTAACGAATGGTGTAGGACTCAAACGGCATATTTGAGAGTTTGGAGGACATCTAACTGTCAAAATAGAGCGAAGCTGAAGGAGGGGAGATTTCATGATTATCGTGGGAAGAAACGGTATTTGCCATCCACGCCCGAGCTTGCGGAAAGTAAGCATCGCCCGCAAGCGCAGTTAGTCGATTCGCAAAATACCAACTTTCGCTTCATAGGCATCCATGTCACTGCCGTTCGTTATATCCCTCATTTATTCCTTCGTTATGGTTGATAAAGCGTCGTAGGTGGACTACACGAGAAAGGGACGATGTTCATTACCCAACTCGGCCAGTTGACAAGGAAAAGGCGGAGGCTGAATTAACGATCAATATAAAGAAAGCCACCAATTCCGACGAAACTGCTCCAAAGGCTAAGCATGTCCGAAGTATATCTCCCCTCGCTTCGCCTCTTGACACCGAAATACTCATGTGTCCGTGACCAGAATGCATCGTCTATACATGGGATTATCATTCTTCACTTTCGATTTGGTCAGGCTTGCGTGTGCAGCCGATCCTCTCAGACGAGGTTCAAACGTACAAAGCACTCATTACTGTGCACAAAGTCCTGCAGGAGGGACACCCAGTTGTTCGTACACCTACCTTTAGGCCACAATTTTAGGCGCGATCGCTTATTAGTATATATTAGTCTCTTAAGGAGGGCCAGAATCAGACCGGCTGGCTAGAAACATGTGCCAGAACGGTTGGGAACGAAAGTGGACGTGGTTAGTTTGTCGTGACTATCAATTTACTTGCCCCGTTTTTTACATTTTCGTCAGGCTACGTCCCTCTGATACGCGCATACGTGTCCTTCATTCTTGCTAAGCTGAGGTTCCATCGACACCACCCCGAGTTCAATGGGTTGTTCGAATACGAGGAGTACATCTCACTAAAGAACATCGACGATCCCAACGAAGGGTGAGCCCTATACCTTCAAATGAGAGCATCCCATGCAGGACTAATATGCGCATTAAAGGTACGAAACAATAACCGATCTGATGAATCTTCAAGACCAAATCGAATCATTTCAAAAGCTCATCTTCGCGCACTTCCGAGGCACTTCCAATAATGAGTGCAGAATATCATCACTTGTCCCGCTAGTTAAAGAGAGCTATGGTATCTATCGTTTCATTACGAGTATGATGCGTGCTATGCATCGAAGTAAGTCGGCACTAAATAGGAATAGGAATGTGATTGACATTGGTACAGGGTTAAATGACATGGACGCTCTGGATCCCCTTCGTCAGCGTTTTAACCAACAACACCACAACCTTCGTAAATTCTATTATGAATGTTCCAACCTTAAATACCTCACCTCTCTCATCAACGTCCCAAAACTCGGGCAGGTATGTGAGCCAAATTTGTATCATCCTATCGCCTTTTCAATGAGCATGTTTAGGAGCCACCGAGTCTTACCGACAGCGGATCAGCTCCCGATCTTCCCAAACGCCCAACAACGGTTGTACCAAAGGATCCCTCCCCACCACCAGCTGCTCCAACTCCACCTGTCGCTGATGCGGCGATGATTGCCGAGCAGGCACGAATGTTTAAGGAGTATGAAGATAAGCAAAGGGCTCTTATTGCTGGTCGTGAGGCCGAAGAACGTGCTAGGCGAGAACAGGAGACCGAACTTCAGCGGCAATTCGAGCAAGCGCAACGTGAACAGGCAGAAAAGGAACGGTTGGCACAAGAGAGGTTGTTGCAGGAGCACATGGTGCAGCAATATAACAGTCATGTTGGAAGACAGCAAGAGTTAGAGAGGGAAATACTTCTTATGAGAGGACAATATGAGAGGGACCAATTACTGCTGCAACAGTATGATCAGGTGTGTGTACTTAAGTTGTTCCTCAACCTCTGCATTTTTCTCTTACGTGGTTGCTTGACAGAGAGTGAAAGTGCTCGAGACTGAGCTTCAAGCTGTTGGGGCGAATATCAATTCACAGATTGCCTCTAAGGACGAACTCATTAAGCAATTACAGGATCAAGTTACCCTTTGGCGCAACAAGTACGAGGCATTAGCCAAACTGTACAGTCAACTTCGAACGGAGCATCTAGACATGTTGTCCAAATTTAAGAACCTGCAGCTTAAGGCGAACTCGGCGCAGGAGGCAATAGACCGGATGGAAAGGATGGAACGGGATGTCAAAGCAAAGAACCTGGAGCTCGCTGATATGATTCGAGAACGCGATCGTGCGAGGTTCGAAGTTGACCGGCAGAAGTCGGTGCGCTTCGGGATGCTGCTTTGCCTTGGTTGACCGCTTACTATCAACGTTAGAGCCATAAAGAGGAGGTGGAAAGACTGCGCCGTGAGCTCTCTTTTGCGAATGAGCGTGCGGACGACGCTACTCGCAACAAATCGTCCGAAGTCTCCAGCATGATGGCAAGGTATAACCGACAGCTAAATGAACTGGAAGATTCGTTACGGGTGCATCCTTTCCATCTGAATTTGAACCCTTTTTATTGACGCGCCTTCAAAATTAGTCCAAGCAAATCCAGATTGATGATCTTCTAGCCAAGATCGATAGGCATGCCGACGAGTTAGAGCACCTGCGCGAGGAGAAGGACCAAGAAATCGCCATCATTCAAGAAGGAATGGACAGTACAATCCGACAACTTGCCGAAACCCAGCAGGTGAGCCTAGAGTGACTAGGGTGGGGATCGTCGTCCTAATTTGATCCGCAGTCTCAAGGCCTAGTTGATCAGGCGACAAATGCACAGATCGATACCCTCATCCTGGATAATCGCAAGAAGCTCAATCAGATAATTGGTGTGTATTGGCGAATTAGGCTTCCACTGCTCTAGTTGTTTACCATCTCTTTTTAGATTCCATCTTGCAAGCCTGTGTACAGAAAGTGGATGACGCTATTTATGAACTGGAGTCACCTACCTCTGCAGGGAACCAAAATTCAACACCAGAATACACGTTGTCCATGATCGAAAAAACCTCCAACAATGCCACAGAGTTCGCTACGACATACGTACTCTACCTTAACGGCGAGGAAGGCGGGGACCATGTTGATGTGATCAAGGGCGCAAACGAGCTCGCGCAGTCTATTTCCGACGTGCTTATCAATACCAAAGGCATTACGCGTCTGGCCAGTGATGACAATGGCATCGACAAACTTGTCAATGTGGCCAAAGCGGCCGGTGACGTTGGCCTTAGGATGTTCCTAAACCTGCAGTCTTACAAGATGGACCTTGTTCGGATGCCGCAGCGGGAAGAGATTGTTGCACGCAACAGTGCGGAGATTCGCGCAGCTTTGGGGAAACTGTCTGAGACTGTTGACGCCTTGATACCTAAGGGCACAAGAGGCACATCTCTTGCTAAGTCGAACGGCGACATTGGTGACATCGTGGAACGGGAGATGCTCAATGCTGCTCACGCGATCGCACTTGCGACCGAGCGGCTACAGCAGTTGATCGATCGACCTCGAGACTCTTCAAGACACCAAAAAATGGATGTCAAAGTGCACGATGCAATCCTCGCAGCGGCCTTGGCTATTACCGGTGCCATCGGCCGGCTTATTCAAGCTGCTACTGAGTCTCAAAAAGAGATTGTCGCTGCCGGTCGCGGGTCTAGCTCAGCACAGCAATTCTACAAACGAAACAACCGATGGACAGAGGGTCTCATCAGTGCCGCCAAGGCTGTCGCATTCGCCACCAACCTGCTTATCGAGAGCGCGGATGGTGTGTTGTCGGGAACGCATTCTTTGGAACAACTGATCGTCGCTTCGAATGAGGTTGCCGCCGCTACTGCCCAATTGGTTGCCGCCTCCCGTGTGAAGGCATCCTTCATGTCAAAAACCCAGGACAAGTTGGAGGCAGCGGCCAAAGCCGTGACGGATGCTTGCAAGACCCTTGTCAGACAAGTCAAGGAAATATCCGTACGCGAGATAGAGGCGGAGGAGCCCTTGGAATTTAGTGGTGCGCATGAGTTCAAGGTTAGGGAAATGGAGCAGCAAGTGGAGATTCTCAAGCTTGAGAAGGCGCTCGGGGCCGCAAGACATAAACTGGGTCAGATGAGACGAGCCGGGTATCATACAGATGAAACGGATTGAAGGGTCTTTCAGATTTTGCGATATTCACCCCCCTAGCCATAGTATACCAAAGGACTCTTTACAATGTAAGGCAATCTTAGGATAGCACACTCGATCCTGGACCGTTGCGCTCGGTCCGTTAGGTGCCAGCGGCTAGGATGGATGCACATTGCGATGGAAGATGGTCTCCGCTCACACGCGACTTCATAGGAGGTTGCGCTTGTTTGGAAGTCAGTGGCTGATTCCTGCTAATTGATCCGTCACGTGTATCCTGACCAAATAAATTTGACTCCATCCTCGAAGTCACTGTAAATGTCGTTCTTTGGCGGCTCGAACGCGGCAACTGCAACAGCCTCGGCCTCAAATACTGATGCGAAGGATATAGATGTAAGTGACACGTTCTCAGAAACGGAAAATGGCCCATTCAAGTCCTTCGTTGGGCGTGTTGTGCTAGGTGCCAAACCCCCCGGATGACTCCATCTCACGCGTAGCGTTTTGTCCAACGGCGGATGTGTTATCAGTGTCTAGCTGGAATGGGGAGGTTTGTTCGTCTAAATATCCTCTCACTGCTTCCGCTCATTTCCTCACATTCCATTAGGTCCGTTTATATGACATATCACCATCGAATGGCCAATCCGCTCCAAAAGCCATGTACAAGCACGACGGGCCTGTCCTTGATCTTTGCTGGTCAAAAGATGGCTCCAAACTGTTCAGTGGAAGCGCAGACAAGTCTGCAAAAGCGTTCGACATGACCACGGGCCAGGGCAGCCAAGTCGCAGCACACGACGCTCCCGTAAGCGCCCTCAGATGGGTGGAGGCGCCTACGGGTGGCGTTCTTGCGACCGCTAGCTATGACAAATCCTTGCGCGTGAGGGGAACTTTCCCAAGCTTTGAAGCAGTGCCCATGACATCCCCATTTCAACAGTATTGGGATCTGAAAAGCCCCACTCCTGTTTCTACGGTTGCTCTCCCAGAGCGATGTTACTCCATGGATGTTGTATATCCATTAATGGTGATAGGCACGGCGGAGAAGCATATCTGCGTCATCAAGCATGTATTATGATAGTTGTGTTCGGGCCCGTGCTAACGACCTTTATTAGTTTAACCAATCCGACCACTATTTTCAAGGTTAGTACGGTTCCTCTACACACTAGTGAGAGGCTAAGTCAGTCCATCAAGACCATGACGTCGCCTCTGAAATGGCAGACCCGTGTCGTATCCTGTTTCCCAAGCGGCAATGGATTTGCCATTGGTTCTATCGAGGGACGTGTCGCGATACAGTAGGTGGTTATTTTCTCTAGGGATCTTATTAAGTCACGTCGTCCTTAGATACGTGGAGGATAAAGATACAACGTATGTCCAACACTAAAACATTTCGAGCTTGCCGCCAGCTAGAACTTATTGTTTTCCAAGGCTTAACTTCTCGTTTCGCTGTCATCGTAAAGATTTAAGCCCAACACAAAAAGACACCTCTCTTGTCTACGCTATCAATGCTATCACCTTTCATCCTCAGCACGGGACATTTGCGACTAGTGGTGGTGATGGTACGGTGAGTCTTGTCCACCTTCAATGGAATTTATTGCATGATTAAATTCTGTTTGCAGACCTCGTTCTGGGACAAAGACAGTAAAACACGATTAAAAACCTTCGATCCTGCCAGCGGTCCCGTTGTGAGTAACACTATCTCGACCCTTTACTTCGACCTCAGTGATTTCTTGCTTCAGGTTTCTTCCTCTTTTGATCGCTCAGGAACCATTTTTGCTTATGCCGTCGCCTACGATTGGTACAAGGGCTACAGTGGTATGGTTGCAAACCATCCCAACCAGATCTTTCTACACGCTTGTAAGGATGAGGAGATCAAGAAACGACCAAAGAAGTAAATTTAGTTTTCATGCCGCACGTGGAATTATACCGGCAATTGCCCTTCTACTCCCGCATTGTTTGATTATCATTTGACGTCACAGCCCTTACATTACCTGCACAGCAGTGTCACTCCCTCCCGTAATTACGTTTTTTGTCCCACTTTTTGCTTACGTGTTTGTATTTCCTTTCTGAGTTGCATGACCTCATGTTGATTACATGTTTATAGCTGGTGGACGCCACCTTCCCGCCATTCATTCAGTCTCGCAAATCTCCCAATTGTCTTCTCAGAAATCGGGGAGTGTAGCATGGTACTGAGAGCAAAACGACCTCCACACACACTGGGGAGAGAAGAAGAGGATGATGACGCGAAATTTCTTTATCGTTTATTTTTTACTGCTGTCGCCGGCCAACCGCGGCGCACTGTGCGTACCATTATAGAATGAGCCGCAGTAGAGGAGGAGTGAAGTAGAGTAGAAATGAGCGACACAAAGAGGACAGAATGGCCTTTGGATTGAAGGGAACATTGAAGTGATACAGCACCTGGCGTAAGAGTTTATTGTGTGTGACGTTGGCGAGAAAGAGGGAAACACCATCTCTAACGTTCAATGCTTGGCAATGGGAAGTCACATTTGGTCTTGATTGAGGGGCAGGAAGCAGAGATTAGGAATACAAAACAAAAAACAAGAGAGCGCTGGTGAAGTACTTTATTCCTTCCTTGACATTACATAATTTTGTGCCTCATTCATTCTCCTAGGAGGGTCCATTCAAGAACATATACGACGCCAAACCTCTCGGTTCTTACAAATCCCAGCAGGACAAAAATTTTGCTTACATTTACGATCTAAAACCCGGAGATATCGTCATCGCTCAATGCGTATTGGAGAGGTTCACTGAAACGGGGTCCAATCTGAAAAGGGTTGCTTTCAAACTCATTGGTATAGGCTACTTGGGAGACGATGAAATGGCATCTCTTTCTGCTTCTCTGTCCAAGCGCGTTCTCTGTAAGCTACTCAATCTTCTTACTATACTTCGTTGTACCATATGCGTCTTGCGCAGGTTACAATCTCTGATTTCATTCATTAATGGGTGCTGTGCAGGTGACCGCGATGCAAAGCACGCACTCTAGTAATGTAATATCCTGTGCATTATCACTGAGTAAACAAAGATTATTGATAAATCATCGGAAACCACCCAAAAAGTCAGTGAAGTGCACACAGGTTCTCCTGCGAAAAGTCCAGCCAGTGATGCACATTGAACGAGTTAACCCGCGTCGCTTTAGGATGTTCATAGCTACCGTGACGTAGATCTATTTTAGACCTTTACACTACAGAACGGTATTCTCGCCCCGACCGGAAGCGCCGAGTGTCGATGGTGCGGGAGAGAGAAAGCCGGAAGCGGATTGGAGTGTAATTCAATCACGACTCTCAACGACACGCCAGTGGAAAGAGCTTCGAATCATTTAAACTATACAATGACTGAAAAATGACAGTATGTGGAGGGTTCTAGGCGGAAAATGCTGGTTATCCGAGGTTCGCCCACGTATCTTCCTCGCCTTCCGGTGGTGCAGGTACAGGTGCTGAGGAAGGTTTTAGGAGCTCTTGTCGCTCCTGTCTGGAATCAAATATTATCTCTTGAGGGGGGAGGGCGACGTAGCCTGCATTGGATGGTGACTCCAATTCATCATCATCAAGGTCGATGTCCATTGCACGGGAGCGAGACAAATCAATGGGTTTCGGTCGCGCGAATATGCTTGTCCCGGATCTTCACAAAATGCAAGTGAGAACCGCTCCCTAAACACGCCGCCCAATAAGACTGACTTTTTCATTATCGCTGCAAGTCTCCAGAACTGAACGATGTTACGTGCGGCGAGAAGCAAAGTGTCGAAAACTTCTTCTTCTTTGCTTGCGCAAGGTGTCGAAAGGATGACAATGAGAGTTACGAAGCAGAACAAAGTCATAGCTATATCGAGCCAGTTGAATACCGAAGTCCAGAATAGCTTGAAGGAAGATAAGGAATTTGTGTGGCGCGAGCATAATCCATCCAAGCCGCACCTTCGAAAGAGCCAATACTCGTGTAATGACTTCAATTATCATGGCGGTGTTTATAATAAACTCCAACACAAAGAACGCAGTTCCAGGGCATCCACGAACCAGACTCAGAACCACAGTAGTTATGGATAGGGCCGTCATACACAAATAAAAGAATATGTATGCATGGGAATGTAAGAGGCGATTGGCGAAGGACCTTGTCACTTCTCCTCTGGTCAATGTGTAGTGCGAGCGACTAGAGACAGAGATAAGATAATAGATAAGGCGTCCCAAAACCACTTACACTACGAGCCTTGAAGGGCTCTCCCTTGAGGTCTCCTCGTCACCGTTCATAAGCGCTTGGTGATCTTCCGCCATGGGTTTGGACTTGGTGGCTGTGGACTTGGTGGCTGTGATGATCGCGTGACCATTACAGAGGGATTGAATTCAATACAGCTCTTTTCCCCCTTCGGCTTAGTTGTCACGTGATCCGTTTTTTTTTTGTTCCGCCCTTGCTTGTTGCCCGAACACCTATTACTCGTCACGGGGACACAGTAATATGGTACTACAAGGTACTACAAGGTACCCCACTGTTAGAACTGGGCAAGGGTGGATGATTCCGGAGGGGAACCGGAGACTTAGCAAGGAGGGACCTTGGCCTCAGCGACTCAAGCAGAGCACTGTGCCATTGCTGTTTGTCCATTTGGTCCTTAATTTCATAGGAGGCGAGCAGGAAGTCTCTAGGGGGCATTTCAGGTCGATTTTAGACTAAGGACTAAAACGAGTATGTACAAGTGCCGATTGTCAGGGACAGCTCCGAAAGCGGCGAGGTCCCTGTGTGCGGGACTCGGTGGGACGGATAGCGGCTGTGCGTAGCGGCGATCCCGTCGCGGGGTGAGCGTCCCCGACCACTTAGGCTGAAGTGGGAAGTTGAGTTATCATTAAAAGGGAAAAGCTATGGTACTTACCTGAAGTGGGAAGTTGAGAAGAAGGCTGCTTCTGTTCCCACCCCAGGCGCTATTATATACATGCGGTCAGGGTCATGTGGAGGAGGCCACGTCATCTCCGCGCACAGCCACACCTCCCCGGGTGTCTCTGTGGGAGATCCCGGAGGCAGCCGTTCAGTAGGCAGGAGTGTGCGCGGTGCGTGCAGCGATCAGGGAAGCGGGGTTAGATATGTAGTGGTACATGGAGAAAAGGGAAATCGACCGTAGAATAGAAATGGAGAGAAAAGGAGGAAAGTGAGAAAGGAGGGACGGGCTGATAGCGGGGGTCGCGGAGTAGAACAGTACAGCGTGGGGTGCGGTGCGGGGTCAGGCGGGTGTGCCCTGACACCGATATATATAATGGAGGGGGTGAAAGCACAAGGAAACAAAGGGGATCCGAATCAGAACGAAGGCATCTGAATGGGAACAAAGGGAAGACAGAAGTGGAGCGGCACCAAAGGTCATAAGGCAGAACCTGTGGTACGTCTGAAAGGAGGTAAGGAGGGCGAGGCCCAGAGGGGCAGGAGGATGAGGGGAAGTGGGGATGATGACTAACTGGCTAGAATGGGAAGAAGCAGCAGTCCAAATAGGGATGAGGGGAAAACGCGAGAGATACATTACAAGCGGTGAAAGAGCCGAAGATGATCCATGGAGCTTGGAGGTTACGGAGGTTACGGAGGTGGGGTTGAAAGTCCGAGGAATATTGGCAATGGTGTTTACGTAGTATGAGGTCACCAATGCAATGGACTAAGGCCGAGGTGGAGTCAAAGTCCAAGGTAGGAGCTATGATGGAGGCTCGGAGCAAAGGTACGAGTGGTGTCCAAGTATGAAGTATGGGACAGCGGTGGAAGGTCGTAACTTGGTGGGGGATTGACGGAAGAGGGCCAGAGGGAAGAGAGAGGAAGGAGGAAGGAGGAAAGGTGTCAGGTCCAAAGGTGAGTATCGGAGCGGACGGGAGAAGAGTAGGAGGGTGACGGAAGGGTGGAGGTGTTGTGGGGAGGAAGCAGAGGAGTGGGAGGAGGAGTAGTAGGAGGGTGGCGAGAGGGGTGGTGTTCAGTCCGAGGTGGGTATTGGAGCGGATGGAGATAGGACAGGAGAGGGACGGAGGAGTGGAGGTGGCATGGGAGGTGAGAGGAGGTGTGGTGCCAGGACTGAGGGTGAATATTGGAACAGACAGCGGTAGGGTAGGACTCCAGAGGTGGTGAAGAAGGAGGTCCAGGAGTCAGGTCGGTGTCAGGGCACACACCCTGACTAGCCTGGACCCGGACCCGGATCCGGACCCGGACCCACACCCGCATGTGCGCTCCGCCCCGCATGCTCCGCGCGCCGCATGCTCCGGGCCCGGTTCCCACTCTTCATGTGACTTCCGGGTATCCCCGGAAGTTTTCGCCATATTGGGCCACTGTGGGAAAGTGAGAAGTTAACCTTCTTCTCACTTTCTTACCCACAGTAGGCAAGTGTATTCTACACTGCTTCTTTACCTTATACACTTTCTTACCCACAGTAGTTGTGCCTTGAGACTAGGCTGTTACAGATTAGGCTGTGGGCTATAGAGAGAGGGGTCATGGGGACCCGGGGTCCGTCCCCTGACAGTCGGGATCTGTTATGCATGGATATGACACCCACCTGATGTAAGGTATTTGCCCTTTGGGTGTGCACACTCTCGCTGTTGGAGAATATAATATATTCCCAATAGTATAGAGTTTAACAGCCTATACTGGCATGGCTCAAGGGCGAGTAGTGTATGGATGCACGCTAGAGGTCCTGGGTTCGATACCAGGCTTGTCCATGATTTTATGTCCTTGCCATGTGACCTGGATTTGAAGCCATTTGAATTGGAGCTCCGGATAAGTCCAGTAGTTGCACCGGATACAATTTTGACACTTGCACCAGTGCACTGAGGTGAAAAACTAGTACCAAGTTGCAAATGCCTGGAGAAGCTCTGGGGTACCATGACCTGAAAACCCAGAAAACTCCCCTATGCCGCGACTTTTTTGGAGCTCACCGTCACATGCCCTTCTGGCAACGTCTCCGGATGCGTTGTCACCATCGTCATCAACAACACTGACAACATTTCTCTCAAAATCCATTATTTCCTTATGACTTGATTTGTATGTGACATAACTTCCCTTTTTCTCTCTCCATTGCCATTTGCTGCTTTGCCATTGCTTTCATTATCTACTAAATAGTTATGTAACAATGAACTCTTTCAGATCAACTCTAAATCTGTTGATGAGCGACACTTGATCTCGGAGCTGGACTATGAGTAATGACTCAGTCTCAGCCAATATGCGTGAAGAACTAGATATATTACCTATGAGTAATGACTAGAGGTAATATACATAATATAAGTTACAATGATAAAGCAATGAGGGAATGTAACTAACTAACCTCAGTCTCAGCCAATATGCGTGAAGAACTGAGGGAAAAGGAAATGAATTCAAATGAATGAATATGTCCGTGGCCTGGCATGGATTAGTCCGAAATAATATAAAAGAGAAAAGGTGTTGTGACTAAGTAGTCATGCTACTGCGGGAATGTGGCTGTCCGGGCGAGTTCCTCACCTGGATGTGGGAATGTGGCTGTACGAAAACTCGTCCGGCCTCCCATAGCACACGGTTCCTCCAACAAAATCAAGATTTTCCAAAGCAGTGGTTATTTGACTGATGAGATGGTGCAATTCCTCAACATCCTCAATCTCGGTTTCCAGGAGCCCACCTACCACATCACCATCAACATCCATGACCACATCAGATGTATGGGCCAAGCTGTTTGACTCAGGAGTGCAATGTCAGTTGGTGTGGGTGGTGTTGTAGAGGGTGCCTGTTCATCAATGATGCTGCTGGGAATTGTCAGGAACATTGAGAACATGTATCTGGATGGTCTGCAAGGGTGTGTGAAGTTGTCCAGGTTCGTAAGGCCAGAGGGGCAGGACTTCAGCTTCAGTGACTTGGTGTCAGGGCACACACCCTGACTAGCCCGGACCCGGACCTGCATGTGCGCTTCCACCCTGCATGCTCCGCATGCCGCATGCTCCGGGCCTGGTTCCCATTCTTCATGTGACTTCCAGGTATCCCCGGAAGTTTTCACCATATTGGGGCCACTGTGGGAAAGTGAGAAGTTAACCTTCTTACTTTCTTACCCACAGTAGGCAAGTGTACTACCTACTGTTTATCTATTCACTTTCTTATTGTTAGATACAGGTCTGGGGTCGGCACCGAGGGTCGCTGTTGTGGGCTGCTATAGGCTGTGATGGCCATGATGCCATGAACAAGGCCCAAGGGTAGGGCATTTGGCCTCAGCGACTCTAAAGGAGCACTGTGCCCCCTAGCTGTCTCTTGGCCCTCATTTCACACTCACTGGAGTTGCCTTGCTGGGGTCATGTCAGGGACGCATCCAGGGTCGAATGTCAGGGATCAGCAATGACCCTGGACCCTATGCTGGCTGCACATATGCATGTGGGAAGTATGCCGGTAATTCCCATCTACTCTGCTTACCTAAGCCCCGGTGACCCGGATCATCTCTGGCATTGTTCTGGAACATTCTATGATCACGTGATTCTATCGGCAATCCATTTGGTTTCCTTATTGCTGGACTCTACATGTATATAGCTGACCCTAAGATGGGGACATCCCTTTCCCCCGGCTTTAATCACAACTAGGTTATCGGAGCATCCTGCGCGAGCACACATGTCCCCTGACATTGAAGGGACCCGGGTGTAATGCCTGGCACTGAGGCCGTCGCGGGGTGTGGAGCAGGCATGCATACTGATGGGCCTGATGCGGGACGATGGTCCCTGGCCACTCAGACTGAAGTGGGAATCATGAGTTGTTATTAAAAGGGGAAACTATGCTACTTACCTGAAGTGGGAATCGTGAGAAGAAGGTTACTTCTTTGGTTCCCACCCCAAGTACCTTTATGTACATGTGGCTTGGGTCACCTGAGGTTTGCCACTGTGAGGCCCTGGCCCATGTCTATATTCCACCCACAACATCAGTTGATGTTGTGTTGTGTAATAATTATGTCGCAACGCTAATTTAGCGTCACGGAAGCTTCTCTATTTATTTGTGCCGAGAATGTATAAGATTGTATATAAACCCTCGGGGTAGCTGTAAAAGGCAGATCAGCCTTTACCTCTACCCCGTTAATATACAGCCAAATCAAGCGTATACTTAGACGGACTTCTGAGGCCTGAGGCGAACGGGGGAATGGAACGTTACCGTCCCCAAACTAGTAAGATACCTTTCACTTTTTTACGCTTTTATTCTCTTTCCATTCTCGGCACCGCGTTACCGGCGCCGAAACCCCATTTGGCAACGCGCGCGTCGTCGGCCCCTGACAACGCGCGACTTCGATCAAGTTCTCACGCGAACTTGTTGAACGACTCGACACCTCTTCTGGATGTCGTGGAGATACAACACCAGGAGCACGTCCAACG